GACTTGGAGTGTGTCTTCTCCTCAAAGATAAGAGATGAGCAGCTCTTGGAGTTCGGGGTTGTGGAGATGATCATCAACTGATTGTTCTATATAGATTCCATGAATAGTATCTTCTATTGTTTCTGCGATAGTGTTCGATTCGGGGAGTAAGACTGTGATGGGAGAAGAGTCATCTTCATCCAGAACATCTTTAATAGTAGCATGAAGAATTGAGGGAGGAAGTGATGCAGATAGTACTGATGCCATTTGCTGAAGTTGCCGTACTTTCTGGAAAGCTCATTTTAGTCAGGACAAGATAGAATAATAACTTGCTTCACAAAATTCCACTATGCTAAGTTTTCAATCTATTTTGGGATTGAATTGTCTGAGTCATGAGAATCCCAAGATGACATCTTGATCACCTAATGCCATGACTAGGAACTTGATGGGTTGTTCAACATTTTCTATTTTGGTAGAGACCCAAATGCAATTAGTAATATCTCCATTCATGTTTCTGGTTCTATCAATATTGAAAACTTTGATTGGTTTTAGTAACTTGGTAGTTTTCAGTTGATGTCGGTATACAAATTGGATATCAATAAAGACCCCTTCTGCTCTGCTATTGATAAGAGCTTTGGGTTCAGCAGTTCTACCTTCTCAAGTAATAGATAATGGGATTTTCATTGATCGACTATATGTTTCTGCTACTAGTACATGAGAGATAGTGAGACAAGGTTAGACTAACATCGAGATAGTTCACCTATTCAAAAACCCATATTCTTGAGAGCATCCAAAGTTTCCTTCTTCACATTAGCATCTAATTTGTCTATGATGGCCCTAATCTTTTCAGCTGAGATCTCTTCCTTTGCTTCTTCTACTTTTACCTTTCCTTCCAGAGTGGCTCTAACTCTAGCCCCCTAGTTTTGTCCTTTATTCTGGTTCCCTCCAGGACACTGGTTTGTCATATGTCCTACTTTCCTGCATCAGAAGCATCTTCCCTTCTTTATCAGCTTGCTGCATTCATTGTCAATAAATCAGCAGAGATTGCAGTTCTGTCTGCGAGGTTAAAAATGCCTACAGAATCTTCCACTAGAGTTGTCACTATTGCCTCCACTAGAACTTTCTCCTCTATATGCTCACCAAGATTCATCAAGATGTTGTGTAGCTTTATACAGTTTATTGTAGGTGGTGAGGTTAATAGGATCAATAGCTAGGACTTTCTGCTTCAAGGCACCATTGAGTCTATTGAGAAATTTGTCTTTGAAGATGGTGATGTCTTTGATGCCCATGAGGATACAGAGTTCTCAGAATTTGGCGATGTATTTATCAGCACTGCCTGTTTGCTTTAAGGTACCCATGTATGTGATGGCAGTGGATACCTGAGTAAGGGGTAAGAAATTGTTACTGAAGGCAGTGCTGACTTTCATCTATTAGAAGATGGCATTTTGCAGAGCTTTGATCTGATCTGCAGTGGTAGCTGTGAAAATTACTATAATAGCTTTTTTCTTATCAAGCTTATCACTGTATTCTACCACTCATGGTTCTGCTGTACCTCCTTCGCAGCAGGAGAAGAGGTAGATGGCTTTCTTCTCCTAGGAATTGAATTTGGAGGCTTCAAATTTGAACTTCTAGTTGCAGTGTTTGAGGACTTCTCGGACTCTGTCAGCCTCTTCTTTGAACTTAGTCTTAAGTTTGATCTTGATTTCTCTGAAGGAGGACATATTGGTCAGGCTGGAAGGTGGTGGAGGATTTGGAGATGACAGAGGTTGGCTAAGATCTGAGAATGAATCTGAGCTTGATGGTGGAGGCAGCGAAGATGATTCTCGTGGAACTTCTGGTGATTCTTCTGGGATATTCAGGATATAAGAAGATGATGCAGTGGCTGGGGTCGAAGTGGTTGTGGGATTCTGGAAGGCAGGGGCTGTGACTGTTCAAGCTTCTTCGGATACTTCTAAGTATGTGAATTTTCTATTATGTTCTGAGGAGTAGTACCAGGTGCCATTTGATCTGTTCCAAACAATTGACAGATAGTTGTGGATATAGCAATTGTCAACAACAGTAGTGTCTCTTGGGAAATATTCTTGGCTTAAATTGTAGATACAGTTAGAATTGTAAAAGTGTTCTGATGGTACAGTTTTCTGGGTCCTAGCATACTTCCAAACATACTCGAAGATGAGTGATTCAGAGTTAAGGAATCTTCCTTCAGCTCGTTGAACTAATCTGAATGGCAGATTTTGGTGGTTTCTGTTAAGTGCCACAATGTACTAAGTGAAAAGTATAGTTATCCCAATTGATAACAATTGTGCCAGACAACTGAGGTTTTCTGCTCAGTTCAGCAAGTAAAACAACTTCTAAAGGCATCCTGAGTGTTTAGGATCACTAAATGTTATCAGCTCCTCAGGAACTATCCGTGTTTGTTTTGCGACTGGCTAACATGTGTAATGAATGGACACTAGGGTGCACCAAATCTCTGTATGCTTCAAATCAAATGGTAAAGACCATCTAAAGAGTAGGTTCTGTGGGTTCAGTCTTCATCTGGGCCCTGTTAGAAGTCTGAGGGTCATCAGGGGATTGTGGTGTACATGACATTGGATTGGGAATGTGAAAGGTGTCTTCTTGTTTGGGTAAGTCAGTGGTTCTCATAGTGAAGTTGGTCGAGGTGGTTGATAAGTTGTTGTCATTCTTGGTTCCAGAAGTCAATGAGGTATTGGACTATCTGGTGTCAGTGAGAACCTTCTTCACTGGCAATGTCAAGTCATTGAGAGATATCGAGGATGATCGAGACTAGTCGATAGATGATGTAGATGTTCAAGGTGAGTGTGAAGATGAGTAGGAGAATGAGTTCGAGGTTCAGATTTATAGGCAAGTTCAAGGATTCTAGTGCTAGCATTGAGTGCACTAGTTCAGAGAGAAATCTGATCTTTTGTTATAGGTGAAGCCCTTAACTCAGATTCAGGGTCAAGGAGTAAAGGTAAGGGTAGATTGCCTAGGTCAGGTTAAGGATTCTAAGTACATGTATGGAGTTTATATACCTAGGCAGAGAAAGAGTATGATATAATATGAGAACTCAGCCAATAGGAAACAAGTGGGATCAGTAAGTGAGTCTGAAGTATCAGAAATTGCTAAGTAATACTGACTACCAGAATATAACTAAGAGGTCATGTGATTATTGTCTATAAAAGGTAAGAAAAGTATATGAGAGACAAGTAAAATGTAAGAGAAAAGATTATCAGTATAAAGAAAAAGAAAAAGTATAAGTCCGTATGATGAGTTGTAACATGTACAGTTCTGTAAATTCTGTCGCAGGAAAAATTGATCATCTTCTTCATCACCTGTCAAAGTGTGAGAAGTCAAATTCAATGATATAGGTGTGGGCATATCACAAGTTGAATTTGCCTAAAAAAAAGGAGAACTGGCCTACTACTACTTTATACTCTATTCTCAATACTATCAGCAGTACCTCCATTGTTCTCGATAACACAACTAAGTAACTGCAACTCTCAGGTTCATTCAATGACCTTGATATCTTGACAGTCCACAACAGTCAGCCTTTTTCATTCAATATTCAAAAGAAATTTAATGCCAATATCTGTGGGATGTTTGTAGTAAATGACTGGACTTGGAATAGTGCAGCTAACCAGTTTGGATAAATTTCATTCAGAAATGGATTCCCAGTGCAGAGAGACCATCTTCATATATATTGTTAGATCTAATCTTAAATAAGCAGATTGCAGAGATTGAGGAATGAGTAAAGGTGACAGTCTCAGAAAGAGTTGATACTGGTCAGTGTGATGAGTGAAAGAACTGATTGAGAATGAATGTAGTCTCAACCTTGATAACAGTCCAGGGTCAGATAAATTCTATTTTTATTTACCTTATAAATATACAGTATCAGTAATTAGGACTTGCATTATTTTCAGATAATCACTTTCTATCTCCACAATACCTCCACCTTTCTCTTCATTCTCTGAGATAATTCCTGGGGCTTTTTCTTCCTCTATATGCTTTAGATATTTCAAAGAAAAATAGTTGAGTCATTGTGCCTATAGAGAAATTTTATTTCGAGAGGTCATAAATTGGCGCTGATAACTAGGAGTTGTAATATGGCAGTCACAGAGTGTCACAGCAGCTCAGTAACAGTCCAATGGGAAGGCTCACCTGGTGGAGTCTAAAATCTATCATGCTGTGGCTGCTTCTTGTCACACTCACATTCTTGGAGACCTCAGTTTCACTCCTTCTATGCATGCAATGACCATCAGAATATTACAGAAAGATAGTTTGGTGATAGAAAACCTTAACTTGAATAATTCATATTTTTAGGTTGAGAGGATTGCTTGGATCTGAGCAATCAAGTGTATTTTTTACCAGCTCTTTAGACATATTTTCAGTCCCATTCTCTTTCCTCTTGTAATCTGACTGTATTTGGATCCACTTGATAGTTTATTTACTCAGAGCTCGAATGAATACATGAATGGGCATAAGATATCTTCATTGTGCAAGAGAGATGAGGGAAAGGTGAGCTCGGGTAAAATACATGGGAATATGAATACATACCTTCATTGTACAAGAGAGATGAAGAAAAGGTGCACAATGAAGGTGTAAATATTTAAGTAGCACTATGTATGCTAAAAATGGGTCAATCAGAAGAGAGCAATACTCATTGATGACAAGTATATATGATGCAACAGGGAAGCGATCAGTATACGTACTAACAAGGAAGAATAATAGAAAAAGGGTAAAGACCATGTAATCCTCAAGTGGGGTTACACCTCTCAAGTGTTTGCTACAGGACTTCGTATATGCATTATTTAGACTATAAAAAACCTCTGACAATTTTCCAGGCAGCTCAAATGAGATGTGGCAGGCAGAATATTGAAAATTACAACTCCCAAGTATTGCAACTCCTGATCATATAGTATCATTTTGAATCTAGCTGTCATCATAGGAGAGGCTTGTTTCTCTCATTGACCTCGACATTCTTGTCCAGCCATTTCATCTAAACTGAAGAAGCATCTTGTGAAGGTAGCTATTTAATGATTATAATTTCAGTAGTATTTTATCAAAGAGCAGCGAGCGCATTGTAGTAAGAACAAATGAACAAGAGTGTGATGTGTATTGCAATGTGCAGACAACATTCAACTAGCAATTCTACTGAGGTGAGATGATCATCGATGTCGTCGACGATTTTTTGACTTGGTCTGCGTTCGTTTACTACCGCTGGCAGTCGGCTTATTGCTTCTCTTGACACTCTCTTGCGTCTGAGCTGGAATATTCAATGGTCTCGGGGGACGCTGAGGGCGCGGATTTTTCTCGTTCGATTTCGAACGCGTCGGATACCGATGTTCAACCTGTACTGGCTCAACGTGTTCTTGAGGTGCATGCTTGAGACCCTTCCCGGCCGTCTTATTATCTCTTTTGCCACTCCGCACGGTTTGAACCTGAGCCTTCGATGGTTTCGGGGGACGCTGAGGGCGAGGGTGTTTGTCGTTCGACTTTGAACGCGTCGGGTACCGATGTTCAAATTGTTTCATCTCAACATCCTCCAGAGGTGCCTCCTGAACATCATTCTCCAGATCCTCACCCTGAACATTATTGGGCTTTGTTTTCGAGCGTGTCAAGTAACGGTGGCGGACAGCGGGAGGAGTAGGCACTCTCTCAATGTGTGACGGGCCGGCAGGAGGCGAATTGAGTTCGGCGGGAGGACATGAAGGCCTGGCAGAAGAGGAAGTTGGAGCAGAAGGGAGAGACAGTCTGGTGGGCGATTTGATGGGAGAAGTAGGCGGGTTGACGAGCGCAGGAGGTTCGTAAGTTGAACGTCGGCCTGATGATAATGGTGGGTCCTCAGTCTTCATTCGCTTTGAGCTACCAACAGGCACGTTATGCTCTCCCGCTTGAACATTGTCTATGGTTCTCTTCGTGCTACATGAAGTCTTCGGTATGGCAAGTCCTTGCAAGAAGGCCAGCTGTTCAGCTGTCGGGCGAATATTCGATTGATAGTGTTGCGGAATTCCAGACTGAGCGGCAACGCGGCGACGAGATGCTTGACTAGTTGTTGCTCCCCCGTTGAGAGCTATAGCTTGAGATTCGCGGACGGAACTGGCAATATATCCCGTCTTCTCTTTTGCGATGGCCTGGTCCACGTTTCGCTGGTATACGCTAGGATATTGGTCGGGAATTGCGTCCTTGTCCTTCCACCCTTCAGATGCTAGCACGGTTTCAAACATATCCAGCACTATTGAGACCTTGTCCAGAGCGCTCAAGAGGATGTCCCTCTGGGGTTTGCCTATTATGCGAACTAACTTATCGTCCAAGACGTGAGCCGTCCTCCATAACTCCGCCAGAGTGTGGATGAGGTCATTGAGAGGGCGACATTCCCACTGTACCTCATTAAGTCGTTCCCCTTTGAGAAGAGAAGCTTTCGAGTCGCCGCCGAATGACTGATACTGAGCCTCGCCTGCTACCTTCCGTTCTTGGATTTCATCGAAAAAACCAAGCGTAAAGCCCACGTCACGGCCATTATGTTTGAAATAGTGGAGGGAAACGTAGAGGAGGACCCAGAAACAGGATTCGAGATCATCGCGAACCTCGTGGGACTTGTCCGGCTTTTGAAGTAAAGCCATAGAAATAAACTGCCAAGTTCCCTGTGGCGCAATCAGCATCGATATATCCTCTACTTGAACTAAAACATACCGTTCGAGATGCATGGGGTTCCCGATCAGGAATTAGCCTGACACCGTGGTCCCAGTCATTGAGAACACCTCGACCCTTCTTGCTGATCATCACATTCCCTGTACTGATATCTCGATGAAACATGTCTCCGACTTCGTATGCAACCTTTATTGCTATAGTGATGGTAGAAAGGTTGTTGAGTATTAACGAAAAAAATGCATCGAGAGAAGAGACATACATTCAACCACGTCACGGAAGGCTTGAACAGCTTCCCGGGAAGACTGGACAGACGCGATAGGGTATGCAAGCTCTTGTACAATTCGACAGTGTACGTATGTCCGTAGAGGCTTGCAAGGTAGGCGCCACTCGGGGAAGCTATCAGGCTTGGACCACTCATCGCAGAAGGTTCGCTGTTCATCGCCGTCGACCTTCACGTCACCAGCGAGGATGACTTCCGGCAAGAATGGAACATCGCAGTCCAGCAAGTGCTTGTATATGCCAGCTTCGCACATGATATCCGTGCCTTCGGTACGCCAACAGTCTTTCAGGAAGACCAGCTTGTTCTGCGTTATATTGTATGCAGCATATGCTCTGGTAGCACGCCCATTAGCCGAGTCCGCATTCCAGAATGGTTGACGGATGATAAAATATTGAGGCTTCCCCTCTTCGTTGTCCATGCAAAGTTGGTAGGTAGAATAAGTGGGATCCGAATTGGCACGAAGAAATTCCATATTGCGGGGCCTCGATAGCTCAATGTAAGTCTCCATTGCATCCGTTAGCTGGTCCGCCTGCTCTGGAGTAGCACGTTGGACGGTGACGTCGAATCCGCGTTCCTTGGCATTCATGTGGCTATACCTCCAGAAGAATTCGGCTACGAGTTCTGGATGCTCCAGATAGTCGATGGATTCGGTGACAATACACCCAGCACGGTCCCAGAGTGAGAAACGAATATGTCGGCCACAGATAGCGAAAGAGAACATGAAGACCCTGTGTTGACGAGACATAGCCGCAGCAGCATACGAGATCAGTTGTCCACGACAGTCGGCGCTCTTGCCTTCGATCTTCTCCACCGAGTCCAGGTCGATGTCCTCGCTGTTGTAAGACTTGTGGAATGCATCGCCGTCGGGCCGGGGCTTCACTTCTCCCCAGAGATCCATTACGCTGAAGTCGTTGACATCGACAACATCTTTCGCGACCAGCGCGAGATCAGGACGCAGCTTGCAGCCTTCCTTATCCCTCGTGTTTGCAACACACATTAGTTTGAATCCTGGACAGACCTCAGCGTTATTCACAGCGTCACACTGTGGCATCATCATCAGTGTGTGTTCATGGATGATCTATAAAATGTAACTTACGATGGGCTGATACATATGCCTCTCAAGACCCCCAGAGGGCACCGGAGGGAGGATAAGATCAGGTATCGCCCGGTCTTGCCAAGTTGGATTGGACGGTACCATCAAGGAGAAAAGTACGGAACAAGGCGCAGGACCAATGAAAAGACCAGTCATTTCTTTCACGAGCCACTTGCGGAGTGCTGCGAAGTATGGGATGAGATATGCAAAATGTAGGAAACCAGCAAGAAGACACTGTAGAGGAGAGTTGGGGACCGGTCGAGGAGGACGTGTAGTATCGGTCGCGAAGGGAGATGGGGGGTCTACAGAGATGGGTTGGTGAGCCAAGTTAGACATGATTAGCGAGGGGGGAGGGGATGAATGACATACTGTGATATTTTTGACGGCAAACTTTATAGCCAATTGGAGAGCAGGGTTAGCAACGGAAAGGCGTAGGACAAAGAGAAATTGAGAGTGGATTTGACTGTGGTGTTTGACCACGCTGCTCGATCAAGTCAAAGCGTACTCAGTGTGGAATATTCTATTCTCGTACCTTGGAAAAAAAGAATAGATACGTCCTGTCCGTGGCTGGAATATATACGAGTTCGACGAATGATGCCTCGAGCAAAAAGATGATGTTGAGAGCGAGAACAACTTCTGAGCGGTGAAAACACTTCAGAGTAGATGAGAAGGAGGACGAGCACTCGAAGGAGATGAACTTGGTAGAACAAAGAGCATGTCTCAGACTGGCGCGCGTGCCATTAATTTCCACACAGAACGTCACGGTCTGCCACTCGTCACACTCCGTGGCCTGTGACGTTGAGACGTTGAGTTTGTTGTCCGTCGCTGAGAACTAAGTACGAGATTAGCTTCAAAAGCATATTCGTAAGAAAGACAAAGCCTCTCTAGCGGCTGAGCCAGTTTTCCCCATGTTCCGTACTTTGTAACAGAGTAACCAGTCGTCCGTACCGCGAGACAATGGTGAGGGGGCATAATTGCTTGCTTTTGCACCTTGGACCACGGACCAGCCACACTCAATGAACAAAGGAAATTCTGAGACATGCATCAGCGGACCCAAATTTCTGGTTGCTTCGCAACTTGATCATTCGAGCCTCAGGCCAAGGGCACGTCAGCCTAGAGAATTCCTGGCCCGCGTCTTTGAGTAGGGTCCAACGGCGATTCATATTCAGTGGCCACGAGAGATATCATTTACAAAGCGCGCACCCGCGAACCTAGATAGTGATTAGCCTGCGTTGGCGAAATAACCATGAGGAAGCCATTTCCAAGATGCTCTGCCATCGATGAGGCCAGCAAATATTCCTGTGAATCCTCATGTCGCATAGATCCCGAGTCTGAATGGTTTTGCGTGGAAACAGCGCTTTCACCGGAAACCCTTCGGGTCTGACGACATGAAGGATAGAACGGCCAAAATTCGGAGAATATTGTCTCCTAGCAGTTCGACGTCCGGATCTCTTTGGGGATGGCTCCAAATTGAGGGGTGGCTATCACCGCACCTCTGCGATTAAGCTGGTGAACTTCTCCAAGAACGCCTAAAGCTCTTCATGCGGATTTAACTCAACTGGACAAGGCCTCTCGCAAAATGAAGGTCAACGATTCCATTTCAAGGAGAAGCAGATAGTACTTCGTACCAACAGTGCGCTCATCCGAACGGCCTGCTGAGGGCCGTATCCCAGGCTGAGACAGCGGACTTAAAAGTATGTCTCAGGATGTAGCCTTTCCAACGCAGGGATGCCGTGGAATAATTCTCTTATGCTTGTATTTTGAATATGTAGCTGGGCCGCTTTCTGTAATGAATCTGTGTGGCTTAAAGTGTGCTCAGTATCATTCATTGACTCAACAGCTTGAAAGCCGAGTCGTGAGTTTTTATGACCGAGGTCTTGTGCCATGATAGCAAGGTAGTAGGTTCAATAACAATGTTCAAACTCCGATTACTTGGTCTTCAAAGTGCGTCTACAATTGTTTATTACTAAGTTTGTAGTCTAATCGATCTTAGACCTGCTCCGCTTTTTGAATTTGCGTCATGAACACAGTCGAGTTCAGTGATCAGCTTTCTTACCTCCTCTCTCTTTCGACGTCTCGTCCGACTTAAACTTGCTCTTTAGGCTTATCTTACGCTTTCTATATCCTGTCTTGACAACGATAAGATACATAATCGAAGGAAGCCCAACTCCAGCTTGAGGCACCTCTTCATTACTTCGGTGACGGGTCACCTATCCTTGCAAGCTAATCGCCTTGTTACCTTGGTCTTCCTGTCTCTTTGATACCCAGTGCTTCTTTGGAAGGTGGAAGTAGGGTAGAGTGTGTGTAGGCTGCATCACTAGGTACGTTTGTCGACGAATGTGGGGCGTTCTATCCCGGAGACTTAAAGAGTCCAATTCTGGATGTTCTTCGCATTGTGCACGTTTGAACTTCGCCAGATTACCTACTTGAATCTGTTTCAACACAAGGTTTACCTCAATGGCTTCCCCTCAAGACAATTCTTCAATTCTCTTCAGCTCGCCAGGCTCTACTCCGAGACCCACTCGAGTTAACTCTGAACACTCGCATTCGCCCGTTCAACACCACCGCAGTAGCATAAGCAGCGATGCTGCAGAACTAGGCCAACGACCTCCACGTTTATCTCCAACGCTTATGAGGTCTTATAATCCCAATGATCCTGATCAACAAGAGCGACAGCGTGCTATGGACGCTGACATGGCCATGCATCTTTCCCGGGCAAGAAGCAATACTATCGTATCATCTCCTGTGTCTCCTCCACGTCGCTCGTCGGAAGAGCTGCCTTTTCCCCCATTGTCGTTCCAAGAGCAGCAAGACATAGATGTTGCCAAAGTCGGAGGAGGTGTGAATGGTGAACTTGAACCATCTCCTAGTTTTCTTCCTGGACCAGCTCCCGAGTCCCAGTTGAACCATCTTAGCGTTGGTCAGGATCCGGGCTTGCTGGTCGCACTTGAAGCGGCAGAGCCAGACGATGTTACATTGGGCGGCCTGCCGATGTACCAAGCGAGCGAGGGTCGCCCAGCTTACGACTTCTCCAAGATGGAAGAATTCGTTCGTGAGGAGAAGGCGAAGTTGGGTATTCATAGTCCTGCTGCAGCTACCCCAGGAGCGTTTGATTTCCGCAATGTCGGTCGACCTACATCAGATGAGAATGGAGCAGGTCCGAGTGCTGGAGGCCAAATGCCTTCACCCTCAGACTTCACCATTCCATTCCCTCGACCGCGAGTACGTCAACGCAAGATCAGTCAGAGTCAACCGGGACCACGGAGAGGCAAAATGGCATTGTTTGAACAAACTGGCGCACCACCACCTTCTCTTACCTTCCGGGCTCCACGTCTAGCTATGGGAGAGGGTGGTACAACGCTTAGTACAGTACCCTCTTATGATAACCTTCCTGCTGCGATCGAGGCAGGAGCACCTTCAAATGGCATGATGCAGGGCGCTGGAGGTCTTGGTATGGGCTCAGGGCATGACAGACCATACCGCTTCTCGTTTTACTCCAACTCTCTCTCAGCCACCATCCATGCTCGAAGCCTTAGCGAGTTACCAGCGGAGGGGCAAACATTCGAAGACCTCTTCTTGGGCACCAGTACCCCTGAAGCCTCTCGTCAGTCAACCAGAACGGGCGCGTCAAAGACTGGAGCAGTACCGGTCCCACAACGCCCTTCTGGCATCTCAAAGATGTCAAATGCCGGCGGAGGAGGCGGGGGAAATGTGAATGGTCCAGGAAGTAGTAACACCGATTCGAATACATGGTGGCTTGACGTTCAATCACCTACTGAGGAGGAAATGAAACTGTTCACCAAGGTGATCTCCCAATTGAAGGCTTTCCTGTTGCAAACATCTGCTTACTACTATCTGTGTAGGTCTTTTCGATACATCCATTGACAACAGAAGATATTCTCATGGAAGAAACTCGTGAAAAGATAGAGTTATTCCGGACATATTACTTCGTCTGTTTCCGAAGTTTTGAGCAAGACCCATACAGCCCAACTTATCTCGAGCCACTCAACATGTATGTTGTTGTGTTCCGAGATGGTATATTATCGGTGAGTAGTGTGGCTGTTATGCACATCAAGCTTTCCCCTGACCTGACATTGTAGTTCCATTCCCGCCCAACACCTCATCCTCAGAACGTTCGCCGACGTATCAAGCAGCTAAAGGATTACATTAGCGTGACTTCAGATTGGATCTCATACGCTCTGATCGATGATATCACTGATGCTTTCGGACCTCTTATTCAAAGCATTGAGTATGAGGTCGATAGTATTGATGAGCTCGTGTTGATTCTTAAGGAAGCGGAGCAAAGTGACATGTTACGAAGGTCCGCGGCATTGTTATTTCTGACATATTTCTCTTTCACACCAACTGATCTTCGCGTTCTAGAATCGGAACGTGTCGCAAAAAGGTCATGGGTTTGTTGCGGCTCATGGGCAACAAGGCCGACGTCGTAAAAGGTCTTGCAAAACGCTGTAATGAGAACTGGCGTATGGCACCTACTTCAGATATCGTGAGTGCTCTTCGATCATTTACAGTGTGTTTGTGTCTTATGACTTGGGTATCCTTTAGGGACTCTATCTCTCCGACATTCAAGATCATTTGATCACGATGACGCAGAATCTGAACCATTACGAGAAGATCCTCTCGCGTTCACATTCCAACTATCTTGCTCAGATCTCAATTGAAATGACCGACGCGAATAACCAGATCAATGACGTACTTTCCAAGTTGACTGCATTAGGTACTGTACTGATCCCGATGAACCTTGTGACCGGTGAGTGGTAATATGTTGCACTAAAAGTTGATCAGCGACTAATCACCAACGTCTCGGACCTCTAGGCTTATGGGGAATGAACGTTCATGTACCTGGCCAGGATATCGAGGTACGCTTGCATTCCAATTGATTCACTTTCTTGTTCTGAAGGTTTGTTCTTAGACTGGTTATGCTTGGTTCGGCGGTATTGTTGCTGTACTGTCTGCGTTCGCCGTGGTCGCTGGTTGGTTAACGTACAAGCTCATGGTTGCACGATAGACTATCGTATCTTATATCTCACATTTCCCACACTCTGATATCATATTCACTGTATTTGAATCACGCATACTATATTGTTCACTAAAAATGCCACAGAATGACTCATACACCTAATCACATAACCGAATAAAAGAATAAGAATACTCCTAGTATTACACGCAATTGGAAAGGAAAGAAGCATAGAATCAGCAATCGAAGCAATTATATATTCAGAAAGAGAGCAAAGCATACGACGAATCAACGTCTCGAAGGTGAACTAGGATCAGAATCGGCCCAACGAGGATCAACATCGTGGTATGGTTCCCGAGGGGCATAGGTGGCTTTCATAGGACGAACGGGTACAGATCGAGACGAAGAGGGCAATTCTTCCAGTCTGGGAGGAATTGAAACGCTCGTAGGCATCAGCGGCACAGAACGAGGAGGATATGGTTGCTGATGTCCCGGCGGTGGTCCAACTGGATGGCGAGGTGGCGGGGCAGGAGGTGGGGGAGATCGTACATCGACGGGATTTGGAGAGAGCATCATGGCAAGTGAGGGAGAGAGGCCTTGATTTGATCGGCCAGGCTGTGACGATAGTGAATTCGAGTGTTGTCGTCGTTTTGGCGAGGTCGGAGAGCCACGAGCAAGAACAATCTCCTCGGCAACGGCACTTGGAGGTGAAGGTAAATCGTCAGGATACTTGCGTTTTCGGGAAGACGATGCAACAGGACTGTTCGTCACTGATGAACTGTGTTCCGGAAGGTGAGTCCTCGAGGTTGGAGGAGGTGCGGTCGCTGCAGCATTGCTCCATCTACTGGCGCGATTGGTTGCAGACCAGGGTGGTGGTGGGGGAACATGATGAATTGGAGTAGATGGTTGAGAGCGTCTGTCTGCGACATATGGAGCCGACGGAGGGGAAGTACGGTGTGCATGTGAAGGAACAGGTTGCATAGGTGGGGCTGGCATTCGAGAGGGTGGATGCATGCCGTTCGAATGCGATGCCATGGGTTGTCCCATAGGTCCACGGGATCCTCCATTGGCAGAAGCAGCCATACTGTCAGGTTGACCAGGTGTGAAGCGTATGAGCTCAACAAACAACGTCTGCTGGAATGGGGGTGCGAGTTTCATGTATATAATATCCTTGCTGAACGTGTCCAACATCTCCTTGGTATCAACATACATATCAGGCTCAGCATTATCTGCGAAATAACGTAAGGATCGCTCTGGATGCACAAATCGTGATGATACATACCGGGATGCTTGACGCGTACATCTGAATACGGGTAAGCCCTGTTCTTGCGCAAACAACAGAGGGGACAAATGAACTTCGTTGCATCTGTCGGAGCAAACACACAGCCACTGTGATATTTCTTGTTGCATAGCTCACACTCGACCGTCGGATAGCCCAAGAGATAGTGAGTGCGCCCCCTACAGATGCACCTCGTGCCATCCGCCCAATCTTTGTCGATATCTTGACCAAAGATGAACTTGGGACGACGACGCTTCTTCATCCGAATTGGAGCGGGTTGACCAGCCAGTATACGATGAAGACCAGCCAAATCAAGCCCGAAAGATACCTCGGGCAGAGGCGACACGGCGAACTGAATCTTGTACAACTTGCGCATGTAGTGACGCACTTGTGGAATGTATTCCGCACGTTGATTCGGTGCTTGTCCTGCGAAGGAGAGGAATTGTCCGATGACTCCAGATAGCCTGTCAATGCGATGGACGATAATTTCTAGTTGCTTCCAATCCTCGCAGTAGAATTTTGTGATGTCCGGCGCTTGCATGAGAATAGTAGGAAGGTAGCAGAAATGCCAGTTCCGTTCTTTGTGGATGCTACCATTCCAATGTTGATGATCACAAAAAGGACACGATCCACCATTGGCAGCGCAAACGCCATGGAACCTTGCATAGCAGTGATCACATTGAACTGCATCGGATACCGTGCCGGGAGCCGGAGGGCGAACAGGGTTGTTACATATGCAGGTGAAATACTCGTCATTGGGAGGCAAATCATCCTCGGGACGTGTTGACTCGACGACGTCGTCAAGAATCTTCTGCCCATGGGCTTGATTATGTTGGCGACAATACCAAGGTAGAGTTTCCAACCAACGGTAGTGCTGAGCGAGTTGCTGATCTAACCGTTCAGAATTCGGCAGGGAAAATATCTGCAAATGCTCTTTAGCATACTTGACCCAACCAAGCATGATGGCAAATATGTCCGTCTCCTCTCCAGGTTGAATAGAATAGCGATTCCTGAGCACAGCGTCACATCGCGATTCGGTGTCGACGGCGAAATCGACTGTTCTCCTGAGATCTACAAGAACAGGGAGCAGGTACTCCTTCTCAGCGCGAGAAACCATCTTCACGACATCCTGAACGCGTGGTTTGGGCTCGGCTCCATTCGGTATCAGCCATGCGGTAGCTTGTCTCTCAAACTCCCTTCCTCTTATTCGTACGGTGACGAGGCGGTCAAGTAGATCCGCATCGTATGCGACACCGGTGTGGGCCTTGATGCTTTCATCCAGCTCCTCCAAGGATTTCTGCGGCTTGGCGAGCACTTCCTTCGCACGTCTTTCCCACGCTTCCCCAGCACGAAGGCGACCGTCCAACCTCTTGTAGAAACGGTTATCCGGGCTGAGATTACACGCACGAGCACGGGCAACGAAATGTCGAATTTCCTCCAAGGAGAGCGCGTCGATATCAGTATCTTCTTCCATTTCCTTGAGAAGCTGCTCACGCATGACGATCTTCTCTACCTCGAGGATCTCGTCAACGTGCACGTTCAGTGACGACCCGTGCAGAATCAGTCGTTCGCACTCCTGAATGTATGCGTCACGTTCGCGAGCTGACGTAACAGTCTCCAAGAGATCCCGTGCTTTCGTCTTCGTTTCTTCGGCATCATGTGCGATGCTCTTGAGAGTCGCAATCTCCTGGCAGTCGAAGCCCAAGCTCTCAACTTCTCGCAGAAGAGCGTACAACTCGTCCAGACCCCGCTCCGGTTTATCAATCAATTCATCACCGAAACTACCAGAGGAAGAGCCCTCAGCAGAAGGACGACCACGAACGCGTTTGGCACGCTTGCGACTTGGCTTGCGGATGATGAATGTGTTGGCGGCGTCGACCCATTCATTGGCCTTGTTGACGCATTTTCGAAGAGACTGGAGTTCAGGAAGTGGGTAATTGATCCTATCGCCCTCAGCGAGCAGAGCCCGGAGGTTGCGAAGAGGAGGACGAGCGCTTTCAGCCAAAAGTTTGCCTAGTTTTGCGCGCCATAATGTAGGAATGGCGGCTCTCTCGGCGACCTTCATTTGAATGTCTTGCAATTCCGTGTCGCTATACCGCTTGCGCAAGACTCGACTTGACTTCGAGCACTTGCAGAGCTCATCGATGTGATCGATGCAAACCACCTTGGTTGTGCACGAGCATGTGATTTGGGAGAGGTAGCAGAAGACCTTGCAGATGGTGCATTGATATTGCTCTTCCGGACGATCGACTTCTTCATCGACTTCGCCCAATTCAAGAAATCGAGCTTTCGATCGTGTCTCCATCTCTCTGTCAGTCATCTCTTGTAAGCTTGGGTTCAACCTGTGGGAGTCAGTGAGACAGGGGAAACGAGTATGGAAGGATAAGCTCCATACCAGAGAGCTGTCTTAATAGACTGCGACTGTTGCGTAATCGTGATGAGTAGTTCATCGTGGGAGAAGACCGGGAGTTTCCTGTGTTCCTGGTAGCGCTTCATACAATCAAGTCCGTACGGCAGCCAATCCGGCAGAGCAAAGTTCACGGCTTCATTGAAGTTGAACTATCAAACAAAGGACCATCAGTTTAGGGATGCCCACACGATCAGAAGACGATCAGAATCCGTTCAACAAACTTACTCCGTGATTGAATCCGGCGTGATACGCCTTGGGGAACGTGATCACAAATTCACCTGCGCGCTGATTGCACGCATACACGTCAACACCAGCATCCTTCAAGCTCTTGGGGTTCATGAGCGTCACCAACTGAAAGAGGAGATCAGGTTGCGCTTCAAACAGATCGGGCGCTTCCTTTCGAATCGCGGCTTCGAATTTCGCTGCGTCTTCGCCTGGGACGCTGTACCATGTCTTTGTCTCGCCCCAATGCACTAAATTAAGGGTTAGGTGACGCTGATGCGGAAACCAGGCGGAACTCACTATAATTAATGCTGTATGTGTAGTGGTCCTCGTTATGCCAACAGAACGTCGAGAAGACCATACCCACGTAGGTCCAAGGAACAGTCATTCCAGAAATATCGGACTTGATGAATCGAAGCAGTGACTCAGGAAGGATTGGAATGTTATTCAAATTCCAGGGATCCTTGGAATAGGGGTTCAACGGGTGAGTTTCCAATGTGGGCATACCACTGTAGAAAACCGATGAGAATGGCCGGAAATGGCATGGTACATCTACATACCTTCCATGAAGCGTAGAATGCACATCAGCACCATATTCGACTTCAACAGTCTCATTTGGTGACTCGACGAGCCTCCAGAACTCGCGTTCGACGTCAGTCTCCGACACAACGATGTCCCCAAATCGGTTCACAGCAGGATCGGGGGCATCCTTTGAGCTGTCACCGTTCTGAACCCGAGTTTGCTCATCGTCGGGGGATGGAGGATGAGACTGGAACCAAAGCTTACGAAACTCACGGTCCCTGGCTTGGAAACTAGATAAACTGTGTTCCTCGCCTTCATCGAAGCCAAAGTCGCCACCGGTGCCGAAGAGGCAGATGTGACAGAACCATTGACCCTTGGGAATAGTCGTGAGAGGGGGATCAAGGCAGAACATGTGGAAGCCTGCAATTCATCGATAAGGAACACGAAGAAGAATGGAAGTACGTGGAGCTTGATGGGCACATACCGCAATCGCAACCATCGCAAAGAAGCATTTCGGTCTCGCGATTCTTCTTGTGGCAGACCTCGCAATGTAACTGGCGAACATGACTTACTTTCGCCGGGACACGGGCGATCGTACTAATCGAACCTACCTCGGGATTCGGTTTGCCATTGCTGGTTCCGGCCATCAGAGCGTTTACGCTAGCAGCAGTTCTACGAGCTATTGGATGAATCGCATTAGCACCCAGATGACATGTCGATCCGTGCAACTACGCACGAGTCTGTTGTTCTTGAGATGTCTGCCTGGTGGTTCTTCTCAGCTTATGATCGAGCCTTTCACTCTCATCCGGCGGTTCGGACAGTGGACTCGACGTAGCCGTCAGAGGACTTGATGGTGGACTGTCGTCTCCGTTCGCCTTCGCTCCATTACAGGACGAGCCACTCTTAGTCTGAATGTTTTGATGTGTTTTGAGTTGTGGATCATGATGCTTGTTAATCGACATATTGGGGGAATTCTTTACCCTATCCTGAAAATGCTCATATGGCAGAATGACCCGTGCATATGAATTCTTCATTTGAGTCGACAGTCCGGGAATGCCACCATATCCGAGTAGGCGACCGATGTCTGCCCACTTCTTCCCTCTTGTTACCTATGGTCGGATAAGAATCATTCATAGATAAGCTTTGCAGGCGAACGTACTGCGTCATATCCTCCCAGTTTCTTCACCTCTCTGCGCAACAACCAGAGATCGAGAGGTTTGTGGTTGATAGTGGGCACCGAGACCCGGGGGTTGCCCTGTTGCTTGTGGAAACGGTAAAGCGCTTCTAGAAAATTGACTTTGGCTCGCGAAGCGGCCTCAATAGAGTTCAAACGTTGAAGGCGAGTCTTGAATCTGAATGTCTACAGGGAGAGTAGTAATGAGTCATGTTGTTAAAGCATCATCGCCACCTGAACATTGATTGTGGCACTTACCTCAGTCTCGCTCACGAAAGGCATATCCCAGCCCAGCGGCGGAACAATCTTGCACATGCCGTATGTTCTTGCATTCTCAGATATCGACTTGATATAAGCAAGTGGGTCCTTGAATTGTTCCGGCGTCGGACGGAAAGTGGGGCAATCAGTGAGACCAAACGGGCGCTCAAGAGGTTTGGACGGCGAGTTTCGAGGATTGGGAGTCTTGACAGACGACATGTCAAGCGATGGAGAGACACGGATTGCAGGACCATCCCACAATTTGACTCTGTCGCCCACATCTTCGGCGATGGCATCATTCTTGTCCTCTTGGCTGTCTGATGCTTGGGCGTGGTTATGAAGAGCAACGAGGGCTTCCGTTTTAGACTTGCGAGGAGCCCGCTTGGACTCCGGACCAGCAGAAATCCCAACGTCGATTCGGTTAGGGCGAGATGAAGGCTCGAGCCTTTCGATCGGGACTGCACCCTCTACAGGGATAGTCAAGCAGGAAGTAAAAGTGGGCGGCTGTTTGGGCGTAGCGTCGGGCATTGCAGTTAAGGAATTGTGGGGATCGTCGTCGTTGTCGTCGTTGAGGGACCCCCTGCGAGCGGGGGTGCGCCTTGTCGGGGGATCGGTGTGCATGGGAGGGTGACCTACGAGGAGAGACCAGGGCGACACTTGGACCTCCAATTGAGTCTTCGTAGGGCCAGCGGTGCTTCAATTCCACCCGGCACGCGCTACAACGTGTGAACCTTACTGTGCCGCGGACTCCGAATTTTGACTTGCCGATGCAGCCGCTGCATTCGCGGTGTTCGTCCACAAACCCCCATCTGCCTTCTCGTCCACGCCTAGAACGCCTTTATCGCCTCCTAACCTTCCTACCCCTTTCCTGCAGCTGCGCAACACAGACGGGCTCTTAATCACCACACCCACACTCGCGAATACATTTGTTGTTGACCATCAAACCTGTCGGATCGGCGTGGGATCTCGTCTTCTGTACTCGGGGTGGTTCCGTTGTGATCACAATCCATCACGATCACATGTGTCTCTTCTAAATGACATCTTTACCACACCCACAATCGGCAAGGCCGTTTCTAAGAACAACGATCCTATTACTCACAGCCACTTCGGTCGGCAGGCACCCATGCGCCGCTCTTCCAACTCACACACTAACTCACTAAGCTACCAGTCCTAGCTATAATCGAATTTGTAGGTGGGCATTCTCAACTATCTTCCAATCAACTTCTCCGAGGTTCTACCCAGACCTGTCCCAGCGACTGAACGAGTGTGAAGTGTGCTATCTCTGCCGATTGGAAATCGCCGCTCTAGCCTGGCGTTCGTTAGGACCCGCAACCTTATCCCTTGCCTCCTTCACATGCCTTGTGAGCCAACACCATGCCGCTTTCAGTCCTCACAATCAAACCCTTCCAAGTCCGCGAAGATTCAACAACACTGTTTTCTTCACACGTCTGTGACAGAACCCTACGCCACAAGACCTTCGAACAGAAATGCAAGGAGAACTAGTGAATGGGTACGTCGGCCCGGCTTTAATTGTATCTTAGCCGTCCGTTCTTGGAATGATAAGAAAGGGTTGTCTTCGGTGGAGGTCTCCGAGTCGAATCATACGAACGCCCCCCAGGGCCCCAACCTTCTAGATGGACATCTCTGCCGCTCATACTTTCTCACTGCTCTCTGCCAGTGAGCGTCCCGTGTGAACAACTTCCCTGCTGTTGCATTTCATATATGTCATCCTCTACTACACTTCTCGCAGTTCTATTCCTAGCGTCAATTTGTCAAGTTGTTCACTCTTTCTTCACGTGGATAGTCGTTCTAGGATATAAGGTCTCAAACCGACGATCCCGATTGTAAAAGTGCACTCACATACAGCTGACCCTTGCTTCCATCGACGCCACCGTTCGATTCATTAGGCGTTGGCCCACTGCGTTATATGCTTGGCAAAATACCGATGATTGTACGTTGCCAATAGGGGATATATGAAAGTCGGTCGATCATTTGTACGACCAGTCTAGGGTCACCCTAGCTGCAAACAGTCTGAGTACTCATTTCCGTCCAATAAAAACACTTAGTATTTAATCCTGAAATATCTACGAATAGATCAAAACGAAACCGATACAATAATTCCGCTTGACATCCAGCTGAGTACAGTAAGTTTATAGCTTCGGGGGATCGCCTCGAGGCGGGTACAAGGACAAACACAAGGATGGTTTCAAACTTGTTTGACGAGATCGATCGGGTGTAGGGCAACAATACTTGGCGCGAGAGGCGCTCGCTTGCTTGACGCACAGGACCATCATTGCTATTGCTTGTCCATGAACAACGTGGTGACTCAAGAAAAGTATGGCTCAGTTCTCGCAACCTCTGAACACTATAGCTTTCGAGTTACACACTGGATTCCCCTGTTTCTGAACAAGACTTACCCGATGTTGTTGTATTTGTATAACAGGGATGCATCTTCAGGCTGTACGTTCCACAATTATTGAGCCTTTCCACAATACCCGACCTGAGCCGTCGCAGTGGCTCAATGGTACTTGAGAGCTGAGACTTAGGGAGGCGTTCGATCACAGATCGGTTCGCGGACCTTACATATTTCAACTGCAAGGCTGACTCGAAGAAGCATAGAAGGTGCTCAAGATCGTGTTCAGAAACTGTGTAACTTTTAAACTTGAGAACTTCCCTGGAAGTATCTGCGAGAGCACCGCTACGATTGAAAGAAGCGATGTGAATGTGAGCTCAAGAAAAAGATAAAAGTTGTAACCAGCTACCCCCAGTGGGACTCGAACCCACAACCTCCAGATTACCTTCATTGATAGAAGTCTGACGTCATAACCATTAGACAATGAGGGCTTCATCGAATCTGATTTCTATAAATACATGGCCACTGAGCATTTTTCCCACTCCCAAGTTTGCCGCGTCGAGGAGCCAACGATAGATGTACCAACGGCCATGCATCAAAAAATTGACCAACATCATTTCAAACGAGGTACTAACTTATTTGAAACCGGCGATCGAGTCTGCTCACTTTGAAAGGACTCTGCGTCGACACCGTGACCTGCTCGTGTAGTCCTTGATAGACATCAATGAACTGCGTTCTAGTAAACAGACTGATGTCAGGTAAGTAGAGCTTTACTATCACTGGTTAGCTCCACAGACGAACATGGATATGGGATCTCCGGCATATCTGGGATGTGAAACATTCCTGCAAACATGGACAGAAGCAAGTTCGTCTGCATGAATGCAATGTGAGACTCACCAAAATTGATATCGCAAGTCTCAGGACAGCATCTTCAGAATCGTGAACAGTGGTATTAGAATCAATGGCACGCATACACTAACACAACATGGGCTCAGCAGTACATGGTATTCTCACACAAAGCTCAGACATCTCTATGATTTGTGATAACTTCATTCAAACCACTTTGAAACGAGACAAGAGGGAGAGTAGTAGCGAGTAATAAGAGAGAAACTATGCCGATTGAATGCGATATGATACGAGATGCAAAGAGACGCGCAGAAAATGAACGTGACGAATGAGCAGAGGAAAGGCGACACAGAAAATGTCGGAGTCGATAAAAGAAAGACGGTTCTAGGTCGAACCTATCAATCCGACAATGACATGAACTACAAGGTAATTTATGCAGCCTCGTCTGCGGGAGCCTCGCCAGCCTCATCCTTGTCCGCAGGCTTGTCTGTAAATCGGAGTAAGGATACAACGCATGACATCAATAAAAACTTGAGAACTACGTACCAGATTCTTGCATGTCTGAGGTCCAGAGAGTCAAGTTGTCACGGAGCAATTGCATGATAAGGGTCGAGTCCTTGTAGCTCTCTTCTGATAGCGTGTCGAGTTCAGCAATGGCATCATCGAACGCCTGCTTGGCAAGATGGCAAGCACGGTCGGGGCTGTTGAGGATCTCGTAGTAGAAGACAGAGAAGTTGAGTGCGAGACCGAGACGGATGGGGTGAGTGGGAGGGAGCTCGGTCACAGCAACATCGGAAGCAGCCTTGTAGGCCTCAAGGGACTTGTCGGCACTATCTTTCCTCTTGTCACCAGTGGCAAACTCCGCTAGATAACGGTGGTAATCGCCCATCCTAGAAGCGGCTGTGAGTTAAGCGGCCATCAATCGGGAAAGAGAAACATACATCTTGTGGTAGAAGACCTTTGACTCGCCGGAAGCAGCGGAGGGGATGAGGTGCTTGTCAAGAACGTCGAGGATGTCCTCGCAGATCTTGGCGAGCTCACTCTCGATCTTCTCCCGGTAGCCCTTGATCATCTGGACCTGGGCCTCGTTACCCTTAGACTCCTCCTTCTGCTCGATGGAGGAGACAATTCTCCATGACGCACGGCGTGCACCAATGACATTCTTGTAGGCAACTGAGAGAAGATTACGTTCCTCAACGGTGAGTTCTTGGTCGGAAGAAGCGACACGCTTCATGTTCTCAACCATCTCTGAGGGATCATGGCGATGACGCGTCAAAACGTTTCTATACACACATAGCAAGTGACGTGGTACATACCTTCATAACGCTCGGCCTGCTCAGCGAGCTTAGCGAGGTAGACAGAGTCCTCACGCGACTGGGTTGTGGCCATCTGGTGGAGACGACGTGTTCAGCACCTGGTTGATAATTGGATACGCGAATGACGCGTCTACTTACTGTTGATAAGTGGAAGTAGGTGGGGGATAAACTGAAGGTTACAGAACAATGAGTAGGACGTCGGGGACGGTGAGGACGACGACGGGACACTCACGCGAGATAAGGGTGGCAAGTGGGGGAAGTGTGTGTGATGATGGTAGTTGAAGAAAAGGAGAGAGGGGGCGAATAAATCAGGAAATTAAATTCTGGCCTGGGCAGAGGGTTTCCTCGCATGGGCAAAGGGCACGTCACGTGCCAGACATTCCCACGCCAATAGCCCCGGCTCTGTCCGGCCATTGAAGCGCCGGGTCTTCAGTGCGACGCCTGTCCTGTTTGGCAATGACCTCGAAGTGTCCATCTCGCAGTTTGCTCTAGAGTCCAGCTCTGACATCGCAATCTTACACAACTGTCTTCAGACATTTGATCGGCCGTCCCTTCGAGCCGGAGTCGACTTTTGTAGGTTCTTCTGCGAGCGCAGCCTTTTGGATGGGACCCTGTGCTTCCTCAACTAGGACAAAGGGTTACCAATTGGTCAACTCAACCCCAAATCTATCTTTGCACGGTTCCTATTGAAGTTTGTCCTCCGTATCTCGCTGGTATGAACCCAAGATGAAACTCTTTTCGGTTCGCTCTGACGAGGTCTAGAACTGCCCCCTCTACAATGAGTAACTCAGTTGCTTATCTCCAGTATTTGGCCCCTGTACTTCTTACTCGTCCATTCTTTGGGTTCCTTGGAAAGAACAGACATCGGCCCCGGAACAGGGCCATTATGGAGGCGTACTAATCTTTTCGCAGTACCGGCGCTTTCAAGCTCCGTCTTCTGTGGGGCGAGCCCGTCATGATGAGATACGGCTTGATGTTTGGTATTGCCTTAACCAGGACACCCTGTACCCTGCATCACGGTGTACAGTTGCGGACAAGCCAAGTCGACAAGTCTGGTAGCGCCAGAACGGCAGACTTTGGGGCGAAACTGATTTCGGATTCGAACTCAGGGAGGCCGAAAACGTCTGAAAACATGCTTCCGAAGTTTCTCCCGTGAGAAGTTGGGGTGGCCAAAAATTTCGGCCAAAAAATCTGAAGATTTGCTACACTACAACCACAATAAAATTGTCTACACCCCTTCCGCCGCGCTTCGTGAAGTGACAACTGGTGTGTCCTCACCTACAACAGCCAGAATTGACATCATGGCTGTATTTGAGACCTGGCGATGTTGCTTTTGCTTTCGTACTGCCCATGCCGCAGCCATCCCAGTAAGACCTCTCCGATATGCACTCATGAATCGATATGACCGATTTATGAACTGCCGTATGACTTCCACCGGGCATGCATTGAGTTTCAGACTCAATGTCCTTCCACCCGAGCTCATCAACGTCACCTTCCCATTCCTCATCCTCTTCATCTTGGACAAAGGTAGGCCGGAGACTATCAAAACAGACCCCCATACCCAAGCCGTCCCCTTCATCACTGTCAAGCACGGCCTCCATTGGACTTGGTGCGCGAGAGCGGCGCAATGAGCCATCTGTTGAGTTTGTCGCATCTAAAGCACGGCTTTCAAACTCTACAGTTTTGGATGCATGCTTCAGTGTGCTCCCTGAAGCTGTCAGACTGGCTACATTCCCGCCTTGATTCTTTAAGCCAGAAATGTCTCTCCGAGCTCTTCTCTTTGGATATTTAGGGGCCATAGTGACAGAGAAAATACCTTCCCGGCATGCCGTTCTCATAATATGACCATTGAAATTGATCCTAATCACTAAGGGAGTGCATCGCGCCCGTACGAACTTCACGCCAGGTTAGGTGTATCCATTACCATTTCACTCAAATGATGTCGTCAACATTCTATACTCATCGAATGGCATCGAATACAATATTTTCATGATTTTAGGGATTTTTTTAGGGGGTCGGCCAAATTTTTGACCTTCCAAAAGTTAAAACTTATTTTCTGAAGAATCGGCTCGTGCAGTTCTGCTCATTGCAGTTCAGAATCATTGTACTACTGGTTTAAAAGCTTATCGGACATGTGTTGAACGCTACATCAACGGTCGACTGACTTTGTCGACTTGGCTTGTCCGCAACTGTAGTTGGCCCCACGAATGGAGCTCCTGTGATAGTTGGACGTTGTTCCGCCAGATCAAATGATAGATGACGCGTTCCATAGAAAATCATTGTCATTCTTCCTTATCTTGTTACAAATAGGAGTTGCATTGTATTTAGTGTCGTGTTTCTGATTCCGTGAATATTTTCTTGGCCAGTCGAATTTGAATGTCACGGTTGTTTGTCCTGCGTGTACTGTGAAGATCGATCGAAAACAAAAATGATCGGCGCATCACAGCGCCCTCGTACTTTCACCAGTGGCGGTGCCAAGCATTGAACGCACACGGTGACCAACACCCATGCGGTCTTCATGGTCCAACCTCTCCTGACAATCTTGGCTCTGTTCTCCTTGCTCTCTGTCGGACTCCTATATCTCTCTGGCAACGATGTCGTCGAGACACTCTCCCCGCAAGGATGTCGCATGTCATGGATGTCCCCATCTTATGTCATGCAATCTGCTTTCAACGCGTCCTGGACTCCATTAGCGAAAAGGTATTCGCTTTGGTTGTATAGAGAAGTAGGATGGGAGAACCATAACGTATGTATGCATGCCTTGTGCTAGAGCCAAGAGGTCTTGACTGAGTGTTAGTCAGTTGCACGGTCAACCAGTCCTGTTCATTCCAGGGAATGCTGGTTCTTCTCATCAAGTCCGCTCAATAGCGTCTTCAGCTACTAGACAGTTCTATTCCGGCCCATATAGAATCTCAGATGAATTTTACGCTCGACACTTGAAACCACTGGATTTCTTTGCAGGTGCGTCTGCGTTTTGCCATTTTCTCATGATCAGGCAGTCGGTAACATCAATCACAGTCGAGTTCAACGAAGACCTATCAGCTTTCCACGGCACGACTCTCGAATCAGAAAAACGCTATACCTCCCGAGCAGTCGACTACATTCTAACACTCTACCCACCAAACACATCAATAATCATCCTCGGTCACTCAATGGGCGGTATAGTCGCGACGTCTCTCCTCCCGCACCCGAACATATCCACCATAATTACCATGTCAACACCACACACCCTACCTCCGGCTCGGTTCGATGCGCGGATTGACTCCATATATGCTCTGAACAAGCAAGTGCTGGAGGAGAATCTCACACCTATCCTTTCGTTATGTGGTGGTGCGACAGATTCGATGGTACCCTCTGAGTCGTGTATCCTTCCTGCATCGAGGGAAAACGTATATAGACGGACAGTGTTCTCGAGCGCTCTGGAAGGTAGCTGGACGGGTGTCGGACATCAAGAGATGGTCTGGTGTCATCAAGTTCGCTGGCGAGTCGCTAGAGCCGCTTTAGAGATCGGCGCCGCATCTTCGCCTGAAGGACGTGGTGAAATATTGGATACTTGGCTAAGAGATGGAAGCGCCCTACCTCCAGCTTTGACTTCAAGCCAACATGTTATTCTAGATATTTCTTTGCGGCCTGGACAATTCGTAACGCTGCCTGAAAACCAACGGCTCGAACTGAAGAGCCCAACCGTCGATCAAATTTATCTCTTGCCGGTCCCAAAGTCTGATACCTCGAACTCGAAGTTCGTGTTATACCTTTCTCAAGGCAGCATTTCTCCAACGGCGCCTCAGCGCCCCCTTCCGCTTCGCGTGACAGTTCGAACTTGTCACCCTGATTCCTCCGGAGAAGATGCTTTTCGATGTACCTCTCTGACACCTTCCACTCTGAAACTCGTTCCTAACCCGTTACCTGGACGGCCTTTCCCCGTGCCGGGTGAAGGATCGGACGAGAGTGAAGGTGTGGTATTTTTTGAGGCCGATATTAATGTTTCAGGGAACGGGAACGCTGCGTGGGTAGCTGTCTCTGTAGAAGGTGGTGATGGACGAGGTTGGGTCGTTGGTGGATTCGTGCAGGCTGAGGTTGTGGTCAGTATGGTGAATTCCTTCGGTAGGTGATCAGATTAATTATGTCCTGTGGTATGGCTAAACCTGGTTGTGACAGCGCCATTTCTCTCGACCGTTTCGATTGACTTGTCCGAAGATTCGATCTCTACAAAAATCCACCTGCCCACTCTGCTGTCCCACGTGCTTATCGTCTACCGACTTACGCCTCGTTTCAGCTCACCCTGCACAGGTAAGTTACTACCGTGATAGCGAGCTAGAATAATTTTTATAACCCTCGCGACGTCTGTGCAGAAAGTCTCCTACTTCCACTTCTCCAACACACTTCCCATCCCTCCGAAACCCATTACTTTTCACTTTCCCTCCCACCTCCCCGCAAGGTCCTCTTACACACTCATGCCTCCGCGCCTTACATCACGCCTCCCGCTCATGGATTCAATCTGAGCATTTACTCTAGCGGTGAATGCCGTTTGAGCAGCGTCGAAGTGACAGTGGACTTATGGGGTACGCTTGGGAGGTGGGGCATGAGATATTGGTCTGCCGTGTTGAGTTGGTCGGTTGCGTTAGTTGCATCCTTGATTTTTGATGCCTGGAGTGTTAGTGGTGGTAAGTACCTTTTATCTCAACAACAAATCTTTTTGAAAGCCGTTTTCCCTTTTAGATGCGATTCCATCCGTTGAGGCTACGCTCTATCGTTTCGTCAAGAAACGACTTGCGTGGTTTATCATAGCTGCAATTTTGATCTCCTTGATCCCGTTGCCTGTTGGTGTTTGGTTTGGAAACGCAGGTGAACCGATGTTTGTACTGATCGCACCATTCTTGATGGCAATCGTCACCGGTCTCGTCTGTGTATCCTGGTGGATTCTCATGATATCGATGTGGGCGTGGAGGGCGTTCGCCCGCATTTTACCTTTCGGACGAAGGTGAGCATATGCACCCGAAGTATTCTTCCAAGTTGTTGCCCGAGATTAACCGGTATTTGCAGTTCGAGCAGAAGACTGGCATCTACAAGCGGTAACAGACGCAATTGGATCGTATCCATGGCTATTGTCTTTCTCGCGATATTCTTGATAGTGCCGTGGCAGGTTGCCTTTCTAGGCTGCTGGATATTCCAATTCTACACCTGCATCACTGCCTCAAAACCAGCTGCTTCCTCTCCGTCATCGCCTTCCGCCATTCCCCTCATGCCTCAGCCATCGGATTCACCGTCTACACCCACTCCACCGTTTTATGAACACCGCAGTCCGATAGAATCAACTCCGCATCAAAATCGAACACACATTGATCTTCTCGAACAAGAGAACCAGAGCAACGAATATTTGTTGTTGCTGATGACGTGGTTGTTACCTCTGGCTGCGCCAGTACTAGCTGTGTGGGTGCGAACCCTCGCAACAGCAGGGTTGACCACGCCATTTGATGGCGATCACAACGTCTTGTACGTTGCTCCGTTTATTCTGTTGCTTGATTTGGGCCCGGTCGCGGCTGGGTTTTTGGGTTCTCGGTGAGTCCTTTTTTACTCGAGCAGATGGTTGCATGCTGACGGCTCTCACAGTGGAAGTCAGCGAGGATGGCTATCGCCTCGATGGGCTTTCCTAGTATTTTCTAGAATCGCGCTCCTTTTCGGGCCTCGCTGGACGTATGTTGTGTTCTATGCAGCCAGTGCTGCCCTTGGCATTTTGCTCATGCTGGAACTCGTACCGCAGTATTGGACTAGTTGGCGTGTTAGGTATCGGTAGAATAGTTGTATACCATTGTTGCATAGATTTGTCTCTACTTTTGTCGAAGCTGTGTGAAGCGCCCGTTGTATTGGACAAGAGTAAGTTGGCGGAGGACAGTGCGGTGTGTGAGCGGACGACTATGACAGACAGCTGAATGCCAACTGTCTTGTCAATTGTCTTTCCATTGTTACCTTTGGATACCCTCTTTGCACCCTCTTCTACTCTTCGACCACGATCGCAGAGTTGAAATCAGACGGTAGCGCTTGCAGAGTTATATTTGCCGTCATTCTTCAATCCTGATTCCTGACCCTCAGGGTCGTTTGACGCAGCTGGCTGCCTCTACTCACACACTCGCTTCCCCTTCACAATATTCACCACTACACGAGGCCTTCTATATTCTTGCTGCTTAGCCCCTCATGAATGGAGTCCGACGCTTTCTAGGCGGTGGCGGATCAGGTACCACCACCCCGACCACGCAAGGAACACCTCTCCCAGCCACGCCTCCGACAACTGCACCTCTCTTTATCTCTAAACCATCATGGCCACCCAATTCTCCTCCACAATCGCCACCAGGCACCTCTCCACCACAACTCACCAGTCCGAAGACTACAACAGCTGCATTGTTCTTCCGAAGAGACAAGCAAAGACCTATCCCAACATCAGAGGACGAGAATGGGATCGCTAATTCATCATCTATTCAATCACCTCGTAGCTCTAATGGGATCCTTTCGACCCCTTCTACCCCTTCGCGAAGCACCAATGGTCTGCCTCAAGCATCATCACCTGGCGCAGGTCCTTCATCTCCGAGCCGACTTCCGCTTCCTCAGCGTGTCTCTCAACTATCTCGCAAGTCCGTGGATCGTGTTGCACCTGCAAGCTTAGATTTGAAGCGGATATCTGGAACATCCAACATCAGAGATGAGTTGCTCATATCACTGCTCGCGAGTGAAGCGGTCGTCGATAGTCGAGGATATGAGGCTCTGAGCTCGGAAGAGGTGGAGGAATTGAAGAAGGTGTGCATGTTTCGTCACGACTTCTTAATGACGAGGCATTTCATATGGCGTGTAGGAATATCAAGTTCTTTCGTCACGCTTGGTGGCCCTAAATAAGAAATTGCAACTGGAGACCAAGATGCGCGATGCTGCCCTTTCTCTCTCAAAAGCCAATGCCTCATATAAGAACGTCTCCAAGCAAAGTGCTGACCAGCTTGATGCTGCGAATCGCAAGGTGGAGACAGCCCAGAAAGAACTGTGGAAAGTCTCGGAACGGGCGAATGAGATCCAGCGTAGGCTGCTGGAGCATCGAGCTAGCGTACTCAGCTACTCACTGAGCAGCTTAGAGAAGAAGATCGCACCTCCAGACACTGCAAGTGGGGATACTAGTACTAATTCAGGATACAGTACACCAAATCGAAGTTCCCAAATCAGTCCGACGGCCACTAGCATGACAAGTCTCCAATCCGCCTCCTCAAAAGCCCGCTTCGAACATTTCTTTGCCGGTCACTCTGATGCTGTCACACCTTCAACACCTCGACGTCCACCCACCACGGCCGAAGTCCAAGAGCTCGAGGAGAAGCTTAAAGCCGCAACATCTGCATTGGAAGCGGCGAATGCTAAACAGGCGAAGATGTCACGAGAACTTTCCCTTCTTCGATTAGATAAAGAACAAATCGAGACTACTCTGAGCATGGAGCTTCAGAATGCTGAAGATACCATTAACGCTCTGGAGAAGGAGACAGATAGGTGGGAAGAGGTCGATGTGCAGTATAGGAAATTGCAAGAAGAGAAGGACGTTTGGGAACAAGAGCACGTCGAACTGGAGAGTCGGAGACAGGAGGTTGGTGAACTTCAGCAGAGGGTTCAACTTCTGGAACAGCGAAGTGGCGAAGCTTCGGACATCGAGCAGCTCATTGTGAAGGAGAGGGAAACGCACAAGGTCGAGATAGAGTCGAAGTCTCGAGAGTTGGACCAAGCCAAACAAGCATGGGAGGCGGATCGCGCTGCATGGGAACTCGAGAAGTCCACGCTCGAAAGTCAGATCCAGGAAAGTGCTGCCAAGTTACAAGAAGCCCTGGTTGCCGGTGAACATAAAGCCAAACTGGACGAATGCTTTGACGCATTGCGCGATCTCGTTCAAGTCCATGGTATCCTTCTAGTCACTCGAGAACCGACGCTTACAGGTTTGGTCGCTTCAGTTGGACACCATCTTGAAAACTTCAGCATTAAGCTCACTGCGAATACTCGTGCACAAGAGGAATGGGCTGCCGTTCGGACCAAGTTGGAAGAAGATGTCAGGGTTGGCTTGGATAAGAGAGAGGCACTGTTCGAAGAACTCGACAAGGCCAGACGTGAGCGCGACGAAGTGAAATCCGAAGTCCGAGATTTGCAAGGTCAACTTCAGGCATGTCATAACGTTCACATCTTATATTCGTTATTGTAAGGATACTGATCACATCTACAGGAACAATCGTTTGCATCTGTTGCGTCATCTGTGTCTCTAAGTGGGCCTGTCGAGTACACTGGCGATGCTGAAAAGGTCGTCGCAGTTCTCAAGCCTCTCTGGGCAATCCTCCCTTCTCCAGAAGCTCGTGCGGGCAAGATGGGCAGCAGATTCCGGGCAGGTTCACCCGGTTCACCAACAAGTTCACCAGTCACACCACGACCTGGTCCGTCACTCTCCGAGATGGATGTTCGATCCCTCAAGACGCTCTATGATCCCAAGGGGCTCCCTTTCCAAGCCGGCAACAAGCCCGAGTCATTCACCGTTGAGGCCTTTGCTGATCGCGTTCAAGCTCTTATTGCTGATGATCGCGCGCTCATTGAGAGGTTGGTTCGCTTCGCTCAGGCGCATGACCTCTTAAAGAAGAATGCAGAACGTGCGCAGAAACTTGCTCAGGAGAGTAATATTGCGTTGGAGACCTATCAGAAGCAAGTCAAATTGCTAGAGGAAAGGGGTCTCAGCATGATGACCAAGCAAGCCGAGCTGTGAGTTGATATAGCTTTCATGTCTTGAGTACAATCAACTAACCAGTATTATGACTGCAGTCAGGATGAAGTCCATGACCTGCAAGAGACTATCGACCTTATCACGGCTGAAAAACTTGAAATGGAAACACATGCCGCTGAACAGGCTGAGACGTGTCGACAACTCACTGACGCCAACAATTCTCTCAGTGCTCGGGCACTCACTCTGGCATCGGAAGCCGCCTCAGCCTCGGACGGTGCACGAAAACGTCTAGAAGCAGAACTCGCAGAATGCAATGCGGCTTTGAAGAAAGCAAGAGCCGAGATTGATTCCATGCGGGAGTCTCAGCAAGTGCAGCAAATGGCCCTCATGGAAGAACTGAACTCTGTGCAAACGGAGAACGATAGTTTGCGTACACAGCTTCGAGCGAAAAAGTGACTGTGAGCTTTCTTTTCTTATATTTTTCTGGGTAATATCTTCGATATCGTTTTCTTGTGTACATACCCCTTCCATTTCTATCTCTATTTCTACTTACATTTGGCCACTTTTTATTATTGGTGGTTCGGATGGTGGATCCTCTCATTGCTATCTTGCTCCCATACCCCCCATTTTTCTTTCCTTCCTCCTAGTCGACATTTGTATCCTTATTGCATTGATCTGATGTCTGCATGCTGTAACACGATATACCACACACCGATAGAGCCGTCCATAATACAACTCACGCTATCTTCTATTCTACGTCTAAGAGTTTCTCAGTGTCAGGATCTCTTTGCGCTACAATGTATATCCGCCACATAATCCTGCCGCCAGGAGTAGGGTGACTCGTTAACTCACCATGGTATCAGCGACCAAAAGCCTTGGGAGTTACTTCCATGATCATTGCCGTTGAAAAAAGGAAATGTATACGAAGTATTTGTAGGTTACGTATCGAATACAATCAGGGAGAATTATATGTGAGATAGCATTACGCTCGCTCATGACATTAGTCCGCGTCTTCCTCTGAATGAGCAGCAAGATCAGTGCCCACTTGCGCAAGTTCTTCCAGACTTGCGACCGCATCGTCCTCTTCCGGTAAAGCATCAAGCTGGGCAGAGGACGTATGTTCTCCGCTGACTGCGTGAGCAGTCTTTTGTGATGCGCCAGTCTTCCTCTTCTTTCTGGAACTATGGGTCGGGCCAGGACGTTTTCTCTGCGAAGAAGTCATATCTTTGGTGCCGGTGACTGTGCGCCGTCCAACAGTGAAGTTCAAGTCGAGAAGTTTGGCGAAATGGTCGCGATCGAGCGGTTTAGGTTCGGGGTTCCAGTCGTCCCGTTGGAGTGCGTCGGCTAGGATTTCGTGAACGTACTTGTGTTTAGCCAATTTGGGTCGGCCGCGTCGTCTGCTGTCAGGCTGTGAATCTGAGCTATCAGATTCATTGTCGTCATCAGATTCCCCTTCGTCGTCATCGTCAGCATCGTCGTCGTCAGACTCTTCATCTAAAGCACTGTCTGGAAGAGCTGCCCTGAAATTGAGCCGCGGTGGGAACGACGAGTCGGAGACAGTCTGCGCTTGAGCCTTCTTCTGTTCCTGCGCCTCCCTAACGCTGGCTGGTTGGAACTTCTGCAGTTCATCCAAATTGAGACTTCGGTAGTGACTGTGGCAGACGCGCACAAGTTTGTTTATGACCTTCTTCAACGCCTTATCGTGACGTATCTTGAAACCAATCCCGTCTCCTGCCATGGCCCTCCATTTCGTCAGGCATCCATATAGCAAGCCTTCGGGTGAAGCCGTGCAATCGAAAAACATATCATTGACGTACGCCGAGAGAGATTTTGGCATGCCCAGAAGGCTGTGTTGATGGTAGCGGAGAGCGCACCAGTTGATGACGTGTACGAAAGATTCTACGTCGTCCGCCAGTTCGTAAAACTTCATAGGATACTGCAATCGCAATGCGGAGATAAATTGCCAAGTGCCCTGATAACGGGAGACATCAGAGACAAGTGTAGTATGTGAAACACGTCACACGTACAGATCTGTTCTCGTTTGTGGCGACGCGGACCTTTAATTGCTCCCTGTACTTGCATAAATCCCAGTCTATGAGTATGCCAGTAAGTGTGACTTCTCCGTCGACAATCGTCTCAGTGATCATGATATTATTATCGCTAACATCACGGTGAAGTACTTTGGCCTTCCGCCAGGCCTGTGAGTGTGCTAGTGTCGAACAATTGAGGTAGACTAACCAAAATAAATAAAATATTCTCACCTTTGAATGCACAGGCTACAATGAATATAAGATCGCAGCTCGTCTGATGTGTCTTCAGAGGCCTTCCGACCTCGTTGAGAACGAGACGACAATGGATCCTACTCTTCAAGCGACAGTCAGTAATACTTTCTTGTGTAAGGGTGCATTGTAACTTTGGGCCATGCACGTCACCACCGCACCGCATGGTAGCGATGTTTTCGACATTCTTCTCATGGAGTTTTCTGTAAACCTCCCATTCGGGGTGATAGTGCTCCGACGCCAGACGCCAACTATCCTTCAGCCAGACAAAATTGTGTTGAGCCAAATCGAAAGCGATGAAGCCCTTCGTCGCGCGGCCAAACATGGAAGGACAAGGAGTTTGAGGTTTTCCAATAAGGAAATACGACTTTTCGTCAGATTCGTTATCGTGTACTTCTACTGTGTAGAAGGGCCATATGGAAGATGTACCATATAGTATCGCGTCGTTCATAGCATCGTGAATGAGAGTTTCGATGGATCCGTGGTCCCTGGCCATATGTTCCTTGAGCATTGTTATGGAAGCAGGCGATGCGAGAGCAACGGTGGGGTCGTATCCTTGGGCCGGGGCGTCTGCTCGGGCGAGACGATAGAAGAATTTTAAGAAGGTCTTGGGATCTTTGACGTAGTCAAATGGAGGGGTCATGACGGCGGCAACTCTGTCGACCACCAAAAAACGAGCGAAGTTCCTATAGATATAGAACGCAAAGGTAAATCGGCGATGCTGCCTCGAAAGAACCTCAATAATGTATTCGGCGACTTGTCCGCGTGTTCCGCAAGCATTCTTGGTATCCGGAAGGTCCAATTCGTCTTCATTCAGTCCAAAGCCTTCTTGGGATTTGTCAACCTTCACTTCCCCAGGAAGCAGAGTCCACGAGTAAGCAGTACGTCCAACAAAAGGCTTGCGAGCGGCAGCGACGTTGGCCTTGCTATCGTCATCGAGATGGAAGGCCTGAGCAGCAGAGGCCTTATGGACAGACAAGTCAGGGCATTGGGCGCAATCGCTTGCTTCTGACCAGGCACTAGTGTCCTTGATCTGTAGCGCGTCGTAGCTAGGATCTGCAGCCGACCTGTAGGCAACAAGGTCGAAGACATTCTGTATTACAGGACACTACGCATTCCAAGGATGAGCACTTGTTGACAGATGAAACCAATACGTCGGCATACCAAAAGACTATAAAGTTCCTTTTCGGTATAGTTCGATTTATCGCTCGGGTTGAATTGAATGGTATTAAAGTTGAATGGCTTGTTCTGAAATTCTTCAGGGAGATCCTTCGGGTCGAATCCAAGCTCTTCGCCACCATTGCCCGGCAACCACTTGGAGAACCATTTCTCAAGGTCTTCTTGATAAGTAGACGAGACCATCTCTTCTTGGCCAACGATACGATATTGAGCGTTGTCTTTGAAGTTGCGGAGTGTCGTGTTGGTAACCTTAGAGGGTGTAGCCTGGAGTTTAGGATCGGTTGGAACTTCTAGATGAGATCGCTGGGGAGTAAGCGGACGTTCTGTCCCTGTGGGTGAAGTGGGTTGGAGCTCTGGGTCTGTGGGAACAGCAGAGCCGCCGTTAGTCTCAGATAAACTCATCGTGAGGTAGGGGGTGGGGCAGTATGTGGAATATGGACTTACAGCCGTAGCTTTATATGTATTGAATGGCGAGTTCGGATAATTCGTCCAGACACACTGAGGTGAGTGGTCCATTGTCATCGATTTAATTTGGCGAGTGTGTGGGCCACACTCACCTTTGTGCTTGACCCCAAAAGGAACGACTGTGGTCCCTACTGTTCTGTGGATAATCCTTTTTAGGACACAAAGAAGAGAGAGACTGTGGCGTGGAATCGTTGTAGTCGAACCAATTATAGTACCACGCGTGCAGTCCAACATAACCACAATGCGAGCACGTGATCGTTACACGTGGACCGCGAGGCAATAGGTCCATGCTTGATTGTGAATCATACCCCACAGTGGATTGGGCATTTGAACCAAAGAGAAAAACTGCTGCTTGTGAAACGGGCGCAGAGCATCACTTTGGCCCCAGGTGTTATGCGACATTGGTACATTCAACGTTCTGCGATTTCCAACAGCACCCGGAGATGTTGTGATCCCAGTATGACACCCTATTATACCATCACATCGCGGGGATACATGTATCTACTATAGAGAAGAAGTAGACAGGACTACGGTAAAATTCGCTTGCAAGGCACAGTTTCTCGAACTCGAGCTATTCGGCCCATAGAAGCAAAGATTTATGTCAGAAGATCATCAGAGCGCAAGCCCGTACTAATTGCTACTTGTTCCAGAGCCTCAGATTTCAATGGACGCCGCTGAAAGTACTAGAGATTAAAGTTGAACTTTGTTGTTAGGAATGCCGTTGTTTGTTATTGTTGTCCATGTCCGTCTATAGAGCTTCCTTTCCTGGGCAACGTCCTCCCCGAAGTTGGCCTTATGCTTCTTGCATGATACACAGTAGCTTTGCGCTGGATTCAGTCCACGCACTACCTTATGCACAAGCATGTCTGCCCCGGTGTGTCCAATTCATTTCTTATTCGTCGCAGACCACATGCGACCCAGCACCAAGCTGTTCTTGATAGTCTACATACGTGAAGTAGTAATTTCTTTATAGACTAGTAGAAAAGGATACTATATATTGAAAAGCTGAATGAGATACATTGCACAGGCCTGGACAGGATACCGATCATGTCATTACATTCCTATTACATGTGTTTCTACGTGTTTTCTGGAAAGAGAAGAATATTTGATGGCTCTACGTGGCTTGATTTAACTTTTGAACATGCTTTGCTACTGGCCGCACGTCATTGCCTATACTATGGCTCACCACCTGACGAATTCAATCGATGTTAGCCCGCGCTCGAAAGATAGCCAGAGAAACAACATTCCTTTGGACCGCCGCGGTCCTAAGCATCCTCGAAGCAATGGATGTCGAACACGTCAGGGGGTAGAAACCAATAACTCGTACGCAATGTTAATGATATCTAGTCGGTGGTGCATGTCTTGCGTTTACTGACGTAGGTCTTAGCAGGTCAAAGTGATGTCGTTAAAGAAAAAGTAGATCCGCCCCACCCATGGGTTGTGAGCCATATTTTATAATGAACAGAGTGGGGCATCTTAATTAGACCATAAAACCACTGTTCATGGTACCGTCACAGAGCATTAAGTTTTTCCCGAGTAAGTACTATGCCTCGTGCATATATTCACTGTTGCGCGATAACCAAGGGCACCAAGTTCTGTGATCTATTTTAGTTCCAATAATACTTACGGTCTCATTCCGTCGTCGGCCCGGGGATACCTACGTCTTACAGGACTATGGAGTAATAACATATTCACCTAGTTGCGTACAGTTCTCGAGCTCGACCCATAGAGACAGATATGTAGACGAGAAGCCCATGAGAGAGTGAATCCATCCTGGCCGTTTTTATGAAGCAGGTTCAAAAGATGCTACTGAATGAGCATAATGATGGCCACGACTCGGTGGCGTGACGCATCCCACAGGTAATCCTTGTTTGCCTTTGTTGTGCAAGCTCGTCGGGATACATTCCTTTTCTGGAGTCAGCTATCCGCCTAGCCTCATGTGTTACGTATAATGCATGGCCGTCACTTATCTAGTCAAAGGACTTGCTATGCTATACATAATGCGCCATCATGTGTTCCTCGGCGTGCTCATTTCTCAACTTCGCGGACCGAATGTGATCCGGCACCCACGCTACTAGCCATTCTCAAGGCATAGCACCTCGTGCATGCAGACCGTCAGTGTCTGTGCACCTTACTGACGAGCTCATGCAGGTTGACCAGCGACAACCATGTCCGCCAAGTTCTCTTCTTCTGAAGTTGCCCTACGCACACGAACGCGGTCGTCCCGATTGAAATTTCTCCTCATACTATTATGTTTGCTCGTTTCAGCCTTGACTGTCCTCACCACGAACTACTATATAACGACGACCAACAGGACAGAATCACAACGCCTCCAATATGTTCCACTTAACGCGCAGCGGATTCTTCAACAATGCGCCGTCTTGAAGGCATCTCCCGGGCCCGCTGATGATTTCCACTCCAGAAGAGTTTCAGACCGATTTGAACCTGGGACAAATGCCACACTCATCAAGAACGCAAAGATCTGGACAGGACTCAAGAATGGTACTGATGTAGTAGAGGCGGATGTGCTGTTGGATGGAGGACTTATCAAGGAAGTTGGACATATACCCATAGACATCATGGAGAGTACGGAGAACCTTACCGTGATAGAGGCTAATGGAGCATGGGTGACTCCAGGAATAGGTATGTTCTCTATCAGTGCTTCACCACACTCGCCGTACTCATCCGTTCATCGGAAGTCGACCTTCATTCTCATGCCGGTCTATTGAGTGCACCCTTCACTAGAGGAACATTCGACGTGAATTCGCCCAATGGTCCTATTTTACCGTGGCTCAGAAGTATCGATGGTTTCAACACGCATGACGAAGCCTTCGAACTAGCGATTGCAGGCGGCGTCACTTCAGCTCAAATCCTTCCTGGAAGCGGCAACCCGATTGGCAAGTGCCTTTGTCTCTAGCGTGACATTCAATCGTGCTATGATGTCTCTGTTTAGGTGGTCAAGCATTCATGGTCAAACTGAGGAAAACTTCAGAGCACTCGCCTACCTCCATGATAATAGAGCCCCCACATATGTTGAATGGGAGTGAGCCCGATCCAGATGCTCCCCTACGGTGGCGTCATTTGAAGTCAGTACTGCCATCTAGCAAAGTCGTGTTTTGTCCTTGACCTTAAGCCACAGACAAGCTTGCGGAGAGAACTTGAAGCGTTGGGGTACACGCATGGACACCATGTGGTCATTCCGATGGGCTTACAATGAGGCTCGCAAGGTCAAGCTTGCTCAAGATACGTTTTGCGCCAAAGCAGAAGCTGGTCTTTGGAATGACATCCACGGTCAAGAGTTTCCGCAAGATTTGCAGTGGGAGGCTCTCGTCGATGTGCTAAGAGGACGTGTTAGAGTATGATAGCGCTCTGGACTGCGACCATTCGTCACCTTCACTCACCCATATCTAGATCTCAAACCACTGCTACGAAGCCGTGGATCTGGATGACATTGTGCGGGTATGTAATCGACTTGATTCGTGTTGACGGAACTAGAAACATCGATATGTGTAGCTCTCCAACGAATTCGGTTTTCACATTGCCAGTTTCCACCATGCTTCGGAAGCCTGGCTCGTGCCAGGCGTTCTCAATCGCACGTAAGTTGCTTTCCATCTTCTATTCCACATGTAAGCCGCTAATGAACGCGCAGATTTGGAGGTCCCCCCGCTGTTGCCATCTTTGCCACTACACACAGGTATAAACGTGAATCCTATCGTGGATCCGAGTTTGCATCAAGCGTACTTTCAGAAAATGGTATTCCGGTCGTCCTGAAGGTTTGTGTTCCCCATGTTCAGATGTATCTTGACGGTACGTTGAAAAGGACTCTTCCACATCACAGTCAGACCACCCTGTCTTGAAGAGCAGATATCTCTTGTACGAAGCGCAGCAAGCTCATTACTACGGTATTTTCATCTACTCATTAATGTCCATCCGGTGTTTACACAACGCACTAGGTTTCGACTCGAATCTGGCGCTGGCAGCTGTTACATCTGCACCTGCACATGCAGCAGGGATGTCACACCGTATTGGTCTTCTTCACAAAGGCGCAGACGCAGATGTCGTCCTGTGGGACTCTCACCCACTTCAGCTCGGTGCTGCCCCTCGCCAGGTGTGGATCGATGGTATTCCTCAGCTGAAGAGTCCCAATCTCCCCAAACCTGACGGCGGGGGCAAAGAGAGACAGGATGCACCGGCAGTACCAACGTGGGATAAGGAGAGAAAAGCTGCCGTTGAGTGGGAAGGGTTGCCACCACTGGGTCCCAAGAAAGTGGTGAAAGGCAAAGTTGTCTTGAAGAATGTAAGGGAAGTATGGATGCGAGAAGAGCACGGCATCAAAGAACGATGGGCCGCGAGACCTGGACAAGAGGGTGGTACAGTTGTGTTGGAGAGTGGAGCTGTTTCTTGCGTTGGTCGCAATGGCTGGTGTTTCACTGGGGAGGAAACCGATGGCACCGTCATCGATTTGCACGGCGGCTCTGTTGGCCCTGGATTGGTGACGATGGGATCACCTCTGGGAATCGAGGAGCTTGCTTCCGAGCCGTCTACAGGAGACGGTTTCTTATATGATCCATACTCTGGTGAAGTTCCCAAGATTCTCAGTGATACTGCAGGTGTAGTGAGGGCTGCTGATGCGCTTCAATTTGGGACCAGGAATGCGTTGTAAGTTGCCATTCTCCTCCCGTTTCATGAATAGTTATAACTGAACTTCGCCTATAGGCATGCATATCGTGCAGGTGTCACATATGCTGCATCTTCTCTCGCCAAATCCACACTCTTCACTGGTCCAACTAGCTTCATATCCGGCTTGTCTGTGACATTCCGCACTGGGGCTGATCATGCGTTGGAGCACGGAGCTATCATCAACCCTGTCACTGCTCTCCATGTCACTCTTGGGAGACCATATCCATATCGTCCTGCCCTCCCTCCAGTCTCCGTGAGTACGCAGATAGCGACTCTCAGGAGATTGCTCTTGAATGCCGAGAATTCCGACACGGAGACTGGAAGATGGTTCAAGAAGGCTGCAGGGGTAAACCTATCAGCTCTTCGGTTTGGTGTCCATACTAATTCGCGTATAGGGCGCCATTCCTTTGATAGTGGAGGTTCATAATGCAGACATGATGGCGACACTTCTCAAGCTGAAAGCAAATATCGAAGAATCAAGAGGATCGAGGATGCAGTTGGTCTTCAGTGGGGCCACAGAAGCATATCTGCTCGCCAAACAAATTGGTTCGCAATTCAGTCTGGTATTTGGCAGTGTGGCGACTGACCAAATCTTCAGCGCAGGCTCGCGTTCGCGTTTTAATGACATCCGCGAGAAGCTTCCCTGAAAGTTGGGATCAGCGCAGAGCGTATGTATTCAATACGTCCAGGTCGTATAGGCGGACTGACAAAGAGTAGATTGCCTGGTCCTCCGCTCACAAACGATACCGCCCTGAGCATCTTGATACAAAATGGTGTTACCGTTGCCCTTGGAGTGACAGAAGCATATGAACTGCCTAATACTCGTTTCGAAGCTGCATGGGTAGGATTGGCCTTTGATCTGTGTATCAGGATGGTGCTGATTCATAGTCATAGGCCGCACTGAGCTCGAATGGTCGCATTGACAAACAACAGACATACGAGCTCATAACGACGAACGTGGAGAAGGTGCTGGGGATTGAAGGATGGTTCGGAGAAGAGGGTGACGTGGTGTTGTACGATGGTGGTGATGTGTTTGACCTCTCAAGCAAGGTGGTGGCTGTGGCCTCACCGAGGAAGGGTGTCGTCGAGTTCTTTTGAACTTCTCGAGAGATATATATATCGGAGCTGATCTTGCAGTATTAGATGGATGTTGGACATTAATTTAGATTGTGAGTTATCCAACAACGACTGTCAGACAACCCCGACACCAAGCAAAGCTGCGCTGCTCTTGATACCCCTACTTCGAGAGGCAGCCAGACTGATAGCAAGGCAGCTGAGTACGAACCCAGTGAACCTAATGGTAGTTGAGTATATACGTATCACAGAACGTGAATATGCAATGTATACCTGAAGAAAGCCACCCGCGACAATGATCGTTCTTCTAGAATTGTCCGCGACGACGCGAATATGGAACGAAGGACAGCGGGAGTGACTGGCATCCGGCTATTTGGCTTTGGAGTAGGTTGCCGTCCAAGAGAAGACTCAGAGCCGAGACGAACGTTCGCCGCAGTCACTGTGGGCGTTGACGACGTGGAGGATGGAGGCATGATGGTGGTTGTATGCAGTCTGAATCGTGATCGGCGGCTATGGGCGTTGAGCAACCACAGCCATGTACACCTTCCACATCCTGGACACGTACCATCATCTGCTCCTACCTGCTGAATGCCCAACTATAAAGTCTAGAGCCACATATTCCTTAACGACCAAATACCTACACTTGGCGACGGCCTTGACTAAAGCAAACTCTCATTATTACCATGAGCTTCTTCAGTAGATCGAGTAATCAACCTCCCACACAAACGACACCACAAGGCTCATATTCTCGTCTTCCACCACAGCCTGGTGCATATCCAAACCAGCAGCAGCGTGTGCCCGTACCACGCTACACAGATTCTCCTTCATACGAGAAGCCGGGTTACAACCGTAGTGCAGTTCCAGCGAGAGCAAGGGGAGCGTAAGTGTCGATCGTTATGGTCATCATGCTGAAGCTGAATTTTCTACTCTTTCTAGATATGCGGTCGTCTCTTCTCCGAGCGATGCCCTAGCTTTGAGTAACTGTTTGATTGTACATCCGTCCGACTTTGCTGCGGGACAACATGTCTTCGTGAAGCAACAGTATCCGCTGACTACTCGGTGCGCAGTTTCTCACAGCTTCAATTTCCCTATCGATTCCTTATAATTATATAGTCATGATGATACTGGAAAGCTCGCCCCAGGGTCTGTCGGTCCATCCGCATTGCACAGACAATGGATCGGTTTGTCCGTTACTGGAGACGAAGTAACAGTAGAGCCAATACCCTTCAAACCATCATACCTCCAATCCGTCGACATTGAGGTCGGCTTCATGCGTCGTGGACATGAAATTGCTGAGCAGTTCTCATCAGACGAGATGGCGAAGAACTTCATAAGGGCATTCGGTGCTCAAATCTTCAGCGCCGGACAAATCTTGGCGTTTGAATTTCATGGGCAGAACCTCAAGGGAACCATAAAGGCCCTTAGTGTTGTTGAACTTACGGATGCTCAGCACCGAGGTGGATCCCCACCTGAATCGTCCAAAATGGGTATCCTTATGGAGGGGACCGATGTCAACTTCTTGAAAGCCCCGGACAGTGCGATCAAGATCAAGTCGAGCGCGAAGAAGTATGCCCCATGCTATTGCGTTTAAGAGGGTTCAAATTTGCTAATTGACTTTGCAGAGCCCCGTCGAACGCTATCCTGGCACCCAACTTTAAGTTCGAGGACATGGGTATCGGAGGCTTAGACTCCGAGTTCGCCACGATCTTCCGTCGTGCATTCGCATCTCGAGTTTTCCCTCCGGCTCTAGTTGACAAACTTGGCATCCAACATGTAAAGGGTACGTAGAGGCGGGTCGCTCCAACGTTAATCCCTGTTGATTGACCTGTTATCAGGTATCCTACTACATGGACCACCGGGTACTGGAAAGACCCTCATGGCCAGACAGATTGGGACAATGCTCAATGCACGAGAACCGAAAATCGTGAACGGTCCTGAAATTCTGAACAAGTACGTCGGTGCATCTGAAGAGAATATTCGTAAACTCTTCGCGGACGCCGAGAAGGAGGTGTGCCATCAACCTATCCTATACAGCGTAAATTGACTGACACTGACAATCCTCCAATAGTATAAATCTAAGGGCGATGAGAGTGGTCTTCACATCATTATCTTCGATGAGTTGGATGCCATTTGCAAACAACGTGGTTCCACGCAAGGTGGAACTGGTGTTGGTGACAGTATTGTCAACCAGCTGCTGTCCAAGGTTTGTACACACTCTTTGCACACCTTGACATGATTTTAACGATGTTCTCTAAAGATGGACGGCGTGGACCAACTCAACAACATTCTCATCATTGGTATGACCAACCGACTTGACATGATTGATGAGGCCCTTCTACGTCCTGGTCGTCTTGAAGTGCACATGGAAATTTCGCTACCAGATGAGCAAGGTCGTTATCAGATTCTCAATATTCATACCGCGAAGATGCGCGCAAACCGAGTCATGGACGATGACGTCGACTTGGTTGAGCTCGCACAAGTAACGAAGAACTTCTCTGGTGCCGAGATTGGTGGTTTGGTCAAGAGCGCGACGAGTTTCGCGTTCAGTCGACATGTCAAGGTTGGTACCATGGCTGGTATTTCCGACGATATCGAGAACCTACGAGTCAACCGAACCGACTTCATGAGTGCCCTGGAAGAGGTTACACCTGCGTTTGGTGTTGCTAAGGAGGAGCTGGAACAGGTCGTAGAGAACGGTATCATCCATTACTCTCGTATCATCGATGTAAGTCATACGCTTGCGTTCTTCTCATTCTATCTTGCTGATAACTCTTCCCCAGGATGTACTACGCTCTGGTGAACTTTTCGTTGACCAAGTCCGCACTTCAACGCGTACACCTCTCGTCAGTCTGTTGCTTCACGGTCCTCCGGGCTCTGGAAAGACAGCTCTGGCAGCCACCATCGCACAAGCGTCACAGTACCCATTCATGAAACTCTTGTCGCCTGACAGCATGGTTGGGTACTCTGAGGGTCAAAAGGTTGCTACCATCAGCAAGATCTTTGCGGACAGCTATAAGAGCCCGCTCAGTGTTATTGTTGTTGATAACCTGGAACGATTACTTGGTAAGTTCATGTCGCAAGTAAGCATGTATCGAAACTGACGAAGTCTTTAGATTTTACGCCCATTGGGCCGAGGTTCTCCAATGCTGTCCTGCAGACTCTAATGGTTTTGTTGGCTCGCCGACCGCCCAAGGTACGCCCACAACTAGGATTGAGATATCAATTCAGCTCTGCTGACCATGATTCTGTTCTAGGGTCGTCGTCTCTTGATCATCGCTAGCACGTCTGTGCGTCCAATCCTCACCGACCTCGGTCTTTCCGAGTGTTTCGACTCCGAACTTCGGGTGCCTCCGATATCAAGCTTGCGCTCATTGCAATATGTCCTTGACGAGGTACAACTCTTCTCTACAAGAGGAGAACGTGACCAGGCCATCAAGATGTTGGAGCAGGCAGGCTTTGGGGAAGAGGACGAGCACACGTCGAGATTGAACATTGGTATCAAGAAGTTGTTGAGTGTGGTCGAAATGGCCAGACAAGAGCCTGAGGCTGTTGCTGAGCGACTCACTAATTCTCTGATGGGCTTGGGTATGTAGAATGGACATTATGTAGACATCGAGGAATTTGGATACAACTAGATGTAATACCAGCTATTTCATGGCCAATTCCAAGCCAATTCCCATTCAAATTTGACTGTCAGGGGTCACTCAGAGGACTGCGATCGGACCCCCGGCCAATGCGCGTCTACGTTTGGCACTTAGCCTGGAGAACTGTAGCATAGCACCCGGCGCACACTGGATTTCTGCTCACTCTCACTACCTCCCTTTCCTTAATCTCTAATGGTCGCCCTGCCCGATGAAGATGGCGGGATGTTTGACGACTACCCAGGTGTAGATGAACATAGTTGTCAACTCCTTGGACCCACCGCGCTGGTCGGTTCTCCAAATGACTGAGCATTCAACACTCTCGTTGACAACAACTTTCATAAACAGGTCGTGCAAGGGCTAATGGGAGTCCTTGTGATCCTCTCTTTAATGTATAAACGACATAGAGAGTCACCTAAAAGACCCTGGCGAATATGGTCTGTCTGCACTGGATACTCACTTCACGTTATCTGTTGACCACTGGATACCATTTGTTACCATTCCGATATAGGTGGTTCGACGTCTCGAAACAAGTCGCTGGGCAGATGTTTGTACATGGCGTGAACGTGCTGATATCTGGCATTGTTGCACATTTCTCGTCAGGGAATGCATGTGTTCTGTATTTCTTGAACATCCTGTTGGATACAACTCTCGGTATGTGCTCTTGCAACATATGTAGTCGATATGCCTTCATAGCTTCGTTGCAGGTGTTGCAATTATATACCTCATCCTACACGTCTCAACATATGTCCTGACCGAGAAGTTCCAGCTGAAGGGCTTCGAGTCCGGGAAGTATAGCAACCCACCATCCATCAGTTACTGGATACGACAAACTGCTGTTTATGTGTTCTCTCTTACGACGATGAAACTCTCAGTTGTCGCCTTATTCGCTTTATGGCCCGGAATCTTCAAGATGGGGGAGTGGCTGCTTGGGTTTCTTGGGCCGAGTGAGGCAGCTCAAGTCATATTGTATGTTCTCATCATTATCGCCAACTTCGAAGCTTACATCATTGCCAGTACTATGGGCTTATTCCCTATTTTCATGAACGTAGTTCAGTTCTGGTTGATTGACTCAATAGTCAAAGCAAACGCTCAAAACACGTCTCTTGCACTGCCATCCGATACCCCTCGGTCTTCCTTGGGCGAAGAAGAACCGTTATTCCAAGTAGATTCTGATGATGAAGACGATGGCGAGGCTGCCAATCGCCCACACGACATTGAGAATCCACCACTGCACACTCGATCGTTGTCAAGAGGAAGTGGAAGGCGATCGAGGTCAACTGACGAGCGCAAACTCTCTGCCACAAGTACCGCGATCTCGTCTGGTTCATCAAGCCCAAGTCCAAAGGACACTGAACTTGACAATCAAGCCATAGCTCTGCATGCATATCCACCAAACGGAAGTGCAAGCACATCACCTGTATCGTCTTCCTCTTCGAGGGTATCGAGCACGTCTCCTAATCCTAAACGAAGACGTAGGTCTCCACCACCGCCACTACACCTTCAACCTCGATCACCGCCTCCCCCTGCTGTAAACGTGACACCTGATATCCATGATCAAGCCCCGCCTGACGTAAAGGGTACCAACACACGCGATGAGAAGGAATGGGCTTGGGACGACGAGACGGTGGATGACTGGGAAGATGGCCACGAAGATCCGATAGCGGACCACCCTCAACATGTTGGCAAGGAGGTATTGGGCAGAGGGGAAGCGGCTTCTAGGATGATTCGGACATAGGATTGTGGCTGCTATATTCTCTATTTCTTGACACTTCGGCATACCTCGTTGCATATTTGTACCATTAGCATTCTTTACACTACCCACGCACCCTATTTTAGATTCGGTCTCTTGGAAGAGACATTCTGGATTTGTACTCGGAGAATATCACGAGAGGATGCGAGCCAATCACCAGATCGGTTTGGCCTTTGCCTGACGCTAACCGCATGTGGAAGCTTCTAGTAATGGCGTTTATATGTGGAACCGTCTGAGTCCTGTCCTCAACAGCACACCTTGCCTTCACGTCTATACTCTACTACTTTGCGCTTCGTCTTCTGTGTTCATAATCTTCTCTGCACATATTCGCAACAGATTCAACAATGGCGTCTCCAGATATCCTCAACCCCTCTCATCAAATCCACCAGCCGCCTATGTCCCGCTCAAACTCCAAACCCAAAGGGATCTTGAAGAATGCGCCTGCACCGCCAGCACCTCAGGCGAGCACAGCGCAACAGTACGCATCGCTCGTTTCTTGCCTTGTCTGTAAAGAGAGTGATCATTCAATATCGTTATTGCAGCTTGCAATGGGACGAGGAGAACCTCGCTCTGACCGAGGCTCAGAAAGATAGTCAGATGAAGATCACTGAGCCTAAAACCCCGTATGTCAGATATAATGCGGAAACAGACACTTTCGAGGGCGGTGTGTATCAGCGTTGCTCGTCTCCTATTGACCGTCGATCTCATCTATATGCGTCTGGATTAACCGATAGATATCCCGAATTTGGATCTGAACGGCAGGCCAATGAGTCCTGCGGTGTCCTTGCCTCCAGCTTCTCCTACGAGTATTGCTGCCACAGGGGGAGACTCTGGACCGTCATCACGTAGGACATCATTCTCAAGCACCGGTCGTGCTTCATCAGTACGACCAGGGAGTGGGACTTCTAGCAGAAGCACCAGCTTCAATCTCCCGAACGAGGCTAGAGAAACGATTCGCTTGGATGGACGTCAACCCGGCGATGAGATCGAGTTCGAGGAAGAGATGGATGAAGAGAGTGCGTAATCTCCCCACTATCAGTTACATTTATTAGCTCATACAAATTCATGCTTCTTAGCCGCGGCTAAGCATGCTGCTTTCATCCGTGCTCGGGGCCGACACTACTCTAATGAGGCTGAAGCTATGAAGGCATGTCTCCCTTCCCCCAAAAGCTTGTTCCTAACTGCAATAATCAATCGTTTCAGATGGCGAAGGCACTGATGGACGAGGAAGACGAGGAAGAGACCGTCCCAGCAGTACCCCGTCCCGCCGAAGCTGGCAACCCCGATTCGCCGATGGAGGATGATGCGGGAGCTGAGATGAATGGTGTCGTACATGCTATTTAGATGTTTTGTTGGCTGGCTGGAGGTGGATCATGGATTATGGAATATCGAATGAAAGTTGCGTTGTACTGTTTTCCTTCCTGTTGTTTGCATTGTATACCACTTCAGCCCTCCGTGGATATTTCTTCGATACTGAAAGCATATGTTGCCTGCCGTCATATTTGTTTTTGTACTCAAGGGTGCCGGCGAACTCTTCTCGTAAGGAGGTACAAGGCACGGTCGGGTGCTCGGACCGTCCTTACGCGCACGTGGACTCATTTATTTGCACGCGACGCGAGTCAAGAAAAATTGGCGAACGCGATAAAAAGTTCCACTTAAACTTAAATTCTACGGTGGTCGACTGAGGCCAATACTTTAAACGACACTACGCATCTCTTCTTTTCTCTACCGATACGCATGGCGGCCGAACACACAGGAAAGGGCCTTCTGTTGAAAGCAGACCCCATTGCGAGCAACTTTCGTGAAGAGATCAAAGCTGCACTTGCCCAAAGTCCAAAACCTCCCAAACTCGTCGGAATCTTGTCTACTGCGTCTGCACCTAGCAAATCTTATGCAGAATTTACCAAGAAACAATGCGACGATCTTAGAGTCGATTTTGTGCTGAAGAAAGTTGGCTCTGCGCTTGATCCTGCGTTGAGTGATGGAGAAGGTGTAGAGGAAGCAATCATTGAGGCGAATGAAGACGATAGTGTAGATGGCATAATGGTGTGCATCCATTCGCTCGTATACATAGTCCATTTAGACTGCTTATTCAGTATATTTCTTTTTAATGAAAGGTCTATTATCCTATTTATGGCGTACAACAGGTTTGTATCCCGCGTACATTCATGCACGATGACTATGAGGATGATGCTCAACTGAACGCTCTTGACAGGACCATTACCTGCAACAGGTGAGTATGGCACGATATGCCACCTACTGAGACCCTTTGATTGGATGATTCTCCCAAGGTTGTCTCTCCGTTCAAAGATGTAGAGGGCTTGAACTTTAAATTCCATTACAATCTTTACCACAAGTGAGCGTATCTATCTGAATGGATCAATAAGAGAATACTCACAGCATGATAGCATTCGTTACCTCAAGCCTCAGTCTCTGCTCTCCACTGCCGTACAAGATCCCCCACCACCTGCGGTCGAGGACCGCCCTCCTCCAGGTACAGTGAAGTCCATTTTGCCATGCACCCCGCTGGCTATCGTGAAATGCCTCGAACATATCGGCGTTTACAACACAATCTTGCCTTATGGTGATCGAGCATACGGTAAGACTGTAACCGTGATTAATCGGTAAGTTATTGTCACTGTGTAATAATTGAGAGTCACAAGATCTCATGAAGGTGTGAAGGTCGGAGGTTGTAGGACGTCCGCTTGCTGCCCTTCTGGCCAATGATGGTGCAAGAGTCTTCTCGGTCGATATTGACTCCATCCAGGAATACACCAAGAGACCACGTCAAAAAGCTGATGCGCCAAACGCTTCTCGTTATCACCCTAGACACGTCGTCCACCCGTGCTCGCTGACGTTGCAAGAGTGTCTTGCGCATTCCGACGTTGTCGTCTCTGCTGTACCTAATGCGAGCTATAAGGTCAAGACTGAATGGTTGAAGGACGGATGTGTCTGCCTGAATGTCGCTGCAGACAAGAACTTCGACAAGGATGTTAGGGAAAAGGTATGCTGTGCTTGAACCGGTGTGTTGACAGAGTTGGGGATATTGACCCTCGTCATGAAGGCATCCTTGTATATGCCAACCATTGGTAAAGTGACGATCACTATGCTTCTGCGCAATCTGTAAGTCTTCTTTGTGATGAAGAGGATGTGGTGCTCACCATCTGTACAGGCTACGTCTTCAGGAATACAGGAAGATTCTTGCAGAAGATGCCAAGCAAGAAAAATCAAGCTAGTTCAAAGCACGCCACCTACCTAGACCCAAAACTGTAGATGCGTTTAATCCTCGTATAGAATTTATCATAGCAAGGATGTATGTACCATTAATTAGATCCGATGTCTATCATATACATTGTCTAAGGTGAGCATAGACAGTTGAAGAGAGTGCAGTGAGGACAGAAAAACGAAAACAACGAGTGATTGTTCTGGTAAAGAGATGTACGTATGCAACAAGGTAGACCAGGCCCTAGATCGTGTGTATCTTCCAAACACTCTAAAGCAGACCCACGAAGAACCCAGATAGACAGGCACGAGAACGCATTACGCAAGGCGGGTATGGTCATCGAAACTCTGCTTCAGTTATGTGAATTGGAGGTATTGAGCCGTCGCCAAGACTTGTCGGAGTTAGTGAGCCTGAATGAGGGAAGTTGGGGGTACTGGGTGTGGTGACGCCTGACGGATCATCGTCCACAAGAAACCGTACTCTCTGTCGGTGAAACTAGAGTTACGTGTTAGGACGACAATGCGCGAAAGAAAACACGTGAGAGCACGTGGCGTGATCATACCTGGGGTAATTTGGGAAGGAGAACGAAGAGGAGGGCTGTGAGATTAATGGCGAATAGCCATGGGTTGTAATTAGTGTAATGGGTCGATGCAAGGAATCTGGAGCACCATGGTCAGCGATGATGAGATGATGATATGGCGGTGTCGTACGACAAACGGCGACTTACAGCCCGATAGGAACGCTAAAGAGCCATTTCTTTGCCGGAGTATAATGCGCCCCTTCGTCAATCTGCTCCCACAACGTTAGGTCATCATAAGCCCCGCTGTGTAAGTCGGATTGGAAAGGGATTCCGGTCACGTAGTGAAACATTAGATATGACAACTGCGCAGCACATTGTCAGCACAACCGAATCCCCGGGCCCGAAGCAGAAACACATACGCTAAGGTATAGGAGATTGACTAGTGTCCAGCTGACTTCTTGACGCATACCAGGGATAGTGTCAATCACTATTTTCCCCGTAAAGATGAGGATCGGATGAATGAGCCATGCACCTGTCAAGCAAAGTGCAATGACGATTAGTATGACAAGAAGAAAAGTTAGCATGCGATATATGCGTACCCTTTCGATTGACCCACTCAGCATTCACATTGTCATATACACTCTGATCCAAGTCTTCTTCCTGCGAGTTACGACCGACGGTTTCCACCTTGACGAGACTACTACTTCTCGCACGACCCATCCGGACCTTGAGTTCTGACGCTGACTGAGATGTTTCAATGGAGAGCGTTGGCACACTGAGGGTTGGCGACGATAGTATGCCACTCATGGTGGTGGCAGGAGAAAGAGGATACGGCGACGACGGTGACCAGAGCAGAAGAAAGAAACAATATCGCCTGCATGTACTCAATCGACTATGGGCGTCTCTGCGGGACGGACCGAGCCGAATTAATCGCGTACGTGTCTGTGCGTCAACTCAGCGCACTTGCTTTCCAGTTCAACTTGGGTTCGATTCAGGTATGTTTATTGATTCTTCACATTCACGTTCAATATGAAGTTCGCAATCATGTTTTAGTCTGTAGAGCAACTGACGGGAACGCTAGTGCACAGAAGGTACGGGAATGAGTCACTTAGAAGTGCCTCCCGGATCGGAGGAACGACGCCGCTAACGCCTCCTGCAGCCCTTAGGAATCATCAGGAGCACAACACATAATCCCATGCTCTACTTGAATTACACAACGCGATGACAACGCTATTGCAGTGGTGCACACTGGAACCCCAGGGCATTTCTGGCCTGGCGGCTGTACGGTTTCCTACGCCAGTCCGTGTCCAGACAATTAGTATCTTTCCCACAGATGCTCGTCCATTCTTGCTGAGCCCCGATGTCGTCGCGTGAGTATTATGATAATTTTTATATTTACCAATGTTCATCGAATTTTGCAGGCGGACGGAGCCTGAGGCTTTCTTCCTGGAGGTTTACTTCAATGCACATCCTACTGTCTCTCCTGACGGTAAGGAAAAGCCTAAACCGACCAATGCCCTTGTCCCAACGGTCATCGCGTATGCTGGTGGACGGATGAGCTTCTCTGTCAATATGAGCCGTGGGGTAATTGCCTTTCCGTATTCCCATGCGGCTGAACTGACTTCGAGCACAGACCGCCACACGGCTGATGATCGTCAAAGGCGGGTTTGAAACGGTTTCAATGGCCATCTATGGTGAATTGGTTAATGACGCGATGTCCTTGCCGTCAACGTACACACCTAAGAATATCCTCCCCTCTGAGCCTCCACCGGTGGCAAAAGCGATTGACCCGTCCATGTCTCGAGATCCTACCCATCTTGCTCGTCAGCTACTGGCGCTGATACCAAATGCTCCGCCACTACCTCTTGTTATTCAACTAATGTTCTGCCTCAAACCTTCGAATGAAGATTGGGACTTGCCCGAATTTCCCTTCCTTCATCCCTCGCTAGATCAGGAAATCGCTACTTTTGACCTTGAACAGGCTGATACGCTCACCACGAGGCCGGTCGCTGAAGACACCAAACCCGAACAGCTTGAGTACTTCGCCAATCTTGTCGCAGGAGCTGTAGGCGACAAGGTGAGTTGCTCTAGAGAACAAGATCATCAATTCACCTGACTGACATATGTAGGATGACCGACAAGCCTATATTGTCGCCAACATTTTGTCCAATGTAGCGTCACAGATGCCAGACATGGCCAAGACTCTTCTCGTGAGTTCAGAACAGCGGTCAATTCATAGGGGAATTCACTCATATCGAGATACAGCAAGCCATAGACCTGTCGGTGGTCTTCGATGCTTATAATATGGATGAAGTCACGCTTTACAGGCTAACTGATGCTGCAGCAAATCCTGACATCTCAAGACATTTACAGACTGACTGGTTTCTATCCGCCCTGGACGCTATTACCAAAGACATGAACAATGACCGTGCGACACGTTCAGCAGCCAGACATTTGCTGTCCCGAATACAGGGTTCGGCCGTCGTAGAGGATGCTCTCTCCAATACACAAGGCGATTTCTCTCGTGCCGCCGAGTACCTCGCGGACGCAAGCTCGCAGGAGGCCTCCTTCGGGGTATGGCTCGCATCGTTTGTCACGCACGAAGGCCTTGTGAAGAAGCTGAGCGAAAATCCTATTATTCCGACTTCGACCCAGTATCCGCCGCTACTTCTCAAGCGCAACAAGCCGCTGGTTTCACATGATGAATTTGTAGCATTCGTTCGAGCGTTCATTGGAGTTGCTTGCGTACTTGCAGTGTATGCTTGGGCTGACAGTCTTCCCGACCGGCAGTGCCGAGAACGCGTATTGGGTATATTGCGATTGTGGCAGGACGTCGATGGTTACCGAGAGGTCAGTCAACTATGTCCAACTCAAGCGCGATTCCGGTTACCAACCAGTGACCAAATCTTAGATACTCAATCACCTCTTGCTTCTCCGTCAAATGATATTTCGATTGGAATGCATGTTGGACAACGATCTCCCCACCAAGGCGGGAGTTGATGCTGAACATATTCTTGTCAATCTCGCACAGAACCCTCAATCTTTCCTCTGCATTGACTACATGAAGTGCATCCTCTCATTAGAACCGCCACACTCCTTCATCACATACGATGAGAGGATGTCCATGCGGCGCGCAGCCATCATCGCAGAGGATGGTCTGCTGGGCGCGGTTGACGAGTTGACCCGCAAAGTGGAACGGCCCCCAACAGTGAAGAGCCTGCGAGGCATTCGAGTTGCGCTTGCCATTATAGAGCGTGAATTGGACGAGGAAGATGAATATGACGTACTGGAAGAGTTCTGGAAGGAAGGTTCACGAGGATGTCTAGCTTGCCTCGTCGATGCGTTCCTCGAGGTTAGCGAAGAGCTAGAAAAGCACTTCACACTGTTTCCCCCTCCGCCAGCACCCAGTGGCCTGCTTGCATGGCTCTTCCACACCTGCAACGACCTTCTTCGACTGATCATACGACTCGTGCCCGACTATCCTCTTCCCGGACGAGCGGTTCGTTCCCTCACAATTAGCGCTGCCAACGTTTTCTTTTGCAGTGACGCGGTCGACATGCTCTACTCACAATTAAGCCCACTGTGCATCGCTGCGCAGGAGATTAGACGAACATGTATCAGCCTTACTCGGGTTTTAGCCAACATTTCACATGATGGAAACAAGGCAGGAGCTCAAGTGGTGCTGCGAACACTACTGGAGCACGGTTTGCAAAGCGAGGAGCGAGATCCAGCGCATCACTTGTTGCAGGTTTTTGGTCTCATTGACTACCTACTCCCGATGCCTGACACAGACGACACATCGACTATGTGGACACAGAAAGTGATGCCAAACGTCCTGAAAGAGATGTGGGCTTTCTGTCGTGTTCTGGATACGGAGAATAGAGCACATCTTGTGAGACGTCTTGTGGGTTTAGATGATGGGGTGGTCGGCATCGGCGATTGGATATTACAGGAAGAGCTCAACGAGGTGTTGCAAACCTTATATCGGCTTCTGAATCCCAATCTTGGTGCCAACTATCGCTTTGTCAAGCAATATCAGGTCGCAAATTCCATTCGCTTCCTACTTGATCTCGCCTCGAGTAGTGCTAGCATTTCAGCATGGTTTATTCGATGCATCGGTTCCGGTGATGACCTTGCACCTGCCTTTGCAGCCTTTCTTCGGGCCATCCTCGACGCGAATCTCATGTGCCAACCACTTGTACAGCTCGCACAAAGTCTGGCTTCGCACTCGTCAATTGATCAGGAACTGTGTCAACCACTGACATTAACCCTGCTCAGAGGGTGCTGGACAGCAGATCTATCATCCACCGACCTGGCATCAGCCCTTCATTCCGCAACACAGATCATTTCCGCTTTACCGTTTGAGGACATCAGCCTGGAGAGAATCACACTGGAACTGGGAGCACTTGTATCTAGCCTGGAAGATTCGCCACACACGACTGATCCATCAGTTGTGGAGGCTGTTACCGAGTTTTTGGACTGGTTCGCCGCAACATCTCGTCCGCTAACACTACCAGGATTCTCTCGGCAAGCATTCTCCGCTGTGTGTGATCAGCTAACATCGTCTCTTAACGCGGAACAAAAAGAAGTGCTGGATGCTATCCAAGCATCCCTCGAGTTCACCGATGATTCCGAGGTTCCGCCAGCGCCCACAATACTCCCCGACTCTGTGAAACTCAGCATCCATGATGTGGAAGAACTTCTGCATACGGAGTTACCCATACCGTCTACCCCTCCTCGAAAAGCATTGGCCCAGGACGTTCTCAGCCTTGTCACTGTCTCACCTCCCACCGCCCTCATCCGCTCTCCAGCAGCCACTGGTCTCACGAAGACATATTCTAACAACGATTTCAGGCAATTGCGCCAGACGCCTTCAGCGCGACAAAACACAAGCAGGCTTCCTAGCATGCATGTGGACGTAGGTAGCATTGATATTTGAATACCCCTTTCTTCTTCCTTTCTTGCTCGGTCGGTCTTTTTCGTCGAATCGAGTGCTAATATGATACCCCTTTTTTGCGTGTGAATGAATATTGCAGGATTTTCAAACCGTTTCACCTTCGACGTCGATGGCACCTTTGCCATCGTTGCCGCTGCCTGTCATGGGGCCAAGTTCACCCATGGCTAACACAATGTCAATACCTTTCGCACCTGCGCCGGAAGTCTTTCCAGGGTTAAATCAAGGTTTTCAGCCACTGTGATGGACGTTATTTTCGTGAGGGAAAGGTAAGTGTACAATTATAAGAGATGATGATGTAGCAATACATAGCATGGACAACTGTATGATAGCGAAATGCTAGAGAAATGTAGCTGTAGATGCAACAAGAGAATGTGTGTACATAATATGTATATTGTAGGGTTCTCTCCTTTTGTCGGGATATCTATGGGGTTGTTTGAATACTAGCTAGTGATTGGTCGTGAAGTGGGAGGGAAACGCGAGTGAGTGAAAATGAAATGCTAGAAAACGAAAACAAAAACTGAAAATAATCATGACCAATGGGAAGATCGTCTACGAACATGAGAAGGATGCAATTCTGGAAAGTGAGGAACGATCTCGTCGCGTGAAGGGAAATAACGATCCATGTCGGAAGCGTCGAACTCAGAGGAAGGTGGTGCAGGCGAATGAGGTTCACTGGTTTGATTATCCCTCTTCGAACCTGCCTCCTCTTCCGGAGGCTTTTTCTGTTTCCCACCAAGCCGGTATATTCGTTTCCGCTTTGCCTTGACAGGCTGACGATCAACAGCACTGCCAGATCCAGAAGAAGTTGCCTCGCGCGGGGGAACGCTGCGTACGGTGAAATGTTCCAGAGTCCGAGTGTATGGCGATAAGGTGTGATTAGAGTGAATGAGGGTGCTTAATCGTGAGACGGAGTTGTTCACGGCGGCTTTGAGAACTATTTTGGGATCGTGTTCGGATGTGTAGGACTCGGGCGGTGAACCGGTGTAGAATTTATCCAGAGTGTTGAAAGTGGAGAATGATTGTCTACGAGAGCGGGAAACTCGAATACCCGCGTCGTCATCGGAGTCGAGTTGTGGAGGTGTCGAGACGGACTGTGGATTGTCGGTAGAACGGGAGGGTTGGGTGCGAACACTTGCTGGACTTTCTGCTCGGCGAGAAGGGTGATCAAGGGGAGGTACAGGGGGTATCGGATATCCTGACGGATGTCTTGGATAATCGTCAATTTCTTCATCATATTCTGTAGCAGAGCGTTCATAGAAAGTCCGAGTGCCCGCGAAGTAGGGATTATGTTGACGGCCTCGTGAAGGTCCAGGCTCATGCGACGGCATAATCCCTGGTGACTGTGTCAAAACGGGTGTCGCGCCTGGTAAAGTAGTAAGTGAACGTGATAGGTTTGACATTGGTCTTCGCGACGGGCCTGCGGAGGGTGGTCGTGAGCCTTCGCCGACGTCGATTTGAGATTCTGCATGTATGACCCTTGGGCGAGTAATCGTACCACCGCCGACTGCAGGTGCAGATTCATATTCAGTCACGTCGCCCAATTCGGATACTGAAGGAGGCATCGCAGAATACTCTGAGAGCATGTCCTCCCAGTTTGTGAATGACCCGACCTCATCCTCGTCAATATCACTCGACTCTTCCGCAAGATCTGCAAGACCCTTATTCGGTGCGAACAAACTACGGAAGTTGCTGAAGACGCTCTTCGTTGGTATTCGTTCCGGTCTCAAACCATAGGTTGGATCGAAATGCTCCAAATGAGGAAAAGATGTGGGACCTTCTGGACTGGCATGAGATGAATCTTGTGGCGCGGGTGAAGATACAGTTGAAGATGGTCTCCGGCCAACGCTAGATACGGACATAACTGAACCAGACCGCGGACGAGAGGGATGACCCTGTACAGATGCGACGGTCTGACTTCGGCGGAATTGAGGAGGTATAGGCATGCCCGTAGGAGGCATTCGCATCGACATGCCGGGTGCAGAGGCAATACTCTGAGCCCGAGAAACTACAGGTCGTTTGCTGATGTAAGGTGTTTCGACTTTGGCTTTGACCCATTGTTGGCTCAGACGGTGGATGATGCTTGGCAGGTCCTCTCTGAACATTTGGCGAAGTTGGCCTTCGATCTCCCGTTGGATAAACTTTTGAATAACAGCGATCGAATCGAAGGTACTGTTAATGTCGACATTTTGGAGAGGGTCGGTCTTGAAGACAAGAGTGATACCCTTCTGTCGCGAGACGACCAGGACGACGTAAGAGTTCAGCTTGAAATGAGATAATCGGAGGAGCATAGGTACTACGAGCGGCTGCTTGGCAGCCAGCATGCCTCTGGAGCCTGCTAAGAGATGAATGTCGGGTTGTTTGTGGTTGAGAGGGTTTGCCTAATGTCACGGTCATGAAAAGCACAAGAATCATCCACGAATTACACACCTGAACTTTCGTTCTGAGGACTATGTGAGCATCACCAGCGTACGTGAACCGAAAGATACCGCGAAACTGGTCCATTGTCAACTCTCCAATGTCGCGGATTTCGAGTTCAGGAGGCTTCAAAATTCTAGAGGTCAAAACAGTCACTCACTAGATATTACGACGGACGAACCTGAGTACCCATCTCTAACTCGACCACCTCAATCCGATCCGCTATGACTGGGGGCTTGTTGCCCTTGTTGAGGGCGGCGTCGAGCATTTTGATTGCATCGGCGTGAAACTGGTCGGAAAAGCGAGGCCATTGGAAGGTGAATGACATCGGAATGGTAGATGTTGATAGTACAACATTCGTTATATGACTTCTGCGAGATTGCGGGGAGAAGTGCTCATGGATGATGGATGTGAGGGTGGTTACGGAAGAGGAGGCATATGAACGGAGCCAACCTGTTTACGAACACTCCGGGCTTCGTCTCGACTCTCGAATTGGGCACACGACCACGAACGCTCTCGACATTCTGTCTCTGCATCTCATTCAACTCAGGTTCATCCTCAGAGAGGTCACAAGTGTATATACATTGTCTGTGAAATGACCTATGCCGGCTGAGAGGATCCAAACACATATCACTAAGGGACCTTGGACCCGTTTCGATACGCGTCGATCGGTGACTGTATCACACATTTTGCAAACACGCCTGTAGAATGTATATCCAGTATCTCGCATACTGTCTGAATGTCGAGATTCAGACGTCGCTGAACGTGGCCATGGAACGTGCCAGCAACGAGCAGGCCGCACGGCAGGTTGGAAGCACAAATTTTGGATCTGGCGAGGCTCGATCAAGTGGCAAACGCGCAACGGAAAGCATACGCAATCTTTCCCCACAACAAGCTTTGTGATCCCTCCTTACATTTTCCTAGGAACCATAGTTCCTCCTACATATATCAGACGCGATGGCATTAGAAGAGCACACGCAACAGGAGGCCCAGCCAGCAGCAGGGTTCTCTTTGGCCAATATCCTCAGTGGCAGTGACGAAAACCTGGAGCTTCCGAACCTCAGAGGGAAATCTGAGGAAGTGGATTCGGACGGGGAGACAAGTACCGCACCAGCTGCTGAGGGTTACTGTGTGGAATGTGAAGGTACGTACTTGGTAAACTTGGCCACCCACAAGCTAATGAAATTCCCAATCAGATCAACCAGCCCAACTACACTGTGAAGGATGCGCAGATGACTTCTGTGAAGTCTGCTTTGCCGCTCAACATCGTAAAGGCAGTCGGAAACGTCACGCGACAAAACCTCTGAAACGCGTAGATGAGGCAAAGAAGAAGGCGAAACTCGCTTCTGAGAAAGAGCAGCCTAGTGGCTCGCAAGGTCATGAGGACGCAGTGAGTTACCTCAATCTCCTCTCATTGTCTCAGCTAATGTCTCGTTCCACAAGATGGACACCGGCTCTGATGAATCTGATGCTGAACTTGAACAGTTAGCTGCAGGGCCATCTACAACCACTACCTCCGTATCCGTTGCGCCAGAGATCGGTGCCTTCGTTGGTGACTGGTTCTTGGATCGCTCCAAATACATTCCTATGCGTCTCGAGCTCGCCGAGCGAAAGTACCTCCGACTTCTAGAAGCCGCTCTCAATGTCTCTGAATACACCGACAAGATCGATACTATCGGCTTCAGACTTTCCAAAGCCAAGCGTATAGTGCATCAGATTCGCGAACTCTGTGCAATCATGTCTGGTCTTGTGTTAGCCGCGGATTACAAACAAGGTCAGGAATTGTTCACTGATCGCGAGTTCAAAGAAAACGAAGATTTCTTTCAAAAAATATTCGAGTTGGGTCGGCGTCATAAGATCATGAACCCTGATAAAATGCGGTCGACGTATGGAAAGTTGATCTACCTTCTTCAGGTTAGCGAAATCCTTATTTGTAACGTGCAAGTGTACAAGCGTTGTTAACGTTGTTTCCATTCAGGACAGTCAATCACCTGAAGTGATAGATATGCTTGGATTTTCGTGTGTTCAACCAATCCGGACTGTCTATACTGTTCTTGAGGAACAGAACGCGCTCGATCTCCTTCGTGAAGATCTCGTATCTGTCGCCACCAAAGAGATCTACTCCGAGGGCAGAACACGTCGAGATATTCAAAAGGACATCCGAAGCAAGGAAAAGGCCATTGAAGCACTTTCAGCAAAATATCAACGCAAGGGTCTCAGTCAAGAGACAATTCGTCAATGTCTATATAGTATCGGTGACAATCACGCGTTCTTGCGTACGAACCGGGATCCTTGTGACAAGATGATTGCCTATTTGAAACAATACTTCCATCCAACAAAACCGAACGATGGGAAGAGCAGTCTTGCCATCAAAAGTGGCAAAGGTGGTGCGAGGTTAAGTCATGATCACCAGAAGCAATATGCATACGTGCTGCAGAGTTTGACTTTGTGGCGCGAGATTCTACATGGTAAGTTTCTAGTCTTTCAAGCCTTGAATGGCGACTTAACCAATTTCTTTCCTTCGCATAGACATGTTCCACCTCTGGTATCTCGCCGAGTCAGACCTGCTCTCCGAGAATGTACCTTACCGTCTTCGTGACACCGGTCAAGGTCTCAACCGAGTCCAAGCTGCCCCTAAGACCTCTCGTATGATGCACGTCATCTTGAACCGTGCTCAGAGGAGTATCGGGTCTTGGGTAGGCTCTTCAGTTATCCACATGGGCGATCACAATGTTCCGAACGCGCTCATGTTCATCGGTAAGCATCCACACATGTTCACCTTACTTTCCTGACTCTGAAGAAATGCTCTGTCATTAGATAAATACTCCCAAATCTATCGAATCCTCCTGCCTATTTGCAACACGATCTCCAAAATTCCAGAGCTCATGACTAAGCATGCTCTCCGATCATACATCGAAAACGAGTTCGGATCTGCGGAAGGTTGTTCAAGAGAAATCCTTGGCGACTTCTTCAGACATGGATTCGATGGATCGGGTGCAGACAACTTCTTTGATGCTGGATCGTGTATCGATGGACGACTCACTTCGGCTTGGAACTGGTGTAACTCGCTCGAGAAGAAACGGTATTTCCCTGTGTTTTTGCTTGCAGGTAAGTTTCGCTTATTTCTGCTACTGCGGATGTAGCATGCTGATCTACTTTGCAGGTTTCATTGGTTTCGACGGTGACTGGTAGATAGATACTTAGAGGACTTTTCATGATATTATTCCATTGTGCATTCATTAAGTAGACATTCACATTGTCGTTGGCTTCCATTCGAAATCACACCCAGGCATCCGTCCTGCAATCCAGTGATCCCACATTCTACGCATAATCTATAACGGCGATGTACGATACGCACAAGATGGTCCGTCAAATTTTACATGCCCGTTGTACCTCCAATGGTGATCAAGCTACGGTCTCTTGAGGCTGCGGCGTGCTCGCCTCAATGCCAGTGGGAGTAACAGTAACCGGGGTAGCAGCAGGTGCTTCTGGCACATTGCGCTTCTTGGCCGCCACCACAACTTCCAAAACGCTCGAGAGACCCGTCTTCCATGCTACGAGACGCTTCTCGAGTGCTTCCCACTGATCGCGCTCGAATGCACGGGCAGTAGCACGAATGATATGCAGGGTGCGAGTGGTTTGTGAGATCTTGCTGGTGATGAGACCTGCACGAATGGCTGTGACGAGGAATGTCAACTTCAGCAGGGTGAATTGTGCATAAAAGGAAATGAAGATATTACCGTCGATGACCCATCGCTCGACCTGTGACTCTTCAACCTGAATTGCGGAGGCTACTGCTGAGTAGGGAAGATCACGTCCGACGTTTTGGAACCCGAGGGTGGCAAGGCTGAGCAAACGAATCTTGCGCTCAAGCTGTGTCTTGTCCAAGTCTGAGGGCAGATAATGTCGCAAATGAGTTTCACAAGCAAGAATGCATGGACGTTCGGAATGATACGTACTGTATTTGGAGATCACATCGGCATGGCCGGATTCCCAATCCTGGTATTGTGACAATCCGTCGTTTAGGAATATCTGCAGCAGAGGGAAAAGCTCGTGGTTTTTCGCTGCAACTACAGCATCCAGACGGAAGAGAGGGTCAAAATCGAAGGTTGTTGGTGATCGGAGTGCAGTTGCGATGAGTTCCCCGGCGGCGGACTCAGCAGAAGGGGAAGATGGAGGTATTGAGCGGACGTAGGAAAGTTGATAGAGATATGATGTATCACTTTTCAAATGTCAACATGTTTGTTTCAGACCAAACAGAGAAAGAACTCACAGGTCGCCGGATTTCGTGTAAACATCAAATAAGGTTTTGAGGAATGAGGTCTTCTCGTCCACAGAGACATCCCATTCTGACAGCCATTTTTCGACTTCGGAAACAGAGACGGCAAGGTGGTCAAGTTCGTCGTTGGCGCTGGCGAGTTCGATGAGAGCTCGGTGAACTGGTAATCTGAGACCAGACTTCCGTGGAGTGGCGTTGAAGATGTTGGAAAGTCTAAATGGCACGTTCAGCATGAATTTGACGAAATGAATTAGGGACTCCTACATGCGATATTTGATGGAGGATGGAGCATCAGCAGAAGCAACGGTCTGCAACAGGGTTGCCAATTGTTCTTTTGTCTCGGGAGCATCGAGCGGAAGCAGAGTCAAGAAGTGTGATAGTAGTAGGTTGAAGAATCCCTCAATCTCTGTGAACAGGAATACTGTGAGTGGATATAAGAGTGCGATAGTCTAATACTCACCTCGCTCGGAACCTTCACCCAAACCCTTTACTTCACCTAGTACCAAAGTCAACGCTTTTCTTCGTCTTTCTTCATCCTTTTCAATAGGTTTCTGGCCTTCTTGCGTAGTCAACACGTCCTGGAATGGCTGGACATAATTTGGTCGTTGATCTTCAGGCAAACTGAGTGCAAGATAGTTAACAAGCTCGAGGATCTGTGAAAATGGTAGTATATCAGTATACGTCAATATAATCGTAGGGCAGTCCTACATACCTGCTCCTCGAACGTTCCCTCCGCGAAAACAGAGACAGCATCAGTGACCGACATCCTTTTTGAGACTGGAGACAGTAAAGCAATTACAGTAGTGGTGGCTGGAGACTCAATATTTCGGCTCGGAAAAATAAAGACAAACATCCCGACGGTGGCCTGAAAAGGAAATTCCCGACCCTTTCTCATTCTCAGATGGCTTGCGTTTCTACGAACTTCAACAATAGGTGTTCTTGCATGCTGAATACTGGACGGAAGCTACCCCCGATGGATTCTATTCATGATTGCTCAATGCAATCTTGAGATTTCAGCTTGACGAAGGAATAACGATGGTGCTTCGAGTTTTATTCTCAAGACATCTATCTCTGACCTTCTTCGACATGCCAAACAACGTCAAGACTGTGCTTGTTCAGATGTTCACTGGAAAGCCTCGATGTAGCCTACCACTGATCTCCCCTGCACCATAGACGGTGGTCAGATAACTTTATATTTTCGTCCTTACCCAATTCCATGCTCCTTTGTGCTTGGCATCGGATCACGAGAAGAGAAGCTCTAACTCAAAACATCTTGCCTTGTCGGCAATTATGTCGTTGAGCAGCGGTTGAATGTTCAAGGCTCTCCCTGCCGACGCCTTGCCAGTCTGTGAGTGGCAACACATATGACGCACTCAAGTTATTGTAACCGTCGTACCGAGCTTCACAATCCCTTCGTCATGCTTTTACCCGCCATCAAGATGCCTCTAATGAACTGACATCGCTTGGATGGAACAGGGTGGAACTAACTTGTAGTCATATCATTTCCGCCCGAAATTGTGGCGTTGGCGCGTCTCATGGAAGTCGCAGAGACGCCTCCGGTATATAAGACCCATGGCGACGACGCGTGAAACCACAAGCACGCTGACCCTTTTGTCTACAGTCACCAAGGGTCAAGATGATGCTTATCTCATTGTCTTTGTCACTGGCGCTGTCCTCATTAGCTTATGCCGCTCCTTTTACTGACACTCCTTTGACTGACTATGCTCACAAGGTTAAGGAGGTAGCAATACCTCCCCGAGGATGGATTAAACGGGGTGCACCTCCTGCAGATTATACCATTGAACTCCGTATTGCCCTTCCACAGCCAAACTTTAGTGAATTAGAGCGTCATCTTTACGAAGTCAGGTGAGTTACGCGTTTTTATATGTCTCGTCGTCTTAAGATATTTAGACGCGTTTAGTGATCCCACGCACTACCGTTATGGTGAATATCTCTCTAAAGGGGAGGTTGAAGAACTCATCGCTCCTCATCCGGAAAGTCTCAACTCGGTCCATCATTGGCTCGCCACCCATGGTTTCACGGACGACCACTTAAATCGGTCTCCTGCGAGTGATTGGATCAAGGTGAACGTTCCTGTCAGTCTGGCTGAGAAGATGCTCAATACGGTTTGTTCTCATTTCCTTTTCACCGTTGTGGAGGGTTCACGTCGCTCTGCAGGAATATCACGTCTGGGTTCATGAACCCACTGGCAAGACTGCGATTCGCACAACGACTTATAGCTTGCCGGAAACCTTGCATCATCACATTGAGCTGGTGCATCCTACAATTCATTTCCCCAGCACCAAGCCACTGGTTGCCACCTCTCACTTGTCACCTATTCTTCCGAAGGTTCTTGGGGCTAATGTCGCTCATGCGCGTCCCATCGTGGTCCCTTCTGCATCTGGTGGACATGTGGATGCGGATTGTAACAACAATATCAATATCAAATGTCTTCAACAGATCTACAACATTGGACGCTACAAATCCTCTGCGCATAATGGCAGCCGGATTGGTATTACTGGTTATCTTGAGCAATTTGCCAACATCGAGGATCTTCAATCGTTCTACAAAGAACAACGCCCTGATGCTGTGGGATCATCTTTCGACACCATCTCCGTTCATGGTACCTCCTGTCTCGGTGACCTGTTTCTGCAAATCTAAACATGAAGTTGTTTATAGGTGGTCTCAACAACCAATCCCTTGCCGAAGCAGGTGTTGAGGCGAATTTGGGTAAGTCCAAGAAGTCCGGATCACATCTGACGAGAGCTTAATCGTGCGGTAGATACCCAATTTGCCTTTGGCTTGACTTTCCCTACTCCCGGCGTCTTCTACTCCACGGCCGGGCGACCGCCGATCATCAACGACCTGCAGACTCCGGATAACACAAATGAGCCGTACCAGGACGTAAGTCAAGGATACGGCTTTTACGTCCTTTTACTAACAATCTTCCAGTGGCTTGACTACGTTCTCGACCACCCTAACCCTCCCCAAGTCGTAAGGTATGAAGATGTTAATCATGCAGAATAGCATTCAAATCCGCTGATAAGAACTCATCCAGCACGAGTTACGGCGATGACGAACAAACAGGTAAACTGAGACCCTTGGCCGAGAAGTTCAGTATCACTGATGAAAACCTTGTGCTTTAGTTCCCGAGAGCTATGCGCGTCGCATTTGTCAGGGACTTGCACAGCTAGGTGCGTCAACCTTTCCGAGTTCACAAACTGACCTTGCTAATTCATGTTTCCAGGCGCGCGGGGTGTCTCAGTTTTCTTCAGCTCTGGCGATTTTGGTGTTGGCGATGGTGATCCCAATCCCGAGACACAAATTTGCAAAACCAACGATGGCCGCAATGTCACTCGTTTCATGCCTGCCTTCCCCGCATCTTGCCCTTAGTTCGTGCTTTATTTATGTCAATCTTGAGCGCCGCTCACATGTTCAATGAAAGCGTGACCACTATCGGTGGAACAGTTCACATCCCTGAGGTTGCTATTGGCTTCTCAGGAGGTGGATTTAGTGACCTAGTTTGTTACCAGCCTTGGTTGCATCCTGGATGGTAAGAACTAACTGTCACCGCTAGTTCCCTCGTCCGGCATATCAAGATTCCGTAGTTTCCGGATATTTGAAGAATCTGCCCGAAGGGATTTATGCTGGTCTGTTTAACTCGTAAGTCGTACTGTAGCTTTCCCTTCTATAAGATGCTAAGCTTCTTGTGCAAATTTAGATCTGGCCGTGTATGGTTCTGTTCAATGGTGTCAGGCAACCTCAATGCTGACAAACCGATGCTTAGGCTTATCCTGATCTTGCTGCTCAGTCAAGTCGATACGTCGTCTGGGTAGGAGGACATTCTGGGCACGTTGGTGGTACTTCTGCTTCTTCTCCGACTGTCGCCGCGATCTTCTCTCTGTTGAACGATGTCCGAATCTCGCACGGATTGTCTCCGCTGGGCTTCCTCAACCCCTTGATCTACAAGATTCAAGCTGAGCATCCCGAAGCTCTGAATGACATCACGGAAGGCAACAATCCCGGCTGTGGAACACAAGGCTTCAATGTGCGTTACTGTTCTCCTTACTTCATACTGATGATCAGCTGACTCTTCTTGTGAAGGCCACGAAGGGGTGGGATCCCGTTACGGGTTTGGGCACGCCAAACTTTGGCAAACTGAAAGATATAGTCCTGTCTCTGGAATGACCTGTTACAGAGCTGTGATATTTGCAGGTACAACGCAAGGCGTATTGATTATCGCACTGCTACTCCGCAAGGAAACGTGCCAAGCGGTACTGCGTCCCTTATACCTACCAATACAACACCTTCCATAAATAGGGATTGGAACATGCGTTCCCAAAATGCGGCATCATTTCACGCATCTGGAAGTTTCAACTCAATATGACACTTCGCGATTACCTTGTGACGCTTTGCCTTGATTGAAACAACTCAAGTGAGCGGCACGTCAGCCATTGTGTACTCCTCGGGCACGCGCAATGACCGCCGGTTCAACTGGGCTGTGACTTGTTGACGTCGCTTTGTTCTAAACTTGCAATTACGTTCTCACTGCGACCAATTTTTGGCATCCCTAGATCATCGTTGGACAGCGCCGGCATCCGACTGTTGTACAATGAGAGATTTACATCACCCGAAATGGCGACATCTTTAGACGTTTGGGTATTCCACCCCGACTCCTCGGATACGGGCAGACAGCGACAAAGTCCGCTGGGAAAAGAACCATGATCCCATGAGGTGCCGTCGGGAACGTTACACCTTGGCGGTTTTGGCAGAGAGGTCGTTCCTGGGTTCCGCTTTCGATTTCCGTTATTCGCATCAATTAAATGTAAGAATGTATAAATACCATGCTACGCAGACATGCATCCCCACAGACGTCCATCTCGCCTGTCTCAGTCAAGACGACCTCTTTCCAAAAGATGAGGACTTTGATCACGTGGTGCGCGTTGGCACTCGCTGCTGTAGTTTCTGCTGCGCCGGCCAAAGAATGTGCTCACAAGGTCAAGGAGAGCATTCCTCCTCCTCGGTTATGGGTTAAGGAACGTCCTGCTCCCAAGGATCTGACCATTGAGTTGAGGATCGCTTTGCCTCAACCCAACTTTTTTGAATTGGAACGACACCTTTACGAAGTCAGGTGAGCATATCCGAGCAACTTGAATGCTGTTTGATGTCGCTCACCCGAGGTGTTTTTTAGTGATCCATTCCACGAGCGGTACGGTCAACATCTCTCGAAGGAGGAAGTTGAAGCGCTTGTCACTCCCCACCCTGAGAGTATCCATTCAGTGAACGAATGGCTTGCTTCCCATGGCTTGACGGAGAGCGCACTTACTCGCTCCCCGGCTAACGACTGGGTACGAGTTAAGGTACCCATCAGCTTGGCAGAGAAGATGTTGGATACCGTGCGTTGCGTTTCCCACCGTCCCTGTGATAAATCCGAGTATGACTATGCCACCAGGAATATCACGTTTGGAGACATACGAAGGATGATAACTACATTGTCCGCACGACAAGTTATAGTTTGCCAGAGAATTTGCACGAACATATTGACTTGGTCCAGCCTACGACGCTCTTTTCGACTCTACGAGGCATGGACACGACCTTCCGGTTCTCTCAGGACACTCCTGCTCCATTAAGTGCTGATGCACCGCCAATTAACATTCCCTCTGCCTCTGGCGGCAAGGTGGATGCGAGTTGCAATACAACCATCACCATCTCGTGTATCCAACAACTATATAATGCCGTCGGCTTCAAGCCCAGTGGCAAAAATGGAAACCAGATTGGTATCACGGGTTATCTTGAACAGTTTGCGAACATTGCGGATCTTCAAAGCTTCTACGCTGATCAACGTCCGGATGCATTGAACTCCTCTTTCAAATTCATCTCAGTTAAAGGTGATGTCCCAACATACCATGTGACGACTGTTAGACTCACGGTCTGACGTACTCTTGACAGGCGGTCTCAACAACCAGTCAATCGAAGAGGCAGGGGCCGAGGCAAATCTTGGTATGTCTGCAATCCGTACTCATTAGGCAGCAAATCATGACGTAGAATCCTTCTTTAGACGTACAGTTTGCATTTGGTCTAACACATCCCATTCCTGGTACTTTCTACTCGACTGCGGGACGCCCTCCTTTCAAGCCCGACGTGCTGACGCCTACGAACACGAACGAGCCGTATACAGATGTAAGAGTCCCGTCATATATAGAGAGCGTTCCCTGCTGAGCTAGAGCAGTGGCTCGACTTTGTGCTTAGTCACCCGAATCCTCCTCAGTCCATCAGGTATGGGCTGACCCAGTTACGTTGCTGTGCAGTACTTATACTAACTAATTCATAACTGTTTAGTACGAGTTATGCCGATGACGAGCAGACTGGTAATGATTATATTTTGAAAATCTCACGTACCTGCGACGCTAATCATTCATTCCAGTCCCCGAAAGCTTCGCTAAACGCGCTTGCAATGGCTTTGCTCAACTGGGTAAGCTTCTGCGCACTTACATACGGGGAAGTCGTTGACGCATGGCATTCAGGTGCACGCGGCGTATCTCTCATGTTCAGTTCGGGCGACGGCGGTGTTGGTGACGGCGACAGTGATCCAGCCACCCAACAGTGCTTCACAAACGACGGCCGAAACAAGACTCAGTTCGTTCCGTTGTTCCCTCCAGCTTGTCCATTGTAAGCGGTTTGTTAGTATAAACCCTATTCAGGTCACCTAAATCCTTCTTTATTTCGTTTCCAGTGTAACTTCGGTTGGTGGGACTGTACATGTTCCCGAGACCGCCGTGTTCTTCTCAGGTGGTGGCTTCAGCAATCTTGTGGGTGTCTATATATTGAGTTTGTATGCCCCGCTCATTGAACTCTCAATTCTAGTTCCCTCGACCGGCTTATCAAAACTCTAGTGTCTCCCAATTCCTGAACAAATTACCCAAGGGGACTTATGCTGGCCTTTTCAATCCGTAAGTTCGTCAGCCGTCCTCTGGTTCTCTTATTCCTGATGTATCGTTTCTGCAGAAAAGGCCGAGTAAGTATTCAATTGACAAACAAATAACTTCATTGACTGACGACCAATTTTAGGCCATTCCTGATGTCGCAGCTCAAGCTGACTTCTTCAGGATCTTCTTGTCTGGTCGTATCATTTCTATTGGCGGGACGTCTGCAGCTTCTCCCACGTTTGCTGGAATTGTGGCCCTGTTAAACGATGCGCGTCTTTCGAAGAAGCTGCCATCTCTGGGCTTCCTTAATCCTCTGCTCTACGCTATCGGTGCTAACTTCCCTAAGGGATTCAATGATATTACTATCGGTAACAATCCAGGTTGTGGAACGCCCGGATTCAACGTAAGTTCCCCTACTTGATGAACCCCACTTGTTTAAACTAATTTTCCCTTTGCTAGGCAACCAAGGGTTGGGATCCAGTGACCGGCCTCGGTACTCCGAACTTTGGCGTATTGAAGGATATCGTCACTGGACCCCTTGCCAGATTCTAATGCCCCTTCCTTGTTGCTGATGGATGGTGGTGTAGCTAATTATGTAAACGATAAATGAAATATGCGCTGGTGACGACCTGAGGTACCAGAGTAACTGCAGCGCTTCACATTGTACAGGGAGGCTAGTATGACCGCTTCCCTCAAACATGCCATACATCACAAGCGAGGTCTAGTGTCAGACATCCTCCATACGTAAGGCATCAGGAAGAATAGTCTCCGAAGGGCCGATGAAGAGGAAATCAGCCTGCTCATCACGCTTACTTCGGTCGACGTTGAAAACAGCCACTTTTCCGCCGGCTGCTTTCACCATGCCTGCCAACTTTGCAGCAGGGTGAACCTAAGGGATGCAGTGCAGTTGTGAGTAAGCTTGTAGAATACTAGGCCATTGCACGTACAACTGAGGATGTGCCAACAACGAGACACAAGTCAGCATTCTCTGCCAGTTTGAGAATCTCATCTATACGATATGGAACCTCTCCGAACCAGACCATACCCGGACGCTGCAGGCTTCCACATTTGCTGCACCGGGGTAAGTCTTCCTTTGGAATATCAGGTTCGGGTAATTTCGAATCAGCTTCGTAGATCAACTCGGTACCCGCAAGTGCTGGACACAAGGGAGAATTGTAATTCTTTTCGCGATGCCCGCATTCGTATGCTGTGCAGACCAAGTCGAAAAGACTACCATGCATTTCGATTAGAGGTGGATGATCCGGATCGGAGAGTTCATTGTCAATGGAACCAGAGGGCAACGAAGCTTTGACAGATTGCAGGGCTTTTTTGCTGAGTTCGTCCACGTTCTGAGTTATTAGGGTGAAGGTTGATTCAGGGGCGACACGTTCCCGATAGGCTGGTATGGAAAACTTCGCTAATGCAAGGTGAGCGGCGTTAGGTTTGGCCTTGAATACGCTGGTACGACGATGTAATGTCATTGGTGGAAGTCTGATAATAATAAAAAGACCAACGGTGCAACTTACAGTTCTCGGCGATAGTGTTCAAACTGCCAGACTCTAGAAGGACTGTCAAGGAATCCTGCCTTCGTGGACAGTCGCAATGCGTCGTATTTGCGCCACAAGGCTCCGTCGGATCCACGAAATGTGGGCATGCCTGGGAAACAACGATGAGGAGAAGGTTATCGATGAGGATGCAATACTTGATTACCTGACGGAGCGGAAAGGCCTGCCCCTGCGAGACATATGATATTTTTCGAATTACTGAGAACTTTCCTGAATTCACTTAAGTCGGCTGATGGCATTTCAGGCAGATGAGTATCGGATGGTAAAGAAGCCATGAGGTGGGTGTGAGAGCCACTAATCTACAGCCGAGCAATGAGGGAGCTTTGACCCCAAACGCTACACGAAGTTGTTGGGATGTGGCCGTAAGTATTGGGGAAGGCAACCCTCGATCATTCCAACTTGTCAATTGTTGTTAATCTGCAGAGATTACCGAGATTATCGCTTTGTTGTTCATTGTTCGATATATCCGGTGATCACCCTGAAAGATTCGATTGAACCTCAGATAATATCATGTGGAGGTAAATATGCACTATAACCAACTTGCAAGCTTTGAAAAACTGCCTTTGGTACTCCATTAGTATATAGTATGTATCTGTACGTAGAGATTAAGCGAAGTCTTTAACTTACAGACTAAGCAAAAGCATGACACGTACTGCAAATCTGTCAATTCTCGTCGGCTGGCAAGATGGTAGTGCAAGTGGGGATCACGCTGTCACTATATCCGAGATCTCAGCTCTGCAGATATCAACCACGCACCATCGTAGCAGGACACATAGACCCTGAACATGAGGATATCTCATGTGGAGTACCGTCGAAGGAGACGCAACTGCACATATATGGCCATCATTCACTCACTTGGATACGGAAAGGAGAGACCGACGGCAGATACATATTCATGCATACTGACGGCGATCAGTCAAAAACGGAACTTGGGCCGTAAATATAAAAGATCGCATCGAGCATGCCAGTCCGTCAGTAGTACTACGGTACGCCGCCCTCAAAGTCACTGTGTAAATAAGTCGTAAGTGACATGTCGGCGTTAGGTCCAAAGAATACGTACTCATAGGTCTCTCACAGATGAATCCATCTCCTCCTCCTAAGGCCTTCGCCACAGTGTTTAAAGAGCTTACTGCAACCCAACCCGTCATTCCTGGCGGCATTTCGGATACCAAGTCTTATCATTCTATCGCCGTGTCGGACGAATCTGCTGCCGCCGTGGTATTCGAGGTCATTGTTGTGTGTTCGACATCTACCCAGATTATATACTCTCCTCAGAACATGAACGGCGAATCAGGCACCTCTTATCACTTCCGGATCTTTTGCGTCTTCGATGACGACGAGTCTGTGGAGTTGCAAGCATTTCGTATAAGCGTCACGTCAGGAATCACCAACATGATGGTTTTGGAGAGACACTACAGGGTTACGGACAAGTCGGTTCTGTCCGAACATGCCATGCAATGCCGAAAGGATCAGACGTTCACTGTGCAACAGATAATTGATCATCTCATCGTAGTGAAGAAACGTCACCAGTATCGTTTCGACCGTGCGACTGGAAGCGGGTGTCGCTACTGGTGCAATGTGGTTGTAAAGGACCTGGAGGACCTAGGACTTCTTCCAGAAGGCTCTGCAGCCGCAACAGAGCAATGGGGGAATGAAGTGGCGGAAATGGATCGTGCCAGTATGAACGTCCCTGCAACGCAAGGAACGTTCTACGATTAGGTTTAGAGCTGCTTCCAAGGATATGTCATGTCGATGTTTATTGCACTCCTTAGAAAGTCGCAACGAAGAGCGGTTTTCACCTAACCAACAGTCGGCATGAATGAAGAACAGGATTTTTTATGTGCATCTTATATGATGGGTATGGTATTGGTACTTACGACGGAAACTTCTGTACAAAGAATTTTGTCCGTAGGAAACACCATAGTCATGTTTTGTCGGAGAATAGTCGAGCTTCGGCCCTCCAGCAACATGCTTCAGAGGGCTTCAGAAACTTTCGTATCAGTCTTGTAATAACGATCTATGTGGTTCGGGAGACAGGTAGCGTTCTTGCTACGGACAACCCACTGAGTGATAATCATTGTGCACCAGAGGTCAAAACAGATATCGTCACTCGTAAGGTCCAAAGAAATTTGAGAAGGGAATTGGAAGTCACAGAACGGCGTGGGAAACCTGCAACGCCGCTGCAGATCACTTTATCTACATATTTATTAGTGCCTACGGCGTTAGATATAGCTCAACGTTGAACGTTCAGGCTACGACTTGGTACTTGAACATAAATCACGTTCAATTAAGCAGTACCTTTCTAAACATCCTCAGGCTATTCAAGTTTCCCTTGCCATCTTTCTCGTCTTCATGCTGGATTCAAATCACCTGGCAAACTCCCCAAGGATGGGGTCGAATGTGAGTCCTAATCTTTTGGTTTCGTGTTAGGAATTAATCATCCTACAGTTAATCCTACGTGTACTGCGCGCGCTCTCAGACTATATGTCGCGGTTATTGCCAGTGCCAGCGATGTCTGCTCTTGAGGTGAGCTCACACCAAACGGACGACCGAATATTATCTAATATAGAGTAGTCACAAGCACACAAAGATTTCATCGACATTCAAAAGCTTGAGGATCAAGAAATAGCGGAACGTTATAAGATTTCCCCTCATATTGAAGGTGCCGCTCGGATGGGCAGCTTGGTAGCGCCCATACGTATGATTACACCTCATATCGTCGCAAAGAAAGGGATTGACAAGTCGATATGGGAACCTCAAACAATGAAGCTCGTCCGTTCCCAGACCGCCATTCCTGTCCCGGATGTTTTGCGCGTGGCCAAACATAAAGGCGTTGTTTACCTTCTTATGGAGCACATTCCAGGAAGAACCTTGGAAGAATGCTGGAGTGAAATAAGCATATGGCGGAAGATTTGGGTAGCTTGGAAATTGCGCTCGTACATTCGCCAACTTCGTCGCATCCGTATACCTCAAATTGATGCTCGGGTTCCCGGTCCCCTAATGGAAGATCTCTCACATCCCCGACAATGTACGAATCCCATTTTCGGCGAGTTTGAAGTAGGACCATTCCCTTCATTCTCAGATCTGATACAGTGGTTCAACGATCGACTCCTGGTCGCCCTCCGCTTTGATCCTATTCCTAACTGGGAAAATCAACCGTTGAAAGTCTTAGGACCACTTGTGTTAACTCATGGTGACCTCGTCCCCCGCAACATCATCCTTGGCGAGGATGGTCGTTTGTGGATCATTGACTGGGGATCCTCGGGCGTTTATCCTATGTGGTTCGAATATGCAACTATGATGCGCAGTGCGAACAGACCATATAACGGACTCAAGAAGGCTCCTCTATCTTGGTTCAGGACGATCCGCTTCGCTGCAGGTACATACGATACCGAGTATAGATTCACTGAGCGAATCGCCTTTGCTGTGACTACCTTTGCATTTATACCTGTTTCTGAGGCTCTGAGTTAAGCAGGGACTCCTTTGTTATTCAACGACTCTACTGTTCAGATCTCACCAATATCTAGAGAGCTTCGTTGCAGTATGAATAACCGATTTGAGTGACAACTCGATCATTACACGCGTGGGAAATTTATGTAGATACGACGGTGAATCTTGAAAACCTTAAATTGCAAGTCAAAGTCATCCTTATCAGGTAACTGCCATCTTCCCAGTATTCTCATCTGTTCATCTCATGTTCGACTCATATGTCTCGGAAAATTCATATGGAGCCCGTTATAATGTGAGGATCGCTGATTCTCGGTCATGCTGAGAGTTAGTAATGCCAATCCAGTCGATCCTACGTATAATGCACTCTCTGGCGAGTTGCGTGTCGCCAACGACGTCCACTCATATAGAGGTAGGCTCTCATTATACGAGACAACCAACTAGTGCTAAATTCAGAGTATTCCCAGACTCACAAAGATTTTGCCGACATTTGCAACATCACAGATGACGAGGTAGTTGAACGCTATGAGAGCTCCCCTCACATTCGGAATGTTGCACGCTTGGGCAGTCTGGCAGCACCCATACGCATGATTACGCCTCACATCGTCGCCAAGACGGGGATTGAAATGACAGAGTGGGAACCGCAAACAATGCAGGTCGTTCGTGATCAGACTACTATTCCTGTCCCGGAGGTTTTGCGCGTGGTCAAGAACAAACGTTATATTTACCTTCTCATGGAACATATTCCGGGAAGGACTTTGGAAGAATGTTGGGATGAATTAAGTTTGTGGAGGAAGATCTGGATTGCGTGGAAGCTACGCTCATACATCCGTCAACTCCGACGTATCCGTTTACCTCAAATCGACGCGCAGGTACCCGGGCCACTTACAGAAGATCTGTCTCACCCTAAACAGTGTGCGAACCCAATATTCGGCGAATATGAAGTAGGACCATTCCCTTCCTTTTCATCCATGGTTCGATGGTTCAACGAACGACTTGTGGTTGCCTATCGTTTCGATCCTGTTCCTAATGAACAACCTGAACCACTCAAGGCCAGAGGACCGCTTGTTTTAACCCATGGCGACCTCGTTCCTCGTAACATCATTCTCGGTGATGATGGTCGACTGTGGATCATCGATTGGGGATCCTCAGGCGTTTATCCTATCTGGTTCGAATATGCGGCTATGATGCGCAGTGCGAACAGACCATACAACGGTCTCAAAAGGGCTTCTCTATCTTGGTTCAGGATAATCCGTTTCGCTACCGGCGCGTATGATACCGAGTACGAGTTTACTGAACGAATCGCCTTTGCTGTGACTACCTTTGCCTTTGTGCCTGTTTCTGAGGCTTTGAAATGAGTACATATCTATTTGTTATTCAGCGACATTGCTATCGTTCACATGCCAGCCACAATTCGAACTAGTTTGGACTTGGACTTTGGACTGACAAAAACCCGACTGGTCCAGTTTGAAATGACCGGCCAACAGTCATCCTCAAAACTTCTAACAGTTCTGTTGATGTCAAGGTTACCCGGCCGCGATAGTTGACCTTCTCCAAGTGTTTTCAATATGTCTTCCACAGCTAAAGACACGTCGGCACCTGACCAGGGCACTAACGGTATCATCTTGTTCCAGGGCTTTTTGCAATACCTTTGCCAAGGTGAGTCCCATAATGAGCAAGATGAGGAGCTGAATGTTAAATAAAAGATGGTACAGGCATCGTCTTTGCGCAGGTATTGAACGTTGTGGCACATTTTCTTGTTTAACTCTCATGTTGCATCCTAAGGCCGTAAAGTTTTGGAAGCGATCCGCCAGTGATACGGTCTACTTGCGCGCCTTCGTGGCTTTACTCCTAGCTCTTGCTACGTGAGTCCAATGATGATTTATCCGCCGAGCTATCTGCGGACTTGTTTCATTTCGTTATTGTCATAGGTTACAGACAGCAATAGCATCATATAAGGTATGGATTATGACAGTAGAACAGAGACACTGGGTGAGTTCCACTCTAGGTGTTCGCTGGTTTGCGCATTCAAATTTCTTGTCAGTGGACAAGTCACCTCTATAATACGGATTTTCTCGTCAATGGCCTGATTTGCACAGTATGTGAGACCTATCTGATACGCAGGTGCTGGAAGGTGATGAGCTTGCGTTTTGTGTCACACGCCCACTCACCATGTTTACGTCTCTCAATAGTTCAGTCAACGGAACATATGGGTTCTTGTTGCACTTGGAAGTCTCGCGCTGTGTGCCTTTATCGCAAATATATACCTGGTGGGTCTGCAGGCTTTCAGAGTACACTGTCAAAGTACTCATGAATACGTCCTGTAGGCGGTCAGGATTGGTTGCTCTATTGGTATGGCACCTCAGTACAGCGATGTGAGTAATATGATAATGTCGCTCGAAAGCATGAGTTGACTTTCTTGTGTAGCCCTTACGAGTAAGTATTTGGGCGTTCCCGTTCTGGGTCTATGTTTCATTAGCTCTGGATCTTGCAACAACCTCGATTCGTGCGTCCAACCTCTCCTTGGTCCTCAAGCCAGGCTCTGATGGCGACGACCACTTACAGTGTCCATATATCTGTGGAAATCTCGGACGGGCTACTGCTATCTGGACAAGACACTCCGAAATATTATTGGCATTACATGGGAGTCAGCCGCCCTCCCCTGTGTTTTCATGATCATATCGGCTAGTCTTTTCTTCTCTGGCCGAAATGTCAGTCCATTTCAGTGGTATTGGACACTTGATCCTTGTTCATAATGTCCTTTGTAGTCTAAAGAAGTCCGACACCTGGATATTTTCTTCATCCTCAGTACAGCCAAATTCCACACCCACGGTCTCCTTCGGACTCTGAACTCACGCATCAAATTCCGCGAGAGCTTTCAGCATCATGAAGACGTCGCACGACAATCTTTGGGTTCATGGTTGTCGAACGCAGAGACTGTTGTCGAGAGTGACGAGGTATGGCCTTACCCTACGGTGGTAATACAAAGTCGCTGACTTAACTTGGCCGATAGACACGAAGTATCCGAACGCTTGAAGAAAACGAACCTTCGAGAGGTTCGAGGAAGAAATCGGATGTTGCTGAAGTGTCCGACAACAGTGTAGCATCTGCGGCGATGCGCCTTGGAACAAATGCTTCTGAGATGATATCCTCATCGCCAGAAATGGATACACGGGAGCGGGGTATCACCGTGCGGGACACGGATTTCATCATAGTGCATTGAGTCTACATTTATACGGGCTTTTCTAAATACACAATACTCATTCTTTTAGGGTGTGACTGAGTTTGTCAAGAAGGTCTGACAAGCGGTCCGCCTCGAACGCGGCTAGTGTAGAGTTCTTTTCAAAGGTAATAGCTTCAGCCAGTGCAGGAAGTGTCGTAGCACCGTAGCCTATGAAGTCGTATGGTCAAATGAGAAATCCAATAGGTGACAACATGATGCAGAACAAAAACTCACCAAGCCATTTTCCTGGAGCAACACCGAGATGCTTATACCATTCACGATCTTTGATGCCGTCCTCTGAGATAAAGCCACGCTCGAATGCGACTAGCTTTGAGTTCGCCTTTTGCACTCGCTTTGCTGCTTTGATGAACTTCTCAACAGGAACCATCCCGCCTTCCTCAATGCCGAGTCCAAAGATGTTCATAATACGGAAGAACCCATCCTTCAGGGTACTGAGACAGAAGTTAAAGAATCCCTGCTGGTTTCGCCGAGAGACCTTCTCAAGTAACTTTCTGAAATTCTTCTCGGCCTTGATTTTCTCAGCATCTAGTTTTTGACTTGCTTTCTGCAACTTCTTGATTGAATGTCGCAACTTCGAGAACTTGAGCGAGGTTGAAGTAAGGTTTTCGACCCTATAAAGGAAGCTAAGCGCAATGACTTGAACAGGCAAGCAATAACTCAACTCGTTAAGGTAGTCTTCCAATTCCAGGGCGTACTGAGTAGTATTGAGCGGGAGGATGATGGCGTCCGCCAAACGTAACGCCATTAGTCCCAAATGCTTCGATACAGCAACCTGTCGGAGGAACCATTGAATCTCAATCGTGGAAGTTTACGATATTGATTTACTTACATGACGTTCGAAATCAGGATCTGCGAACACTTCTTGCCAATGTTGACTATCATAAATACTGTGGTAATGATAGACAGCATCCGTAGGCGTGAACGAGAAGCCCTGATCCATACTTGCAACCTATAGCTCCTACTATTAGCATTGAAATATAAACGCAAATTAAAGTAAGAGACGTACACCCAGATGTTGGAGGAACACCGTAAAGTCACTTCCCGAGCCGAGCGGAGGGACGCCAGTTTCGGTCGCCCTCTTGAGTTGCATAGATTCATACGCTGACATGAACTCCGCGTCTGCAGGGCCAGTGAAAGGCCCTGCATCTTTTTTGGCGTCCCAAAGTGTACGCTCGGAGTCATGGGGATGAGGGATGTCTTCTGCAGTCTTGCGGATGAGGTGGGCGAGAGAAGGCGATGCGCCAGTATTCCAGGCCGAGCCTGCGACGGAGACGTCTGCGAAAGCATCACTTCAGCTCCACGCGTTTTAGAATGTTGATGACGCTTCACGACCTACCAACGTTGAGGTATGCGACTACGTTGTTAGAGATCCATTCAGCGAAATCTTCGCCCCACTCGGTACTGCCAACAAGACCGTACTAAACGCAGGTGAGATCGTCGAAGTTCAATGGCTTACTACACCGACCGAAAATTTACCTCTTCCGCATCCCAACTGGCAATGACAATGTTCCTCAGCGGCTTCCAGCCTGATCTGACCAAGGTGCCCAAGCCATAGATGACTTCTGTAAGGGTAACCGTTCCAGAAGTTGGGTCTGCGGCACCCATAACCCATGCTACCAAAACGTGGTAAATGAACGAATCCGATGCCAAGTAACTTTCTGACGTACCATCCCTGTGACATCCAACGAGGACGGTCTCGCTCTTGATATGGCCAGGAATGACAGCCATGGTGTTCCAAATGGGCATAACATGATCGTCCACTGTAAAGAATGCATGAACGGCTTACTCACTCTGATTGTAATCATGAGAAGCATTTCTTACCACGGTTGACCAGACGGACCTTCGTCTTGCTTGTCTTACCATTGAGAACACGCGCATCCTCAGTGTCCGAGATCTCAGCCAAGAGTCGTTGCGCATTCGCCCATGAAATGGGCAAACTGGGAATCTTGGGAATATTCTCGCCATCGGTACGCGTTGCATTCTCATAGGCAGGATAGCCTGGAGTTGTTGGGTCGCCTGCAGAATGTTCTAGCGTTGGAATAAATCAGGGAACGGGGAAGGGAAAGTACCTGGATAAATAGAGAGGAACTGCACGGAGCCTCGCTGCACTGAGGTTGGATTGCGAGCTGGTCCAGCAGGGTAGGGCAGGTACCCATTCTCGACCGTCACGCTTCCATCGTCTCGTGGGTCAGTATAGATGAGGACGCCAGCCGCACCAAGCTCTTGAGCAGCCATGATCTAGATAACTTCGTATGAGCCAAGCATACAAAGCGTTCCGGGCGATTGCCAATCGCCAACCTTCAAACCACGGAAGACTGCGAAATATCGCACGAGCACAATTTTGCCCTTGAAGTCGATGCCAGCTGCGACAAGCTTGTCGAAGTCTTCCTTAGTACCGTAGTTCGCATAGACCAGTTGACCCTCGACGTCCCCATCACCGCTAAGTCCATGCCAAGTAGGAATAGCATTTCGATATTTCGCAGCTTCAGGATCAGCAGGGTCACCATCCTCAACAAGGTCTGCAGTCCAAGTAGGTTCGCCGTTCTCGTTCAAAATCTGAAGGGTAGCGTTCACGCCAGTGTTCATAACGGGGAAGTACTTGTCAATCCATGCTGTAGGAGAGGTGAGTTTGTTGATACTCAGAGTACTGTTACGAGATTCGGGAGAGCCTGCTGGGAACACTGGCAGTTCAGACAGAGGAGAAATGCCAAATTGGTCTTGGAAGAGCTTGAGGATGACTTTGGCATCTTCGAAATCCTCTTCTGAGGACGCGAGATGCGGGTGAGTGGCATATACTCGAGAAGTTTCTAGAGCACGTTTCGAGTCAATCACGGACCTGAGAGTATGGTTTTGCCACAAGTCAGTTGTGCACTAGGCAGATGAGGATAGTCTATCATACGTACAGAAATAATCTCTCAGTCTTTTCGACATCACTGGCCAAGTCATCACTGCGAGACGAGGCGAGGCGAAAAGCCCACAAGGCAGAATGATCGACCTCCGTACCAAGTCTGAAGACATCTGGAAAGAAGACCAACAAGGACAATAAGTAGACAAGGACACCAGCTATGCCTCGTCTCCAGTTGAAACGAATTCTAGAAGTCGCGGGTTGTGTTAGAGTGGGCTGCGCCCAAGCGTCCTGCTGTTTCTCGTTGGCCTGTTGTTCAACATCGCCCAAAGAAAGGGAATCTAGAGCCTTCATCGTCGTTGGAAGTTGACTGAGTAGCTTGGGAACAACTGGGATAGCCCAATGATTTCATGATTGGACGTACTGTTACATAACTTACTTATCGGTTCCTGGGTATCATCCCGGCATGAACTTTATGACTCGCGATAGGCAGGAGGTGAGATAAAGATGGAATATGTGGCACAAGGTGCAATCATTTACGCCGCCGATATGCACTCATAAATAGTTTCGATGAACCACAGCCATTCATCAAGTATGTGTTGTAAGTATGGGTGGAAAATGCATTCATTATTATCATGAATGTAACCTAGAATATGGTACAAGTTCCAGTGCAGCAGGGTCCAGAGAACTAAACAATGGGCCCCCGTAGCGACCTACTTCGTCGTGTCAACAGGCAATCTCTCCAGTTTGGCCCGCCCATCCTTGATCCATTCCTCCTTGACCAACTTCTCTCTCTCTGCATAATACAAGCGGTAGACCAATTTGATCGTACCCTCACTCACCCCTGCAACTGTGCTGATATCCCTAGCACTCTTCACCTTTCCTAACAAATGGCATGTGAAGTAGATGGCTCCACCGGCGATAGATACCGGTGAGCGGCCGTCCGCGATACCAAGTTCGCGCGCTTTGCCGATAATGTCGGCACAAATTGGCTCGACGTTCGGAGGGAGATCCAAGTGGTTGCAGTAACGGGAAAGAAGTGATTCGGGGCCAGCTGCCTTGGAACCAACTGATAATGATGAGCGACTTGCAGACGCACCAAGGGTGAGATTGAACGCCTGCTCCAGAGCCTTGTAGCATTGACCGAGGGTCTTCTTAGGGACATGGGTCAGGGTGCATATCTCTCGGAATGTTCGTGGAACATGAGCCTGACGACAGGCAATGAATATACATGCAGCAATGACTGCATCTAGAGGCTTTCCGCGCAAGAGTTTTTCCTCGTCGGAACGTTTGTATAACTGCTTTGCGATATCGGAAATCGTCTTCGGAAGGGAGAACTGGTCACACCAAGAGGCGATGTCGCGGAAAGCTTGGAGGAGGTTGCGCTCGGAGCGCGAGGCGGTGGAACGTGATGCAGCACGCTGCAATTCCCGCGCCAATCCAGAACCGCCATCTTTGAAGGAGATGACAGTATCAAGCTGCTCCATGCCCTCCATGAGAGGATCGGATGCAGCACCAACACGAGAAGGATCGTCGCCTTCATCGTTGGCGAATGTCTAGTGCAAGGTTAAAGCATATGTCCACACATGCAGAGAATGGTTGTCAAAAAGAAAGGCACTTACCCGCCATTCGCTTCTAGTATCTACGACCCTGTCGCCCAGTACTAGTCCGCATGTCCCACAAACAAGGTCTCCGCTGCTGAATTCCTCAATGATGTTAGGGTTTGGATCTCTGCAATCTGGGCAGATAAGTCGTACAGCCAGATCAGGGCCAAAAGTTGGCTGCTGTGGCTTTTGTAGGGGTTGAGCAAGAGGAAATGGTTGCGCGTAGGCCATGGTAGGATTTGGGTGACTGGGCGAAGGGCCGAGAAGAAAGGAGAGGAAGGATGACTATAACCTGCAGAAAAGGCTCGGATTCTGAGGTCAAAAGATAGATGCTACTGTCCAAGTTAACGAAAAGATCAACGAGAGTCGTGTTAACCTACCACAACCAGAACAATCGACGATAGCGGCCAGAACTAACTGGGGGGTCGTCGTGGTTGGGGACGAAGAGACGTGAGAGGCGACAACACAACAGCGTGCTCACAAATGGCCCTGCTTAGTCAGCACCCGACAACAAGCGCCGGCGAGTACCCGTCTCTGAAGCTGTGACCTTACCCAGGCTCTCCATTCCTCTCATCCCTTCACTCCCCTATCCGACGTACTAAAACATACGATGGGCAGATGGTAAGTTGTGAACTTTCATGATCTGTGGCTCAACTAGCTTGCTTATACTGTGTACCCAGGACTCTCGACCATCATGATGATGTTCTTCGCAGCAAACTGAAAAGTTTGGTGTAGGTTCCCCGCTCATGAAGATTCCACAGCCTTAGCTGAAACATACATCATATAGAGCTGGAGCTTGCAAAAGAGCGCAGCTGGAAAAAGGAGAGCCGTCTATAACCTATGAAGCGTTCGTAGAGGAACTGGACGAGGGTGATTCTTTCACCACGTCTCTGATCGACGTTCTGGTCAAGGCACGTTATATCCAGTAATATACCCCCTTGTTTTCTAAAGATGCACCCCCCAGGAAATGGCAGAACGTCGCATTCGTCCCAATCCTAATGACCGCCGTCTAATATCGGAGCGTACGGCAAAGACACTCCGCGCTCAAGCGGCACCTCTTCATATATATCGCGGACGCACTGCCCGGCTTCCTAACAGAAGATTCAACGCTTCTGACTACCTTAGTGCACCTCCAGACGAGCTTGAGCTCTCTGCCTCAGATGAGGACCTTGACACATTTGCGCAAACCAGCAGCGGTTTGGAAGGCGTTCGGCTCAACTCTGAGCTCTATGACGCTTTCTTACCAGTGTCTTATCATTCCATGGATGGGGGACTTGGTGGAAATGGAGAGTCAAGCTCACATGCAGCAGCGGGATCGGCAAGCACGCCAGAGCTAGATCGCGAAGGTGTGACAAGTCCTCGTCCTGTCTCTCCACCATTCTCTGGCTTCCAAGCTCGTAACCAGGGAGGATTCTGGGTCACCAGTTCTTCCTTCGGATCCGGGGCTAATACAACACGGCCACAGCGACGCCCTGTCCGTTCGCGAACGATCGACTTTAACGATTTTACCCTTCGTCGTCGGTCTACCATGCGTCAGAGCTCGTCACAAAACTCAGACCACAATGCAAGAAGTGAGGATCCTGCTGATGGTACGTGGCGATTTGCACCCTTCCCTGGCAGAGGTGAGGACGAGTCTGCTACAACGCGGTCTACGTCGAGACGCTTTTTTGGGTCGATATCTGGACACCGCCGTCATGAGGTCGGAAGCGGGGAGCCGTGGAGTTCGGAACCTCGCGAACCCTCACCTCTACCCATCCCGCCGCCTCGCTCAGTCAGTGAGAATGTAGAATCCCACACCTCAACAGGACAGAGTTCCTCGCAATTGTGGTTCTCCCTCACGAACCACAACATGTCCAACCCGACTATTAACAGTGTTCCAGCAAGTGGTACACCGACTGGCTCTGACCCTGGAGATGAGAGACGCTTAGCGGTCGCGCCGCGCCTCCGTCGTGGTGGAATTCGTGCGCCAGAATCCTTATTGTCTCGTTACGCTTCGCCCAGTTTAGAACGAGGTTCGTTACCTTCACCCCTAACATCTGAACCTACGCATTCGGACGCGGAGGTGGGCGAAAGTGGGACCGGGGAGAATAGTCAAGCGGGCCGTCCCTCGTCGAATTCGCCCACGCAGGAGTTGGAGCGTAATTTGGATGACTTTGTTTCAGGTTCGGAAGGTCATGAGGTTTGGGCAGCGCAGGAAGCTAGGCAGTTGCTCACACCCAGATCTGTTTCGCCTATTGGAGGTTCTATGGATTAGCTGTTGATCTATAAGCTATACGATTGGTTGTGGACGTTGTTGAGTTGATACCATTTCGCCTATGTATTTTTCTCCCGTTGTATGAAAAGGGCTTGTGTACTTCTAGACTGTTTGGAAAATCTGTATTCTACTGCGCTTGTTTGCAAAGTTGTTTTGTTTGAGTGGTGGCATTTCAGTGCGATCGAAGCGTCAGAATGAATCTGGGCGATCACTTTATGAAGGTCTACTTCCGCGCTTACCTGCTACTTTACCTTTCCCCTTTACGCTCACTACTCACCATCCTCAACATGATCAGGAAACGCACCCGGCCTCAACCACGACTGCGACAGGTTTCTATCGAACGGGAAGATGAACCTCCTTCATCTGAAGAACTCGAAGGGCATGAGAAGCTAGAGTCGGTTCGCTCAGTTCCATCCTTCGCGCTTTCACTCACCATTTGCAGTTTGACAGACCTCATTGAGCTACGAAAGCTGAGACGGGCTAGACAAGGTATCGATATTGTCAAATTATCGAAAGGGGATGCCAAGAAGAAAAAGAAGAAACCGAAAGAACCGGAGGGTGAGCGTGGTGGTTTGAAGAAAGGTGCGGAGGTGCATGAAGCGGAAGACGAGTAAGCAAAGTCGTTGTTGGTTTCACATTCTTCTAACTGGCTTCACTCTAGGGAGGAGGAAGACAAGGATGCAAAGGCTAGGAGAGTGGTTCGGACGAACAACTTCACGCAGCAGACAAATATCCTCGATGTTGATAAACATATGTGTGTTACCTCACTATTGGTCTTTGCTTAATTCTCTAACCTGCTCCTAGGATGGCCTACATTGAGGAGAACATGAAGGCCAGACGAGGGACTATGGAGGAAGAGAAGGCGGATGAAGGACCTTTAGATCCATATGCTGAGCTTTTCCGGATGACGGAACGATACAAATCACAGCCTGAGAAGAAGGATAAGGAAGAAGGAAATGTCACCAATAGTTTGGCTATGCTGACTGCTATTCCGGAAGTGGACTTGGGCATGGAGTACGTGTTTGTCCCATCCTTAATGGTTGTTCACGGTACTGAGTATGCTGTAGCACGCGGCTCAAGAACATCGAAGAGACTGAGAAAGCGAAGCGCATGGTCGCTGAGGAACGAAAGGGGAAGAGAAAGTTTAATGACGATGAGGCTCATCTCGTGGCATCGCGATGTACGTTTCGCTTACTCCACTTCCCTCCTTCCCAATACTGATGACTTTGAAGTTTACCAACCCAATCTCAGAGCAAAGTCAGACGCGGACATCATACGGGATGCAAAACTCGAAGCCATGGGTCTGCTCCCTGAAGACCACGAACCACGGAGGGAGGGTGGACGCAGTCAGATGGCTACCGACGAGATGGTGAGTGCGGCTATCTACATAAATCTTTACCCCCAATGCTCATGTCCTTTCAGGTCATGGAACGCTTCAAGAAGCGAATGCGTAAATGACACGGTACATCGCATGTCTGCATTTGGACCTTTGGAACTGTATTCTATTGTTATACTATGTATATCTAGCTGGTAATCTTCATGGTGCATTCATATATTGTACCCACTCCTGGACGTCACTGTAACGCTTCAAGCTTTGACTCGCATATAGGCAAATGTCCATATATCGTCATACACTACTAATTACATTACATACTCGCCTCAGCCTGCGCCTTCCAAGAAATATGCTACATTGGCCGGCCGTACAACGAGGGCCCTCAAGATGGAGGGTATAAAGAACATGGATATACAGAGGTCGAAATTCAGGGCGAATCAGACGCGTCCGGTGGCGTCCTGAGAGTCTTCCACCCAATGGGATGCTCGGTCTCGCAATGTTTGACCAAATCCGCTATCTCTGCATTGACGAATGGTTTGGGTTTCTCTACCGAAGGGTCCTCATCAACCGTAACGTTATATCGAGCTCTGGATGTAGGTGGCTAGATGAGGAACAACACAAGATAGCGATGACGGAGATACGCACTCGCACATCCTGCATATTCGTCCATTGCCTTCATCGTCGGTGAATGCAGCTCTGATGCAGAAATCGATGGTACATAGACCGTCTTCATCAAGTTCTATGTCCTCTTCTTCTTCCTCAGCTTGGATTGCTCCGCTAACACCGCCTCCAACAGGCGTTGAAAAACCGGTACCATTCTCTGATTCTGGATAATTCGGAGATTGAATCGCAACTTCTTGAAGTTGTCCACCTAACGTGAAAACGTCCTGATCAGGCGGCTCTAGTCGCGGTTTCTTTCGCGTTCCTTCTGAGATCGGCGAATCGTCACCGTCAATGTCCGTGAGGTCAATGATTTCCATGGGTTGGTCATGTCTGGATTGGTTTTGGAAAGCGATCGGAGGCCCAGGAGCAGGAAACCGCGCGGGGGTAGAGGCGGACGCAGGGCTGGAGGTAGACGTGATAACTACATTAGATGGTCCTTGCATGTTGCCCATGCGTGCTATGTGAGGTATCTGGTCTGCGACATCTTGAAGTGACATAGGCGATGATCCAGATGCTGATGATGGTGGTCTTCCAACGCCTTGAAAAGCCCCGGCCTGGATCGCAGGGAGAGACACGCGTCGGGAATGCGACCTTGGCGGAGCCATGCCTTGTGATGGGCCAGCAAACCCAACTGGTGGTCTCATACGTATCGGAGGATGTTGCTAGGAAGGACCAGTGAGATAAACATTTAGATAATAATGCTAAATGACGTACTTGAGATTGTTGGGTAGCTTGCGGGACCTGCAGCGGCGGCAATGGCTGCTCATGCGTGAGTCGTAAGCTATGGTATAATGCTTAGAGTGATGACTCACACGATAGTTAGGAATAACAACACCTAATCGACCTAACTCCTGCCTAAGGAGATTAAGCTCCTTGTTCCTAGTCAACCATTGAGTTGATTACGCAATGCAATAGAAGAGGGAGCATTGCTCATACGCTAAATTATGCCAATGTAAAAGTTTTTTGTTATCAGAGAATATGCCGTTATACTGCTCTCGAAGAAAAAGGTTCTCGTTTTCCAATTGTTGTAACTTCTGAACTGTTCCAGGGAAGTATCCAAGTTCCGACAGGCATCCGTTCACCGTGGTAGCCAGGTGCGCGATAAGCAAACGTCGTTGCTCTTCCTTAAAATTGGCATCGTCATCACTGTAAAGCAGTCGTCAGAAAAGTTTTATACATTGCTAGCGGAACGTACTCCACGTCCATCTTCGAGCTAGCACTCGTTGAGGGTCGATCGGCGGCGGAGCTCGACATTTCAGTGGGAGCAGCGGACGAGCTGGTACGATCGCCCATTAGTCTTCGGAGTCTGAGACTTGTCAGATCTTAAAGAAATAAGGTGTCAAAAGGACATTCTGAGAGCTGTACGCGGTACAAAGACATGCCTCCGTGAATAACAAAAGAGAGGTACTGTGTTCGTCGAGCTCCCAGATGGTTGCCGCTGAGTTCAAAAGAATTGATCAGATTGATCTGCTGTGTACCACGACTCTTCTCGAGTTGGAGTTAAGATTGCTTTGGACCAAAGTTTCCGAATCACTGACACTAAGGCCAATGAAGTATTTTGCACAATAGCTCATGTTCCGGAAGGCATCTGAAGGTATTTGTGATCAATTTATCAGGCAAACTATTCAATCAGATGCCCATCATGCACAACCAGAGTCACATTCACTGGCAATACACTTATTACTCCATTTCAAAGTTCCTCAGTCTCATGAAGTTTCATCTCTAAAATGTACAGCCTGAGTTGAAGGGCCTTATAATTATTCTCACTTTTAACAGTCAAACAGAATCGAATTTAGAAATGAATGTATTAAGATACTTCAGTCTTGACCTATATTAAAGAGTGATGATGTCAATGCTCTTGATAGACTTATCTGTTTGTGAAACAGTCTGAAATATCATAAGCTGCCCATTGTTAATATCAGTCTTCTCAGAGGCTAAGATGACATGATGCTTACCTTAGGTCCATCCATAGTCTCCACATAGTAAGAATGAATTCCAGTTGTGTCAATATCAGGTACATAGTCTTTTGGAAGATGAAGAGGGACTCGGCAGTAGGGTCGTTGGGTGACAATGTCTTCCAGGAAGTCATATTGCTGCCACTTCCAAGGAATTGTTGACATGGTGTAAATAGGATGAAGGAAGGATGTTGTCATTTGGTTCTGCATGTCATTGGCAAGTCTGAGGCTTTCTTTGCTGAAATCCCAGATGCAATGTGGGAATATGACATGATAGCCACTGACTGTGGTTACCCAGCGAAGATCCCGTGATTGTTTGATGACTCTTGTATGCAGAGGGCCCCACTCTAACCAAGAAAACATTGGAATCTCTGTGGAAGAGTGTTCTTTCCATGAGTATGGTGGAAGAAAGGTGTCAACTGTTGTGAAGAGGCTGTAGCTGTTATGGAATGAAAGATGTAGTAGAGGGCCAGGATATGTTGGTTTGACAGCACAAGAAGGAGAAGCCATGCTGGATCTTCTGCACCAGTAACAAATCAACCATGAACCAGCATGGTCTATCATGTGTGGCAAGCAGAATGTTGCAATATGAATGGCTTCAAAGACATTCTCAATATGCCATACTTGAATGTGCAAATTTTCCTCTGGTTCATGACACCTGACACTGACAAGAATAAACCCATCTTCAGTCAAAGCAGCATCAAGGCAGTCATGGGTCTCTGTCATTGCCCAATGCTATATAGCAGATTAGAATGGAAGCTTTACACACATGTGCAGCAAGACAGACCTTGACATGTGTGCCACTTGGCCAGTGATATAGATGAATATCAGTATGAATGCGATACTCATAGTTTCCCCCTGCCTTCACAGTAAAATAGTCTCCCTGGATGTCAATGACCTCAACATATCCATCTGGCTTAACCATAGGGACTGCAATGTAAGGCATGCAAGCACGAGGGTGAGAAATGCCTTCGCAGAGCGACATAATATGTAGAACACGATTGCTGAAACAAAATGAACTTGACGGAATCCCAAATTACAAGGTGTGCACATACCTTCCCAAATGAACCGTCACGGTTATCAAGACGTCCTGATCTCGATCAACAAAACAAAACCATACATGGGGCATTAAGTCTGCGAGACGATCAATGTGGACAACATTTCCCGTTCCGAGTGTCAAGGAATCGGCAACGGTTGTCACATCTAAAAGACAAAACAACTCCGGATCGTGCACGCCTGTCACTACGAGGAAGAAACTCCCGTTATGAGCGCCATGATGGTTCATGATTTGGACCTTATAAGGAGGAGGAAAAGGAACGCAATCAGCTAGATTTGGGATGATGGTCTGCGTCAACCTGGGATTTGAATGCGAATAGGTATTCTGAATCTCATGCAAGGCCTGGAGGCGATCGGAGGTTGGGGAAGCTATGGAAGGGCGATCGGCGTAACCATATCGATGCAAGTCGAGAATGTACTGCAAGACGGCAGTACCACATATGATCGAGTCAAACGTTGTACAAACCTAAACGAAGGAATATATTTAGCGATGGATAGTCATTGAGACATACCCGACTGATTGACATACCAGACGACAGACGAGAAGATCGAGAGGAGACAGACATGCTAGTATCTTGATCACCAGTTCGGATGGCAGATCGAAACTACGTGCCTCACGCGACAGGCCGGAATCGAAGGTGGAAGATGTACGCAGCATTGAAGGGATCCTTAAGTGCTCTCCTGGCAGTTACACTACTAAGAATGACAGGGTTCTTGAGTAACGACTTAAGTGCGAAGTCGCGACTCGGAGCCTCTGATCAAAATCCATCGAATGCAACACCGTTCCGATAAGGAAAGTACTGTGGAACGTGATTTTCAAGCTCAGTCTCTCCTAGAACCTGGTCGTCGCTTTCTGGAGTTCAAACTTGATCATGTTTTCAATAGTGCCGCGATAGGTTCCAAATTGCACCTGGCACCCTGTAATGTAAAGGCACAAGAATTTTACGGAGATCTTTTAGAGCGACAATGACTCGTGCAGAAGAATGGGAAGAGCGGAAGGAGATTCGTGTCGTCATACAAAGGTCATGATGGCATGTATAAGTACGTGTCCATAGAACTGCGCTGAAATGTCCGAGAAAGAGAGGGAAAAGCAAACGGGGTTCATCAAGCGTCGAGCCCTATAGATAAGTTCTCGGGTTGGGACGTTTCGGCATGGCGATACGCGCTATCGAGCGAAGCGATATTATTTCGGATCCCATACTTCTTCGATTGGATGTATATGAGCGGCGCCATCGTCGTCGCTGCAATATGCCAGATATAAGTTAGATATCCATTCAGTGAGACAGGAGGAGAACGCACAGATGACAAAGATAGAAAAGGCCAGCAATGAGACTGTGACTGCGAATCCACAGAAAATACCTTCTCCATCATCCGGCATTAGAATTGGATTGCAGTTCCGGGGGGCATCTTTGAGTATAAGGCATGTCAAAACTATTTTGAAATCGTACAATGCATCAGTTGGATAAGAGCAAAGCCGAAATAGAATGAATGAACCTATCCAGATCACGGAGAGTATGAAGAGAGGAAAATAGTGTGCTTTGACTGTACAGAGCGGATGCGTGGAACGTGGTCTGTTGACTGTAGCAACGAGAACGCAGGACCATACGAAAGTTACAGCGCTGAAGCCACAAAGAACCCAGCCGACAGTGGCTGGTACGTAGAAGTACATTGAATAAGGTGAAGAGTGGAACCGAGCGTCAAAACGTACCTTGAAACGGGATTCTGTCTGCTTCTACCATGAAGTATAATATGGCAAATATAACTTCAAACAACGAGAAAGACAGGAGAAGACCTGAATTCTTGTGTGAATAGCGGCTAGGATGGACTGTTGAGATGACTCACTATAAGCAGCGATGGCACCCTTCGTAAAGCTCTTCATCTCCAGATAACTCGTTCCTAGGTAGAAGGTGAATGTGATGCTAAAGTCACTTCACCGCGTCCTATCGTTTATGTAGTGCCTTCAAGGACTGTATAATGGGAGACAGAGACTGGTGATGAACATTAGCCGAACGCTGTGCGGTCCACAACAGACAGTTGATTTCGCGTATAATTGGTACTTCTCCGGCTGCATCGCCTCATCCCATGTCCGAAGTATTGTTATATTGATCCTGATTGTAACAACTTGCTGGATGATGACATCATGAATATGTCAAAAGGGAGAGAGGTCACGTAGAAATCTACGAGGTGATGGACAGGTCGTGATGTCCTGCCGAGCATCTGATCATGCTGCATTGACCCAACACAGCAGTGTCTGGAGATAGACGAAATAATTCCTTATTCGAGTCCAGCAGGGAGATATTGGCCGTGAATCTGATGCAGGAGCCGATTACCGTAGCTGCGGATGAAGAGCCGGCACTAGGGACAGACAGCCACGAACTTATCCTCCGACATGCAAGGTTCCGATTCGAATGATGAGATTGAATTCCGTGCCAAGGACTCAGGTGAAATATGCAGATCTCGTAACGGAGTGTTGGAAAAATGTCATAGAACCCAGAAATTGCCACGCAAGGTGTTTCGAAGAAGACGGGCCCAGCACATGATCCACAAGAGGAGCACAAGAGGAGACGTCCCAACAGATTGATATCGGTGGTTACCTCAAGCAGAGGAAAGAGAGCTGGACGCCAAGGAAGCGAAGGCAATGCGTGGCGTCCGGTCGGTCGTTGTGCAGAAGCCAACTTGAATGCTAAGTACGGATCTTGTCTAGGGTCCGCAGTGGAAATAGAGCCAAGATTGTTACAGCTGTGAGCTAGGAAGCGATAAATGGATATTTCATAGACATGGAGACAGAGAGACGTTAGATTGAATTTCGACAAATACTGCGAGATGGGCTGCAGGACCGATCGATCATGTAAGCAGTCTGCCCGAGGCCAGCCCGCCTCCATCCACTTTAACATCGTTGCATCCATCCAGCACACACCCCTCCTCGCCGCCGCACGCAGTGACCATAAATTCGAATCAGGCCAAGGTCCCCGCCCGACGTAGAAGCACGCCGGAGATGCCTTTACCCAGACTTACGCAGTGCGTTTCTCGTCCAACGTTTGAACTGTAGCAATTACGGGCGCTTATACATTCTCAGTAAGAAGAGAGCGTATATTGAAAGCGATAGCGAAGACAGTGATGTGCCGTCTTCCGCTAATATACCAATCGCATCTTCTTCCAAGACCCTGACAAATACAGTGAAGGTTCCCCCTTCTAACAGCAAGAAACGTGAGTACGACTCGAATGCTCTATTCATCAGCTGACGAGTTACGCGTTTCGTAGCCAAGCGTGCAGTGACGCGTAAATGTCCCGTGTGCGACGAAGAAATACCTATCCGTCTTCTGGCAGCTCATTCGGACCTCGAGGCACAACGGGTGAACGAAATCATTCAATGCATTGGTTCCACCGAAGTCTTGAATGAAGCCGAACCGGATGACGGGTACGTTCTCTCCAATTCTCATTACAATTCGAATGCTTAATTCATACACATGTAGTCTAACTGCTCGTACACGGCGTTCCGCCGTCAAAGCAAAGAAGAACATCAGTCAAGGCGCACCCACTCCCAGACTGAAGTCCCTCTCCTCCACTCAGTCAGCCACCACCGAAGTAGTCGATAGTACATTACGCATGCTTAAACGACATCGAAAGCAACGTCATGCAAAGTTGCGCGACATGACTCGAGAAGATGACGAAACAGAGGGAAAGTGGGTTGCAGGTCAAGATTCAGGAACCGCATGTCCTGTATGCATGAAAGTCATTCCAGGTGACCCGGACGTCGTGGAAGCGCACGTGGACGCGTGTTTAGCACACGAGGCGAGGTTGCAAACAGAGAGGGAGCGGGGTGAAAGGGAAAGGACTGAAAGAGAAAGGTTGGAAATGGATGAAGAGGTTGATATAGATGGAGAGATCCGAATACGGGTGACCGATGGGGTCAGTTTTCAAGGTGCGTTAAGAGGTTGTCTGTGACGTGCCGAATCTGACACTGTCCAAATACAGGTACAGGCTTTGATGTGAGAAACGTCACGCAACAGGACGTAGATGAGGATATCGACGTCGACGGGGAAGATGACGTTATCTATGGCGCACCGCAGTTTACGGAAAGCGACATTCTCGCTACCGTTTCTGCAGACGTGACCACTTCACATTCTCCCGCAGAGGGTTCAAACGTCCAAGCTAATGATGTCGTGACCGAGGGTGTTGAAGACCACAGTATTGAGCTCACGGAGAAGTCATTGAGAGACCTGGTAGCTGAGGGTAAGGTCGTGAAAAGGCATGTGGAGGCGGGCGCGAGTACGCAAGAGGTGAAGATGACCATGGACCAAGTGATGGGTGTAGGCGAAGCAGAGGAGGTCGATATTTCTATCGACCTCGCTCGAAAGACGGGGAACATTTCTGCCTTGATCCAAGCTTTGGAGAACAAAGTAAAGCTTCTGGTACGTTCAGCCTTATCATGATACATGCTGGTATCGAATGTTCGTTTTCAGGAATCAACCAGGGTATCATCATCCACATCGTCACTCTGCAGAATCTGTATAGATCCCTACATGGAACCAACGGTCTCAACAGGATGTTGGCATACCTGTTGTCGGGAATGCTGGCTACGATGTCTGGCGTCGACAAAATTATGTCCGATATGCAAACGCATTACCTCTGCTGCGGACTTGCGGAGAGTATATCTGTAGATATTAATGCAGCATTTAGTATATATCCTTTAGCATTTCTTGTATTATAGTCATTCGGTTAGTTCGCTGTCAATGTTGCTATCTTGCTTTCGATATTCATCTTTTAATTGCATACTCCTGTCCAACAAGTATAGTGTGAGCTGGATGTTGGGACGTGAGATAGATGCGTAAAAGAAAGGAGCCTCATATCTGGCCTTGTCAAATCGTCATGTCGAGACTTGCATAAACCGGCTCCTTGAGAGCGGTTACAGCAAAGTCAAGAATCAGGGTACCGTGTAATGGTACCACCACGACGTATGTAATCATTGGATGCTCAAGTCAAAATGGATGACTTACCAGACAGACGTGGGCTGGACACGGATATTCATCGTCAAACCATTGTAACACTTTCGTAAGCAACGCGAATGCTAGATGCTCTATAGCAATTTTGAATTGATATTACACATGAATACATAGAGTAGAGGCATGAGAAGGGTGGTGCATCATGCGAGAGGGCTGATCAATCTGTGAACGGTGTAAGGGTCAGTACAGAAGTCGGGAAGACAATAACAATGCCACGCACTTGATCAGGGAGGGTTGAGGGTTACTCCTCGTGTAACCGACATAGATGATGAAAGGAATCCAGCCATAATGGAGGATCGTCTATAAGAATGGATGCGTAAGTTCAACTATTTCGTCAGTTGCTTCATGGGGTGACACGCACGCGGCCAAAATCAACGGCCTTGATGATTCTCTCCTGCAAAGAACAAACAAATAGCATTCAGCATCACTACCAGTATCTAAGGAACATGTGCGCATCTCACCTTTGTCTCTTCGGAAGGCATTTTTGGGTTGGTGGTCGTGGCTGGAAGAAAGACTGCGAGATGTCAGAACGCCGGATATTGCCGCCAACTTTTTGGCTTGTGGTCCTCGGGCGTCTGTACGTCTTTACGATCTCTGGTCTTGCCTCTCTGTGTATCTAACTCTCAAAATGCCTTTGGCACCTCCTTCCTCCGCTATTCACGTAAAAAATGCCACGCCTGGATTCCTCTCAACCCCTGGGTATTTTGATTATTCAGTCACATTCAGGGGAAACAATATGCTTATACCTGATGTAGACGGACACCAAGCTCTGTGACAATTCACCCTGTTGCCCTTTTCTCCATCCTCGATCATTACCTTCGCCGCACCGATGAACAAGACAGAGTTATCGGAACTTTGCTTGGAACGCGTTCGGATACTGGAGAGATCGACGTGCGGTCGTCGTTTGCTGTGCTTCACAGCGAGACGGCAGAGCAAGTCGCGGTCGATATGGAATACCATCAGACTATGTATGAACTACACCATAAGGTGAACCCAAAGGAGGTCATTGTTGGATGGTACGTAGCATTGATACTATGATAGTTGTGAGATTATTGACTTGTGTGTGGCGGTCAGGTATTCAACAGGATCTAACCTCAATACCTACTCCGCGCTTATCCAAAATTTCTACTCGCAAGAAACTGCACCACACCAAGCAATCCACATTGCGGTCAACACAGGAGTTGAGGATGGCGAGCAGGCTGGTGTCAAGGCATACGTTGGGTACGCTAGCCAGGATTCCCGATTTCTTTAGTTCATAACCTATGGCCTTGCAGTTCCCCCGTTGGTGTCTCGCCAAAACCTGAGAACGCAGTCTTTGTTCCTATACCTTGTGAATTGCGCTTCAAGGAGAGCGAGCGTAGTGGACGTGCGTCTTTTGGTTATATTATCCGATACAACGTGTCGATCCATATCACCTCTACTTTACAGTTGATTTGCTTCTTTCTGCGTCTTCAAATTCATCCACGTCAACTTCGCATCCATCGACAGATCTGGATATCCTCGAAACTGCCATACAATCCGCATCTGACATGATTGACCGTGTTCTCACATACGTTCGCTCTGTTCTCGCAGGCGAGACCAAAGGCGACCCGGCCGTTGGTCGGTATCTCATAGATACACTTGGCGCAAGCTCAGAGGACCTCGAAAAGGGCGGCTTCCACGCCAGCCTTCAGGTAAGCGACACTTGTTTCGGCTCGTTTGGTAGTAATGGCTCACATATCGCTTTTTTCCCAGGATGCACTCATGGTTTCATACCTTGCCAACCTTGTTCGATCACAAGCAGAAGTTTCAGCACGACTTGCACTCACTACTGCACCGTAGAGGTAATAGAGGCGCCTGTTGTACACTATATACTACTTCATTGATGCTTTCCTTGAGTCCCCCGAAATTCGCTGATGTCCGTGTCAGCTGTTGAATATGCGCGAATGTTGCAAGTCGTGACGGCTGGCCAGGATTTCTCCAAGTGGCCAAGTCATCGCGGGCCCACCCTCTGTCATAACGTCTTCATCGAACAAGGGGACTTGATCTGACCCGGCTGAAAGCTGACGCAACCCTGTGCGAAGATGTCTACAATGCTCCGCTTCTGCGATGACCAGCGGACGTATGGTATGTAGAAGTAGCTGTTGAGCGGCATATGGTCCAATGACGTTCATACGCACTGCAGCAGAGAGCGAACCTCTGGCATGCAAGAAGAGGTGCAGAAATTGACTTCGTTCTAAAAGAAATGACATTTCCGTCGATTGAGATATAAGTAAATTCGAAAATCCATACCGACGGAAAGACCCAAAGCAGCAGTGAGAACGCCCCAGCATATTGGTAAATGACCAGGTGTGTCTTCTCGGCGGACCACTAGTTTCAGTTTATCAATGAGCGTGGAAGCCACTCCAGCTCTGGCGTCGATGTCGGAAGACGGTTGATCGGGGAGCGGCGGCTGAGAAAATCCTTTGGAATACAGAGTGAGGAGCGCAACGCCTTGTGATCGTGAAGCACGGCGTGCAACGTGGTTGAGTGTCGTAGCTTCATAGAGGTCATCCAAAGCGACAAGAATGCGCAGTGTGGATTCAGCATCCTGGTCCACGGGAGCTGCATCGAGGTGTCTTTGGACCTCTCTGTGCGCATCCGACAAGAATGGTACGGCGCTGCGCGCATATGTCATTACACTATCTCGCACAAATTCAGTAATAGCAAGGAGTTTGTCGTTGATGCTGCCTGAGGGGCCTCCGGCCGTAAGAAAGCCATGAGTGGCATACGACTCAAGGCCTGCCGATGCTACGAAGGAACCTACATGCATGTGAGAGACGGGAGTCGGAGCATGAAACACTTCTCACCTGTAGGTAGGTTACCGTCGGACAGCAGCAGAAGTATGTATGCCTCCTCCTCGTCCATCTTAGTGGCATGGAAGAGGAAAATCCGGTAAATAGTCTTCAGCAGTGAGCACAAACTAAGTACTGAGTCAACATCATCGTTACATCAAAACCCTGAATTGTAGGTTCGCCGCCTGGGCGCTTGCGCAACTCAGTTGTATGCGCGGAATTCGGCGTTCCTCAAGAGATGCAACCAATCCAATGGAAGGACAAAATTCGTGGGTATAGAATTAACCAATAGTGTGCACTATCAAGACAGAACCCTCCATAACAACTTGCTGCATACAATTCCCATACCGTCTACTTATTACGGCTAAGACTGAGTGTCCTCTTTGATGGCTTCTGTTGTTGTGCTTGACTCGTTGAAGACGTGGGGCTAGTCGGTGGTTGCTGCCCAGCCAATGCAGCCGCTAATCCACTCTGTCCCCGGGCTCTAGGATTCAGCGGCGATAGTGCTCTTGAAGGCGGTCTGCCTACTGTGACATTCGAAACAGCAGCCTCACCACCTGTGACCTTTCGTCGCAACGGAGGTCTTGATGTCGTCCCATTCGTTGTTGGCATGGCGTTTGAAGTACTGGGGCCGCTTGAGAACTCAACCATGTGCAATACGTCGTCTGTACCAAGGGCTAGGCGGCGGGACTTCTCATGCTTGTTCTGAACAGCTCGGAAATGCGACAGCAGTTCGGACCATTTGATATCTTCCCGCCCGAGCTTGGAGCGTGTGGCAGATATATTGCTCACTGACCTGGAAGACGATAAGCTGAGTTTGTATGGATAGCCATCGAGCGAGATTGAGACTTACTTGGGCGCTATGTGCAGAAATCCTGCCGAATTGACAGCGCTGAGTCGATTCCGAAGAGAAATGAAGGCAGAACTTTGTGGCAGTAGCATGAGTAAACCATATAAACACTTGAATAGGTGCGGATATTTTTCCGGCTCCAGAAGTTGCAGCCGCAGGTCTGCAAAGTAAGAAAATTGGAGACTTGGTGAGGAGGCCATCAGAAACTCGGAACGTACAGGTAAACACGGGAGATTCAATGAGCTGAACGAGCTTGTCGACCTGCACCAGAAGTGGCACCGTGACTTCCAAATCGGCACTGCGAAAGATGATCAGTCTGCTGACAATTTGGAAGAAAGAATGGAGTATTCATTACAGGATGTAAAGCAAATTTGATGCATGTTCATATGCTTGTGCGAGCAGACATAGTGAAAAGACAGCAACAGCATTATGACACCATGATCGATATAGTGTTGTAAACAATGCTTGACCGTCCTGCTATAAGCAAGGGAGTTCGTCAGACCAATAGTTAACCAAAGTAGTGAACCTACCCGTGTTTCCAGACTTTTCAGTCTTCTACGAAACTCAGCCAATTCCGGGGACGTGATCAAAATCAAATTCAGTTTTTGTACCATTGTACTAGCGAAGTCGAGATCCTGTGCATCGCGGAGGTCAGCGTCGTCTTCACAAGTATCCGCCCAGTACGAGAAGTGATACCTCTTCCTTCTCCAAAATCTCCGCAAACGTACGATATATACGCTCCGTAGTGAGATTGAGACAGAGTTGTCGGATGATGAGACTGCCACGGTTATTCAGCAGCTCTCTGTCGGTATTGAAGAGCTCGAGAAGATTCATCATGAACGCCTTGAAGTAACTCTCCTCTGAACTCGATGATATCTGTGCGAGAAGCTGCAGGTCGTGCTTTATCACCTATTTCAAACCGGTCAATCTGACGTTTAGGAAATTCTATGATTTGGTTTGAAAAGACATACCTCGTCAGACTCGTCTGAAAGAGTCTTTAAAAGCGCGGGGAAAAGCCCGTCGTCCATCGCAAGAATCTACCAATATATGTAAGTATGCTTATCGTGAGGTGACAAAAGAATAAAGGAGCAATTGATGCCACTCGCTTGAGCCAACTAACCTTCTTCGGCGCCTTCTGATGTAACATTATGAGCCATTTCAATGCTTCCACTCTCGTCTCTTCATGATCACTCAAAAACTGTATTGTCAATGCGTTCACCGTTGCCTGATAATCAAATTGGTCCTTGTCCTTGTCATGCAACATTGATGCTTCCGGGCTCTGTTGTACATGAGGAATACTGATGGCGGATGTAGGCGACGCTGGGCGACTAGGTTGATTCAGAGTCGGTTCCAATTGTGCCTGTGTGATAGTATTGTTTCGACCTTGGTCTAAGGGCAAACTAGAGCGTGGCCGCTGTATCGTTGTGCCATAAGCTCGCTCCTGAGGTAAATGATCAGTATTTGACTCTGGCGACCCGATGTCTCTTGTTGGAGCAACAAAATCCTTCGCATGCCTCGCGTGACCTAAAGAAGGCACAGTTGGCGTCGGGGAACCGGGCATCACCTGTGGTGGTGTGGATGAACTAGTCTTGTCCGTTGACTGTCGACTTGAGGATTCAGCTGGTGGAGGTAACGCTTGAATGACGCCGTACAGCCGATGGTTGGTTTTTATAGCTGCATTCTGAATCATCGCGATATCCCGTGCAAGATTGGGAAGAATAGCAAGAATTAAACGAGGTGTGAATGGGACCATCACTTCAGGAATAATTTTGAGGAATTCCGACAACCATCGAAGGGCAACTGCTTGTTGAATCTCGTCGTCTAGTAGGAAAAAAGATAAGAATGAAGGCATTAGGTTAATGCAGTAAGCACGGACGTTCTGGCTGATCATCTAGTTGCTTGATCAAGATTTCGACGATTGCCGGGTAGTCGATCTTGACACCTTGACCAGGCTCCCAGGCTGAAGAACTATTGAGCACAGAACGGCATGCTGCATCATCTCACTCACCTCCGAGATCGCGTCCATCAAGTTCAGGTTCTTTTTCATCAATTGGCGTATCTGAGTCGTTGTCAAATGTTGACACATCGTCGTTCTCCGGTATGAAAGTGGCCCGCTCCGCATGTGCCATAGTGATGTCAGGCAGTTTGTCCTTCTCAACCTCCCCTCCGCGCGTACGTAGACTGGCCGTTTCAGCCTCTCGCTTTGCTCTGGCTTGTTCCTCGTGCCGCTTCTGTACCGCAGTCACTTCCTCAATTTCGCGTATGAAATCAGCGAGCAAGTTCTCGGTTGCTATTCGCACATCTTCGGTTGGGTCGGACAAATATTTGCTGTCAACGTCAGTCAATGGCTGAAATGCCACTATCACAAACACAGAACTCACAGAAGGCCATCTAGGAACTCCGGCAGGTAAGAAATCAGTTCCAGTTCCGGCACAGAGTCCAAAACGGTGATCCAAGAAACAAGATAGCTTCGGGTGAAGGGGTTGAGAACATATATCCGGTCTTTGAGCAGCGGAATGAAGTGTGCTAAAGAGAAGGCTTTCCGCGCCGTGTGTATATCTTCTCCGCTGGCGATATCATCTGGGTGTGTTACTAGAACACCAGCCACAGTCACTGAAGGTTTCTCATCTGCCCTCCGACGCGCCTTTTCCGTTTCAGGATACTGCGGTACGTATACAGAGGCAGTCTCAGCAACAATATCCTTGAGAAGTCGGTCCAGGAGCTCGGCGCCGTTCTTCACTGACAGTTCGGAATCCGCAGCCAACTAAGATAGGATGCTCAGTGACTCCGGAAGGAGACAAGGTTGCATAATGCCCACCTTGCTTAGCGAATCAAATATCTCGTTGAAGTAAACAAGAATCTCGCCCTTGGAGACCTTGGCAATGTTGTAAAGGCACTCCGCAGAGAAATAGCGAACTCGATTCTCCGCATCAGTGAAGCAGACAAGCAACGGGTTCACAAACTTGTCCATATAAGGCGCAATGTCGACGCCGAGAGCAATGGCAGTTCCTGCAAGACCGATAAGACCGCCATTCCGGGCCTGTAGCGGATTGGATGGATTGCTGAACATATCCACAAGTTGATCGATGATTTGGCTTATTTTGCGATGGTCCCCCTGTTGGTGACATTCCCGTATCTGCCTGCAAAGCTTGAAGTCTATTTGGATTGTCTCTCACAGAAAGCAGAAGAAACTCAAGTACTTTTCGAGTTCCAATGCCGCCGCCTTCCGCTTTTCGTACATCTTGTCCACCAACTGTTTAGAGATACTGGAATCTGGATGCGAAGGATTGGGGTATTATTCAGCAGAATATAGTCCACACGCACCCATAATGTCGTCGTCGTGCAGTTTATTCTAGTCGGGGGTCAGTGCATTTGCAGTCGTAGTGTAAGACGGCAGTGGCCGCTCTGGTTTGAGATGAAGTCAACGGCGCTAACGCGACGCGTGCTACTGTATTTAAACGCGCCTCGCACCACAGTTTCGCAAAGCTGTAAGTAATACCTGTGAAGATCGGCATCCAGGTTGTCATTCGAGCATGCGAAGACAATGCGATATGTAATAAGTAATAGGTATATAGTAATAGCGAGTCCGTGCTGATACATCCCATCCAATTACCAAAGCGAGAGCAATGCATAGTGAGACGATCATCTAAGAGTTACCAGATAACGCCAACATATTCTGTCGAATGATATCGATATCTTGGTCCGAGAGATGAACGTATTTCTTAAGATATTCCCTAACGCCTCCATATTTTTCCCGAAGCAAGGCCAGAAAGGCTAACATTGTCTCTGACCTACACCGAAGCATTAGTTAGAAGGTCACAGTACCCCTCAACCATGCAAAGACTTGCCGAGAGGTGAACATGTTAAGTGCGGCTTCACTATTCGTGGCGAACAGGGGTTCCTTTGTTAATCGTGCCATCACCCTTGGTCGCGCGGGTTCGCGTCCTACCCTTGTCAACGCATAGTCTTCAGCGATATCTTCATCGGAAACGCCAGCCAGCTAACGTGCACGCCCATATGAAAAGTGGTATACAAACCGTGTTAAGAATAATTACTTACCTTCAGCAGAATCGCTGCAATAATGCCAGTACGATCCTTGCCGGCTGTAGAATGTGTAAAGTTACTATGAGTATGGCATCAGGGCAACGAGACATTACCAGTGCAATGGATTATGCAGGCTTCGTTTGGTCTATCTCGAACATGACGAAGGATGTGACCGAATGCAGGACCGCCGTTCTCAAGAATTTGCGAATATAGCTCCATAAATGCCTAACGACTATCTGAGATTGCGGCGCCGAGTTAAACTTGACAGACGTACCTCGATCTTGCCGCTAGCATATAATTCAAAGCGTCTACGAGACCCTGGCATATTAATATCTCACTGGACGTGATTAGTGAGTACAACGGACATTGACGCACTTGGCCATCATTTCGGGGCTGTAGTCTTCGATTTTGAAGACTGGAGTACGAACGATTTCCACACCATCAATGTGAGGACAAGGTGTCGTCCATTTAGCTATTTCTGTGTCAGATCGTAGATCAAACACCTTCTTAATTCCAAGTTCGCAAAGTCGAGTTTTCCCTGCAAAGAACAAATACTATCACCTTGTCTGGTTGAAGACAATTGAGAGTCTGAGTCCAGAATCACTCACCCTCATCTGTAATCGCTGAGATCTCTCCAGAGCGGTAGAGTAAACCAGGTTTAGTGATGTAACCTGGTTGGTCTGTGGGGTACGATCCAAGATCGCGGATGTTTACTACGCCTTCAATTGTAACAAACGGGGGCTTGGACAGTCGCTCATTCACGTAAACCGGATCTAGAGGGTCCAAATCCATAATAAAAGCGAGTGCGCTAGAAGGGAATGCTAGTGCACCAATGCAAGGTGGCCGTTCAAGCCCAACTTGGTACAGTACCATCGGGCTCAGAACGCAATCGCACGTGCACTTTAGGGCAGGCATTGTCGCGCTTCACGTCGCGTCTCATTAGTAGCAGACGCGTTTGCATTCCTCCTCCACCCTCATTTTGCCTCTATTTTATCCAGCCGGCTCAGTTGTCATGGATATTGACGCAAGCTCCTCTCCTCCAATGCGACACACTTCCCTCCCTCCAAGCAGCGCACCAATACCAAGTTTACCCTCTAACGGTAGCTCACCTCCACGGAGGACACCAAATCGTTCCGCAGGAAACGCGTTATCTCTCGGGGATGACGAGGTTGAAGATGACAGAGATCGAGATGCTGCTGCGCGAAGAAGACGGCGGCCAAAAGGCAACACCCAAATCAATGTTGATGTCCCCATCGTACGTGACGCGGTCGGCGAGTCTGTGAGGGAGAATTTTGAAACATTTCTCAAAACGTGCGTGTTTGTCCAGCATCACTATTGCGCTCAACTTATGGTATATTGTTAGATATACCGACGAGATCGCACTGGCACCAACCCCAGCCTCAGACGGCGGTGTGCCAATTGCACCCGATGGCGAACTCATCTATATTGAACAAATCCATACTATGCGTGAATACGAACTGACAACGCTCTATGTTGACTATGGCCATATTCTTCAGCGGGACGACGTATTAGCTGACGCGATACAAAAGCAATACTATCGTTTCCTTCCTTATATCCGTAGGGCTGTTCACAACCTCGTTGCGGAATTCGAGCCAGAATACCTCAAACTGAACCCCACTGCTGCTGCCACAGACTCTATCAATCTACAGTCCCGCGAATTTAACGTTGCCTTCTACCACTTACCGCTCGTGTCCGGCATTCGTGACCTCCGCACAGACAAAATCGGTACTCTCATGAGTATCAGTGGAACTGTTACTAGGACAAGTGAGGTTCGACCTGAGTTGCTCTTCGGGAGCTTCATTTGCGAGGTTTGTGGAGGTCTCGTCAACGAAATCGAACAGCAATTCAAATACACAGAGGTAATGCTTTCTTTTCATGCAATTTTTTCTTCGACTCATTGTTGTCACCTTAGCCAAATCTGTGCCCTAACCCAACCTGCGGTAACCGAAACGCGTGGCAGCTCCAGATTGACAGTTCTAAATTCACTGACTGGCAGAAAGTCCGCATCCAAGAAAACCCATCGGAGATCCCCACAGGATCCATGCCTCGTTCACTAGACGTGATCCTCAGATCTGAATTAGTAGAACGCGCAAAGGCTGGTGATAAATGTGTCTTTACTGGGACATTCATCGTGGTTCCAGATGTCAGCCAGCTCGGATTGCCTGGTGGCAATAAGGCAGAGCTCATGCGAGAGGCTGGTCGTGCCAATGGTAACACTGGTGCCTCTGCAGTTGGCGGCGTTGGTGTAACTGGCCTGAAAAGCCTCGGTGTCCGAGACCTGCAATATAAGACCGCATTCCTTGCGTGTATGGTCCATGATGCCGATGGTCGTGTAAGAACCCTTTTCTTCACACTATCGATGTATATGCTCATTGCTTAGTCAGGCCGGTACCAATATACGTGGTGAAGAAGAGGAAGGCGAAGATGGTGGTCAAGCTTTTGCTCGCTCTCTCACAGAACCCGAGTTCGAAGAGCTTAAACAGATGATCGAGTCAGACCATATTTACTCCCGTTTGGTGGAGAGTATTGCACCCACCGTGTACGGGCACGAAATCGTCAAGAAGGGTCTCCTATTACAATTAATGGGAGGCGTGCATAAACAAACACAAGAGGGTATGCATCTTCGTGGTGATATCAACATCTGTATCGTCGGCGACCCTTCTACTTCGAAGTCGCAATTCCTGAAGTAAGTTCTATCTGGAGTCGTATGTTTCAATAACGCTGAGCTTTTCCATAGGTATATTTGTTCTTTCCTTCCTCGAGCAGTGTATACCTCAGGAAAGGCTTCATCAGCGGCAGGTCTGACAGCTGCCGTCGTCAAGGACGAAGAGACGGGCGATTTCACCATTGAAGCCGGTGCTCTGATGCTTGCTGACAACGGGATCTGTGCGATTGATGAATTTGACAAGATGGACATTTCAGATCAAGTCGCTATCCACGAAGCCATGGAACAACAGACCATTTCCATTGCCAAAGCGGGTATTCACGCCACGTTGAATGCACGCACATCGATTTTGGCTGCAGCCAACCCTATTGGTGGCAGATATGATCGGAAGAAAACCCTTAGAGCGAACGTCGCAATGACAGCACCCATTATGAGCCGTTTCGACTTGTTCTTCGTGGTATTGGACGAATGCGACGAGAAATCGGATCTGAATATTGCAAAACATATCGTGAACGTGCATCGATTCCAAGACGAGGCTATTCATCCGGAGTTCAGCACCGAGGCACTGCAGCGATATATCCGTTATGCCCGCACGTTCAATCCAAAGGTCAGCATTACACTTATGCTGCGGTATTTTCACCTCAACTCGTTTTCTTGCAGCTTACGCCGGAAGCAGCTGATGTCCTTGTCGAGAAGTATCGCATCCTCAGACAGGATGATGCTTCTGGTACCGGGCGTAATTCATACCGGATTACTGTTCGTCAACTGGAGAGTATGATTCGTCTCAGTGAGGCAATCGCTCGAGCAAACTGCACAGCCGAGATTACACCTGCCTTCGTCAGAGAAGCATACTCCCTTCTTCGACAGTCTATCATTCATGTCGATCAAGACGATATCGACTTTGATGAGGAAGAGCTCGAAGGAGAGCGTGATGGCGATCGACGTCCGCGTGCCGCTGACGGTGATGCGGAGGAGAGCCAAGACGTTGAGATGACTGCTGCCGAAATCGCTGCTACAGAAGAGGCGGAGCAGAGCTACAACGAGTCGATGGCCATCAACGGTTCAGGCCCAAGTCGTTCTGCAGCGACATCTCGAGCTGGTAGTGTGATGCCTGAAGCGCCAATGCCCGTTCCTCCTGCTCAACCGAAGCGGAGGATGGTCATCACTCATGATAAATTCATGCAGCTGCAGAGTCTTATCGTTCTTCATTTGTCTCAATTTGAACGAGAGACCGGAAGAGGTGTTGATCGCGATGAGCTTGTTGACTGGTATCTCGAGTTGAAGGAAGAGGAGATTCAAGACGTAGATGAATTGGAGTACGAGAAGGAGTTGATCACAAAAATGTTGAGGAAGCTTGTCAAGGTGTGTAAGATGAGGTCTCATATCCTTACTCAGACTAATGAGGACGCTGCATAGGATAACTACCTGATTGAGGTGAGAGGAGATGTTCAAGAATCTTTACCGTCTCTCGACGAGAGCAGCGGCCAAGCGTCTATGGAATCTCAAGGAGGCGATGTTCGTGTGTACTATATGGTGCATCCGTCAGTGGATACGGATGAGACCACCTCGTCAATAGCATGAAGTTGATCATTACATATATCTGTTATGCTTCTCTCGCTATCGTTGTTCATATGTAGTTTCAAATTTAATGCATTTGTATCAGCCCTTGCTTATCTGCTTGACTGCTTCTTTCGAGAGAGGCTCGTAGACTGAATTCTAGATGTAGTGGAACGCCTCCATCACTATACTTGCTTCATTCGGTGACGAATGGGTTATAGGCGCTTACTCTACATTACTCTCTCCGAGTAACGCTTGCCGGGTTGCAGCTCTTCTGTTTCCTCGCTGCTCTTGCGCTGCCCCCTTCTTGACGATGTGCTTAAACCTCCTGTAGATCAAAGAGCAATTCTTTGATATTTGATACCGCGAAGCATGAACGATAACCAACTCATCGTCCCTGTAGCGACTCCTCTAGGATCACTCTACTTTGCTACTATAGATGCGGGCGGAACCGTTGACGATGTGATTCAAGAATTGCTTTCTAACGACGATGCTGTTTCTGAATTAATAGGAGACCTTGAGCCGTACGGCTGGGCCTTGCAACGAATTCGGAGGGAACATAATGGACGGCAATGGGAGGAGGAAGAGCTGGAGCAGCTTGGCAATGGTTCTGTTGTTTGTGGGCTCTATATTCGTTATACTGACGCGTACGCATTATATAGGCCTGCTATCGAGTAATTCTCGCGTTTCCCCACTACTAAATGCATCTGGTTCTTCCCCGAAGGCACAGCGACACTTCTCGTCTTTCCCGCTAACGTCTCATCTACATACACCGACTTTGCGCCTGGTCTCTCTTCACCCCTTCTTGTCATTAAGGATATCCTTTCTTCGTGTCCCTGAAATTCATGACGATTTTCAATGGAAGGTTTTCGTTGCTCGAGAAACTAGTGTTCAGGCCATCATCGATCAGACAGTGGAAGAACTCGGGCTTACGAAATCTCTTGCGGTTCCAGGGGGTGGTGCGCTCGAATATGTATTGGAGGAGGTTTGGACTGAAAATGATGCTGAGAGTGAGTACTAATACCTAAGTTTTATCAGTGTGTTCATGAATACCGCTAGAATCCACGCGCACCCCCTTCAACGCGCAACTCTCCCATATAATCGAAACGCCATTGAAACCCAATCCGTTCGGATCCTCCGCCTCGAGATCGTTTCGATTCTCTGTCCCAGATGAATGGTACCGTCGTTCTAGATCTCGCACCTCTTCCACAGCTTCCTTTGAGCCTTCTGAAGATACAGTGAAGCGCTTGGCAAGCCTTCAGGAATCGGAAGAGGAGTCTGAGGAAGGGGACGGCACCGCGAAGTTAGGCCAGTCTTCGAGTCCTGATGCCTCTCCTTCGGTGAAACAATTTGGGACTGCAAGTGATTGGCGAAGTTCGATATCCCAGAATCGTCTTTCTAGCATGTTTGAAGGTTGGAGGCGCCCCTCATCTCCTCTTGCTTCCAGCGGGGTTTTATCGTTGGAAAAAAAGATAGTCAGTGAACCGAAGCCGATGGAGCAGAGTCAACCTATCAATTTAAGTGGGAAATTTGCTCTGCCACCCTCCGCGGAACTGGATGACTCTGAGTACTCCGAGTTTGAGCAGATGCTTGTACGTCTCCATGTTTTATCGATCCTTTCACGTGTTAATGAGAGCCCTAGGATGATCTTGCTCTAAGCGGTGGCAAGCGGGAGGGAATGTATAAGCTGCCCATATCACAGAAACGGTATCTAATAAAACAGCACAAGGAAAAGCACTCAGCTACTCTGTCGAAGGCTTCCGCCTTAAACCGTGGTACCAGTCATGCCGCGCAGGCTTCGACCTATAGCCCTGCCAGTAGTTCAGGTCTAATTCCCCGGCTCGTGCCCCAGTTAACGGGCGAAGCAGGACTGATGAAGCGCTTCTCTATTGCGAGCTGGGGAACTACTCCCTCTCCTCCTGAGTCTCGACGTTCCAGTGCCGACCTTGCTGTCAAACGGCATGATACTGGCGGACAGGCGAAGATCATCAATGAGGCACCCTCCGAACCCACCCCGATCCAGCCTCAAAGTACCGGTAGCTTATGGAGCAGCTGGTGGACGTCCTCCGGAGGCGATAAAGGACAGAAAGAGGCTGAGAAAATGCCTAGGTGGTATGTTGACGGCATAAGGAGCGATAGACCCGCGGATCTGAAGCTCGTGAAGCACCTCATCTCGTTGCGAGTACATATCTCCACAGCAAACTTGGCTTGGATCGAAGATTTCGTCGACGAATCCAATGGTATTGATGCCCTTGGAAAGCTTCTTGCCAGTCTGGTAGCTAAAGGTGGCAAGCGGAAGAAGCTCCGTGAGATAGAGGAGACAGTCCTTCTTGAGGCGATCAAGTGTGTTCGCGTCCTCCTCAATACTGATGTAAGTACCAAACGGCGTTGTTACGGGGGTCTCATTTCACTTTCATCATACCTTGCAGCCTGGTTTCAAGAGAGGCATGTCTGACGCCTCATTGATAACACACATTGCGTACTCGCTGCACGGTGCATCCACTAAGCTGAGGGCTCTCGCTTCGGACGTTCTGGCAGCAATTTGTTATGTTTCGCCAACGGAGGGGCACAAAGCTGTGGTTTCCGCTTTCTCTGACTACCGCATAGAATTTGATGAACTTTTCCGATTCCAAGAACTCATTGACTCGTTACGAATTCCTGACCATCTTGACGACGCTGATAACAACGTAGATGGTGTAGCATACGGTAACGATGAAGAAGGTGTATGGGAAGCTCGCACCGCTTCTATGGCATTGGTGAATGCACTTACCAACTTTCCGGAATTATTGGAGGATAGGATATTGCTTCGAGAGGAGTTCACTCGTCGTGGTCTAAACGAGGCAATAGTGGTGAGTAGACTTTACATCAACATCCATTGCGGCGACGTTTAAATCTTGATAATCCCAGGCACTTCGATACGTTCGTCCGCCGGAATCTTTGGTTACCCAGTTGGATATCTACACGGAGGAGAAATTTGAAGATGAGGAAGACATGCGCGAGCGCCGTCTGGCCGGCCATCATGAGGCTCCAGCGGAATCCGATCCTATAGCGGACGACTTGGTTAGATTAGCCAAGCAGCTCGAGGACGTATACCCAGCAGTGATTGAAGTCCTAGGACATCTTCATAATCTTGTGAACAGTGGAGTTGATGCGTGAGTGATGTGATGATTCATGATTAGGCTGGCTTATTGAGAATCCTTGCAGCCAACTTAAACACGACATTTTTTCTATCCTAAATATATTTCTTTCACAGCTGCTTAGCCTAGATGATTTGTGCGTTTTCTCTATTGAGCCTAGAACCTTCTGACTAAACTTCCTGAAAGTGACCAGGGGTGGTTAACTCTTGTCGAACGTGTCGGCGAGTCTACACGACATATCACAGGCGCAGGATTGCAAGTCTCAAGTGTATCTGGAGCACATGAGTCCCTCGCTGAGGAGGAGCTCGAGATTTTGAAGATCCGGTTCGAAGAAGTCATCAAGGATGTACGTATCGTGACTCCTAACTATTTTGAATGTTGAGCCCTATCTCTCTTGCAGCGAGCATCATTGCGGGACGAGCTGAACCAACAAACAGCAGAACTCACCACTTTAAGGGCCTTGACGTCAAATACACCAGGTCCCGCTTCAAAGCTACTAAGCAAAGGAAGTCCAGAGGTACGCTGTATACGTTATATCTTATGGATTCCACTTACAAATCGTTAGTCCTCCCAGAATTTCCATGGGTTAGTTCAACGTCTGGTGCAGAAGGAAAAACAAGTACTTCAGCTTCAATCCGAGCTTGACAAGCTCCGAAGCCTGAATCCGGTTGACAACCGAGAAGAGGTTCGATCACAACACCTGCTTCCTAATTAAAGCTGACAAACTGCTAGGAGGAACGCGCCAGACGAGAGAGAGAGAAGGTTAAGTGGAATTCCGTGATGGATGAAATGGCAAAGCTCAAGATGCAGGTATGTGCTATTAGGAAAGCCTTCATACAATGAAGAGTCATATATTGACGCCTGTTCGTACAGATTAACGAATTGGAAGCAAGTCTTACCATCAAGGAGAAGGATGCAATCTACTTGAAACGCGCTCTTGAATCGGTCTATTCTCGCTTCAAAACGCGCGAAGAAAACCGAGAATCGGAAGTTGATGCCCAGACGATTGCAACTCGTGCCATCGAGAGTTTGACTCAGAAGGACAGCGACATAGCTGCGCTCAAATCTGAAATCCAACAACTGAAGAAAGAGCTTTCGGCTAAACCAAAGTTCATCACTGAGAGGGATTATAAGAATCAAGTGGCACCTCCTCCACCGCCCCCTGCCCTGAAGCCGCGGCGATCAAATACGGATTCACAAGTTTCGAGTCCTCCACCTCCCCCGCCTCCACCTCCACCTCTGCGTCGAACTTCATTGGCATCCCCTGATCAACCTTCAAGGCCACCTATACCTACCCCGCCTCCGCCTCCGCCTCCATCCTCACCCGCTGCGTCTGTTTCGTCTCCTCCGCCTCCGCCTCCCCCACCGCCCCCACCTCCGCGTGCACCTCTTTCGCAGTCTCCTAACGGTTCTCAGTCACAATCTTACCCTCCATTTTCACCACTTCTGCCAGCTTCAAGAATCCCGGGAATCCCGCCGCCTCCGCCTCCACCACCACCTCCCCCAGGCGCCGGTCCGCCACCTCCTCCGCCACCACCGGTTATTGGAAACCCAAGGCCCCTCAAGATTACTCGGCCGGTCAAACGACTGAAACCTTTCTTCTGGAACAAGCTGACTGGACAAGCTGCTGCTTCCACTGTATGGACCGATGCCTCTAGCAGTCTTGCCATTGACCTAGGCGATTTGGAAGCGACTTTTGCGATTGAAAATAACCCGAGCACCTCGGGTTCTCAGCTATCCGTAGCTTCACCAAGGAAGCAGAACGTCACAACTCTATTGGACATCACTAGAGCTAATAACGTCGGTATGTTGATAATATACTCCTGTGCAAATAGCTCAACTTGACGTTTCGCAGCTATCATGCTGTCCAGGATCAAGCTTTCTTTACCTGAGATACGAGCAGCGCTTCTAGGAATCGATGACCGATTATCGGTTGACGAATTACGGGCCATTAGTAGACAGCTTCCTACATCGGAAGAGGTCTGTCCGCCCCTTCACTCGTTGTTTTACTTACACATAATTCCTTTGCTTAGATCACACGGATTAGGGACTTCGATGACGTGGGAAGGCTCGCGAAAGCAGATCAATACTTCAGCCATGTGAGTTCCATGTCTCTAATGGCAGTAAGGAGCTTCGTCGCTCACTGTCTACAGATCATGACGATTCCTAGGCTGTCCGAACGACTGGAATGTATGATCTATCGTCGTAAACTGGAAATCGAGATAGAAGAAATACGCCCGGAGTTGAATATCGTCCGTAATGCGTCGCGGGAACTTCGTGCCTCCCTGCGGTTCAAACAAGTACTGCAGGTCAGTGTCACTTTGTCCGCAGAACACGTTCCATAATTCTGATATGGTTGTGTCAGACCGTACTCGTAGTGGGAAATGCTCTTAATGGTTCTACCTTCCGCGGAGGTGCTCAAGGATTTCAGTTAGATGCTTTATTGAAGGTACTTTGACATAATACGTAATTGAATTGCTCTAGCTTACAGACATAATAGCTGAAGGAAACCAAGACTGCCAAAGGAGACGTAGACTGTCCTACATTGCTTCATTATATCGCGAAAGTACTCCTGCGCAGCGACCCTATCTTGATAACCTTTGTCGAGGATATGCCGCATCTGGAAGCTGCAGCTCGAGGTATGCATTGTCTCGTAGTTGACGTTTGCTTATATTAATGAGGAATAGTCTCGGTACCAACCGTCTTCGCATCCGTTCAAGCCTTGGTCATTGGACTTAGGACTATGAAGGAGGAACTTGTACACCTACCCCAGGTTGCATCATCTCAACTAGAAGACCGCTTTATAGAAGCAATGCAGGTAGACAGACTTGATGGATATGCGAGGTCTCATAATCTTACACATCTCAACAGCCCTTCGTCAAGGAAGTCGAACCTAGTGTAGCCGCTCTAAGCAATATGGTAAACTCTCTAGACTCCGAGCTCAAATCGCTCTTTGCTTTCTATGGCGAGGTTCCAGACTCACCTGAGGCGCCCAAAGCGGAGGATTTCTTTGGCCTCATCTTATCTTTCTCCTCTTCACTGCAGGTAGGAGTATGGCATAGTAATATCGCGGCAAGGCTAATGATGGGATATAATCTGCAGAAAGCGGCTTTGGAAATACACGATGTCCAAGCTACGTCCACACCGAAGAACCCAGCTCTTGCTGTTATATCGCCTCCAACGCCGACTGAGACGGTTCGTATACCCAAGATCTTCTCGCAGACAGTTTGTTTATCCCATTTTCAGACCATCAAGAGCAAGAGAAAACAGACGGAGACTGACCAGACACTGAAGCCCCCCTCAGATCCATATGATCGCCCGGGCGGTCGTTCGGCTGGCCGAGGAGATCTGGATCAAGCTATCCGAAGCATGCGAACTGGTAAACGAAGGGAACGTCCAACTCGTCCTCTCAGTAAGATATTTGTTGACGGAGGTACAAGGGCCAGCCGACTGTTTGAGTGAACATAGATCTATTCCATATTTCACGTCATTTGTCATACCCATGATATCCTGCGCTCCATGTATACTGTGTACTTGACTGTATACCATGTAAGTTGATGATAACGATTATGACAACCATGGTGACTGCATAGTTCACTGAAGGACACGATCTATCCAACTTCGGCCAGGTCGCCATCGTGCATGTAGACCAGAAAACGGCAATGCGGAACATACTTGTCCAAGGAACCTAGATATTATTGAACCAGACTATTGCACAATCTACGTGAATTGTGATCAAAGTCTATAGCATGCCAATTTTCAGCTATGTACGAGCCATCGTAGGACACAAATTATCACATACTGGCTGAAGAGGCGATGCCTGTAAGATATGACCTAACTTGTAGAGGGAGAAAAATCGATAGGACTCCTGGCTGTCTATTAAATGCGAGGCTAATAATGACCGTCGATTCTTCCAGGTACCATCCTCAGCACATCTCTTTGCATCGATTTTGTTCTACTCGATTTTGTGGGTTTCTTAGTTGTATTTCTCGACAAGATTGGCGGCATATATGCAAGTTTGACTTTGATTGCGTGGGTACGCGTAGAATCTCGAGTACCGGACACGACTGTGCTTGCGCTTGAAGTGCTAGGTGACAGATGTCGTTCTCCAAAGAAAGAGTCGTGTATACCACGTCGGATAGTGAGCCCTGAAACCGTCTTCTACCGCAGTAATAGACTCCGATATGAATCCCATTTTAGCGACGGATAGAACGCCTTGATTGGGGTGAGGCCGACATGAGATAGGTCGTTTGACTTCGTTGCGCAGCAACAGCAATGGTAATCCGAGTTCCTAACCATTCCAAAGCTGTTAAGGTGATGACTTTATGGGTGCAAGTCTTGAACTGATCACTGCGTTGGAACCTGGAATCAGCTAATCAGAGCATTGCGCACTGAACGTTGAGAACAGATTGAGAATACATTCGACATGCCGCATCGGAATCATACAATATCGATGTAAGGGATCAGGGATATCGCATTCCTGGGGCCATCTGACTCACCTGTCCAGATAGTGGTCCATGCCGCAGTGAAGCATACTGAAATCACATCAACCCTCAGCACTGGCTGATTGGCGAGGTCGTAAGATCAGAGCATACCGGCCTTGATCGAAAGAGCAACCTACAGGCAATACAGTACGGTCTAGTGAACGTTCAACGTTCAACGTACAAGGTTCGGCACCGAATTGGATCACCAGACGAGAACTTCCAGGTTCAGAAGTTTTTGAGTTCTGTTATCGAAAGAAGTGCCTACCCTTGCAAACTTACAGCGAAGTAATATGATTAAGTCAGTTTCGAAGCTTCACGTGGATATCGACGGAGTGCGAGTGCGAGTGCTAAGTTGCATCAACAAACTTGAGGATAGCATGAGGCTTTGAACACGTGCTTATATTGTGTAGTACCGCATGCAGACGGGGATGACACATCCGTTAACGACGTAAACCCTTGTACGACAGGCTTTTCCTCAATAGTCTTTATAATTCGGAGGAGCATCGACAATTATATCCCGTGTCTGGTGTAGTATACGCGTGACGTGACACAATTCAATGATTAAGTGGAGACACTTTATCGCAGCTTACAACACATTCCATGAATAGTTTGAAGAACCCGTCGACCTATCGCGACTAGTCAATATATTCGAACCTGACCAGAAAATCAATGCTACTTACATCAAGTGTCTCAGCCACCAATGTGTTCTTTCCAGTGTTGCCCCAGGTGTCGTCAGTTTCCCGATAGTTCCAGATATCGACAACGGTCTCCCCAGATGTATGAGTTCCATTCAGCTCAACGTCCACTCGATATCGCGTACACCTGAATAGCTCTGGTTGTGAGACATAAGCCACAGTCAGAGCGTCATGTATGGGTGGACCAAGGTGGAATCCGAAGGTTGACTTGTAGGTTGACGCGAAAAAGCCAAGGAGCGTCGAAAGCATGTGCCGTAAAGGCGAAGAGGCTTTCAAGAGCTCAGAAGTCGATTCAGCGATATCCTGAATGATTTCGGAGTTTAAAAGGCTAGAATGGTGTGCCTTCGTGAAGATTGCAGTGTGCGTTACATTCAGCGGGATCATGATCTTTTTGACGGGCGCATCGAGGACAATCTGTGCGGCCTCCGCTGCGAATGGGACGTGGTGTGATCAGAAATAATAACAGGTTTCAAAAATGGGAGACGAAGCTCACGATCACAAAGGATGTTGAATTCTACAACAGGGATAAGTACCGCTTAAGAAAAGAACGCACACATGACAGACCAGCAACAGCAGAGCGATTTCCGAGTCCTACGGCGCCTCCCATGAATACAAACTCTTCTGCCAATGATGAATCCGACATGAGTGGTCTCAACAGCTGGGGGCTGTCATAAACTAACTCACCCACGCCGCCCAATAGCTCTGGATATACACTGACAAACAACGCTATGTTCGTCATTGGGCCCGAAGAGATCACGACCACGCGTTCCCCAGAGCCATCCTTCCAAGACTCCTTAATGGCTTTAGCGATAGCTTCTATGGCACGTACAGGACCGCCGGGGTGGTTCAGACGTTCGCAAATGCGAGGATCGTCAGGCGAAGGGAGTCCCTCCACGCCACCAAGTCCGTCCCCACCATGAATCTCTGAGTCATACCGCACTGGCCTGATGAGCGGTTTGACTGCACCAGGGTATACCTTGATAGAAGGATCGGCTCCAAATGCCTCCAAACATCTGGCAGCATTTAGTTGAATATTGTAGTGACTAGCGTTCCCATGCACCTTGGTGTCCAGAATTAGTATATAAATCACTCGCCGCAGATAATTTGCAATATACCGTTGAGACACCTAGCAGCGAAACATTGCTGCAATGCACGGCCAGCATGATAGCGGTCGCATCGTCATGTCCCTGAATATCCTCCAATTCAATTCCGGGGCTGCACATTGGAGAATGGGCCACGCACTGGGTCGCAGTCCAGCCAAATCGCCTTCATGGTGTTAGTGAGTTCTTAATGGTTGTGGTCCGATATCAGACCGGCTAAAAAGGTTGTACTCAACCTACGTCTGATAGCAGTGTGATAAGTTAAATCGGCTGGCAGCGTGGAAGGTTTGATCGTCTCGATAAGAGTAAGTATTGGGATTACTTGTGCAGGATCCCAAAAATCACCGTGGGTAGCAAGAAGAGACGAGATGGGTCTCATGTGAGCTTGATGTAAGTAAGCCTGTAGAATGCGTTTATACTTAGTTGTCCAAACGTTCAAAGGACGAATTCCTTGATATTAGAGTGATCGCGCACTTACCCCACGTTGCTTAGTCAGCAATTTTTTGCCTCCTCGGTTCGGTCCTCTTCGAGGTCTTCCAATTTACTCTACTAGATCTTGTGCACCCTGCATCTATTGAATACCCCTCAAAGCAAATACTGACATTGAGAATCATACTAGACTGTCACCTCACCTCAGCACCCGGAAAAGGGCTCTATGGATCCTCATTCCCGCCTGTCCCAGTTTAATAATCGACCACCAAAAGCTGGTCCTAATCAGCGCCGTATGGAAGCACCATTGAGAACTTTAGATCCCTTGGATAATTACAAGAAGAAGTCCGCCTCGTCTAAATACCCGGCCTCCTCATCTACCTCGTCGTTACTGGGTCGCCCGATCGCTACTAATTCCAGAGTCAAACAAGGTAAGTTTACATCGTTGTCGACGCTTGGAGAATGTATCTGAGAAGTTGTGTAGATGAACAGTACAGGAAGGATATGCACCTGGCATTTATTACGAATGCTCTCCAGCAGAAAGCAAAGGTTCGTCGTGACCATAATATCATACAGAATGAATGCTGATAGCTTCACAGGGAATCAGCGACACCTTTGACGAGCTTGTCGATCAATTCAACCTGAAGAAAACGACCGGAGACGCTCCATCTCCTGCACCCCAGCTGCGTTTATGGATTCTCGCATTATCCAATGTCGTCTCCCGTCTAGAGCGTTGTCATTCCACCCTCATCGAAGCAGTGGTCAGTATGCCATGGACTACCATGGATACAAGCTTCGTCAAATCCTATACGTCATTCATCGGAATGCTTGTTAGTGCAAAACCTGAATACCTAGCCACTGTGCTTGGGAAACTTGCCCATGGTCTTACTTATCGTATGTCCTGTTCGTCTCAAGCTCCATGTATCGTCTGAAATGATTCCTAGAATCTGGTCTGCAAGCATTGGACGCCGGCTTGCCCGAGAGCTCGTCACATCCTCTTACTCGTCGTGTGGTTTATGACCGTATCCACTACCTTCTTCGACATCTACTATCGCTTGTACCAACCTTGCCATCAACGCTGCAGCCGTTGCTTGTGCAACATTTCCCGCACAAACGACAAAGTCAAGGGGCTCAAGTCACTTATATCCGCAACCTACTGAGAATAATGGAGTACTGTCCCCAGTTGGCGGATCGAATACTGGCTACTATTGTGGATCGCGCCCTTCAAATAGATGTACGTGCGACATTGCTTGTATGGTTCTGTGTTTCTTATGTTATCGACAGGTCGAAATTCAATGCGAAATGGAGGAGCTGGAGGAACAGCTTGGTCAAGAAGAGATCGAGATTTTTGACTTGGATCCATTTGATACCATTGTCGGTCAAGAAGGCGAAGACTCTGACTCTGAAGACGATAGCGACGAGGAAGGTGCCCATTTGAGTGACCTGTCATCCGACGCGGGAGGAGGCGATGACGACGACGACGCGGAAGCGGAAGACGTTCCAACAGATTTCAAACACGTCAATGACATGGTCAACAAACTCGACGCCATCTTGAAGAATGTCTTCGATCACTTCAACCAAACTCATGCAATGACCGACCCGCCTGTAGCATCAGGGCTGTCTACGCCATTATCCGAAATACCCATGACCCCACTCGATTCACCTAACCCTTCGCCACCACCAGACCCAGAAGAAGGCAAAGCCTTACGACGAGCTCAATTCTACACCCTTCTCTCCATCTTCGACCGTGTTATCCTTCGAACCTTCAAATCTCGCTATACCCAATTCCTAGTCTTCTGGTACTCCTCTCTTGACCCTGAATTTAGCGACGTCTTCCAGGGAATGCTTGTTTCCAAAGCTCTTCTCGAAGAAGATCAACCAGCTGTCACGCGAGCCGCTGCCGCAAGTTACATCGCTAGCTTTGTTAGCAGGGCACAGTTTGTTGACAAGGAGAATACGAGACGTGTTATGGCGTGTCTGTGTAACTTTTTGAAGAGTCGGGTGGATATTTTCGATGCTGTGACCCTATCAGGTGCTCCGCAGGCTAGTATGGCACATCATACTATCTTCTATGCGGTCACCCAAGCGGTCTTTCTGATCTTCTGTTTCCGGTGGAGGGATTTGATGTATGACCCAGAGGATGCGGATGAACACGCTCCTACTAACGGACCCACATCGAAGTGGATGTCAGAGTTGGATGTTTTGCAGCGGGTTGTGCTCTCAGAACTCAATCCTCTCAAGGTGAGTAGCAGGTACGATTACATGTATGCATGCTCTTGACATTCTTACTTCGTAGATGTGTTCTTCAAATGTCGTCATGCAGTTTGCGAAAGTCGCCCACTCGACCGATTTCCTTTATTGCTATTCCATCATCGAATCCAACAAACGTTCCGACTATGCACCTTCACAACCGAACGACTCCCAGCAGAATAGTGCCTCACGACTTCGTGGACTAGTAATACACCCTGCTTTGGCTGGTTCCTCAATGCACACCGAGCTGAACACATTCTTCCCTTTCGATCCGTACAAACTTCCCAGGTCAAGCGCTTACATACAGGGTGTGTATCGGGAATGGTCGTCGGTGGCTATTGATGATGACGACGAGGACGAGGATGAGGATGAAGCGGAGTCTGACGATGAAGAGCACTACCATGCTTCCTTCGACGGAGGTATCGCAGTACCTCAAAGTTCCTCTCCCAGCCGTGGGGATGATACGGATGGGCTCGGTGCGTCATTTGGTGGGATGAGTATCAGTCCCGCTCGACCTGGTTTAGCTGTCAGTAGGTCTGTGGCCATGTCTGTCTCATAAGAGTAGTTCTATCGTTTGTTGTACGTTCTCGCTTTCTTTTGCTCTTTTTGCTTTGTATCGTTTCATCACGTTGTCCACAATATTTCATGCAATGCATTTGGATTGGAATATAAAAGGCTGTGGTAGAATTTGTGGGAAGCGCGATTGGTACGTGACATGGAGGTGAAACTCAGTGAGCCGCGATGTACGCCTCGTGGTCGAAGTAAGGTCCAATCGGTGGCTAGAGACAAGGACGTCAGTGCATGAGTATTTCGAAAGCTCAAACGCGTGAGAGTATGAATACTGACCGGAAGATTGCGCTCCCTGTAGCCACCGAAGAGTCAGTGCGACAGTTGTCCAGCAGAGTCATATGGACGTACCATTTTGTGCCATCGGGAGCCTCGGCAGCTATGAGGAAATTGTGTCAGCACCAGTATATGTCGGGCAAGGACTAAAGCTCACGTCGGTAAGGGTCGGGATGCTGCCTCTCAGCAAGGTCTGCTTCAGCTTTCTCCAAAATGGCTGCAAGCGCACGAGGATCATGGACATTGCTATACAAATTCCGATAGTGAGAAGCTCAGCACCATATATCCAGTGAAACAGAAACGATATACCGGTTTCTCTCGAACTCTGCCCTGATGGCAAGTGCCCTTGGTCGCCAGAGATCCCGTCGAACGACCCAGTTTAATTCATTGTTAAGGTATCTCCTATAGAGAGACTTGACATATGAAGTGTGTGCTTTGGTGAAAGGCGATACCGATGCAGGAGACATGGTGAACGATATTGGGTGCAGGTGTTCGCGATTGAGCTGAAGCACATTGGCTAGCGTAGAAGTCCGTTTTAGGCATCTTGTTCTCACGATGCCCCAATGCATTTGGAAATGACAAGTGCTTAACCATTCCCGAGCGCATGGTCAGCTTTAATTATCGTCTCATTTAGTACGCTCACCCTCTGCAGAGCGATAACTTACCAGGATTTGCGGGATAGTCTGTCGACGCTCTGTTATCCTGACATGAACTATCTACGTGGTGCCGTCAGCGCAATCAGCGCACCATACCAGTATTACAGAGATCTCAATCCCTCGACACTCACAGGCGCCATAGATGTGATTGTTATTCGAAGACCAAAGGTTTCTGGAGAGACAGAGGACATTCAAGATCTCTCCAACCCTCCAGAAGGAGAGACGGAGCTTGTGTGTTCACCATTCCATGTTAGATTCGGGAAATGGCAGGTTCTGAGGCCTGCGGACAAGAAGGTGTGCATTGCTCTGCTTGGTATGACACTATCACTGATTTCAACTTTGACAGGTAGACGTGTTCGTCAACGGGAACCCTGTACCCTTCCCAATGAAGATTGGGGATGCAGGCGAAGCATTCTTCGTCTTTGAGACCGATGAGGATGTCCCTGATAGTCTTGTCACAAGTCCAGTATTAGCTGCCACCGAACCTGAAGAATCTAATGAGCAGCCTGTCGCTGGAAGGTTTGGTACGAAGGAAGAAGGTCCTTCTACTCCTCCTCAAGGACAACCCGAAAGTTCACAAGAACCCGAATTCCTTGATCTCAACGCGTCACCTAATGCAGACGTGACGAAGCAGGCCTCTGGAGTATCACAAACTAAACCCAAGCCCGAAGATCAGGATGCTAATGGGCCTAGCTTACTATCTCACGTAGCGGACGCAAGCCAGACTTCAGTCGCCGCAACTCATGAGCTGAAAAAGACCGGCAAGGATGACCTTGAAGATCACACATCTCAGGAGACTGCGAATAAAGCGGAAAAGGAAGAACGTGGCTATCTTACAAACGGCATGGCTGCTGTGCGCAACGTCTCTCCTTTGCCTTACCTCGGACATGGTTCCGACGAAGGCGACAAAGCTCTTCCGGATGGTGGGCGCAACAAAGTAGAACCTCCAGACGTACGATATACTGATGGTACGCGGTCCGTTTGTTCTGTAACTATTTATTTCTAACATGTATCAGACATGGTCTTCGATATGGAGGGTTACCACTCTCATGCTCGAGGTCGCTCTGATCGAACAGTGAGAAGCAGCGATCGGCCTTCCCGCTCAAATTCTATGGATTCGAATCGCACCCACACCCCAGAGCGAACTCCTGGTCCTTCAAGTTGGTTTTCTCTTTCTTTCTTCACCGCTACACATGTTCATGCTTTTCATACAGGATCACCCACTCCCGACTTTTCACCGTCAAGTTCAAGTTCATATTTAGGCGGACCAGTAATGTTCCCACCATTTCGAGCGAACTCAGAACCACCTCCAGATATGGAACAGATGACACTCACCCTTCCCTCTCGTTCGCCTCCATCATCTTCTAATTTACGCCAATCTGGGACTAGCGACTCGACTGCCTCCACAAGTACTCTCAAAGTTGCAGTATCCGCCGTAACAGAGGAGTATTCATGGGAATGGGGAAATTTTCCCCAGAAGACTCCTGTTCGAGCTTCCTTCGGTGCACCTTTGCCTTCTGCGAAGGGAAAAGGTAAAGCACGTATGCTTCCAAGCCAAGCGGAAGAGGATGAACTTGAGGAATGGTCTCGCCGAACTCGAACCAATTCCAGGTCACGATTATCTCAGATGGTGGTAAACGGAGATGCTATGCAAGAGGATGATTCGTCGTATGGGTCTGGAGGTCTGCTGACTGTTGATCGAAGAGATCCTACAAGGTTCCGGGTCTTCATCGAAGGGCGCGCGATAGAGTTCGAATTGGGCATAGTACCACCAGATGACAGCACGAGTGCGCATCGTGGTGGTGCGTACCTGACGGGCGAAGATGAAGTAGAAGACGCACGACGTTTCGATGCTGGGACGATTGACTTCCAGCGTTTCCTCGATGATGAGAGCGTGGTGACTGACGAAAACCTCGTCTTGCGTTGGACCGGAGACAAGTAAGCTCCACTGCAGTACGGCATGCCCTCGAGCGTGATAGCTGATGGTCCTCTCTAGGTATATTACTCGCAAGGACGGCTCGCCATTAATGGATGCATTGAAGGTCTGGCGAGAAGGTACCCTCCGCTCAAAGACTGCACAAGTGTCTTCCCGTCCTGTGTCGCCTCGTCGTAGTGACGATACGGAGTTAACCGAACCTCTGCCACTTGACAGGCGTTCAGACGACAGCTCTGCCGCAACAAGGGATACGCCCAAGGACTCACAAAGGCCATCATTAGATAGTAGGAAACCGTCATCTTCATCGTGGGTACGATGGTGGAGTCGAAGTCGACTCGAAATTGAGTCTTCTAGACCGGACCTTAGACCTATTAGTTCCTCGCCTCCAAGCATAGTCAGTTTTGTCTAGTTCTTTGCCGAAGTGTCAGAGCTGATTAGGATTTATCTTAGCGAGCTGGAGGTGCGAGTCGACCAGATAATATTCTGATGCCTGTAAATCGCGTTCTGTCTGCGGAGTCCTCCCCGTTGCCCAGTACACCGGAGTCTATCCCCGAACCGCAAGATGTCACCCCGCTGAAAGAAGCTGAAGCTCCTCCTGCTAGTCCGCGAAAATGGTTTGCTAAAACATTGCGATTGACATCTGATCAGCTGGTATGTGGCCAACCTAAACCGCATTATAGATTTACCTTGAATGACCTGATTTGTTTGGCAGAAATCCCTCGATCTAAAGTCTGGTGCCAACACTGTTACGTTCTCTCTATCTGCGACAGGCGTCGCTGCATGCACCGCTAAACTGTTCGTCTGGGATTATACCGATCAAATAGTTGTTTCTGACATTGATGGTACAATCACAAAGTATGTTACTACGTTTGGGTTCTCTTTTTGTGACTGTTTTGCTCATCTGTCTATAGGTCGGATGCCCTGGGGCATGTCTTTACTATGATTGGTCGCGATTGGACTCACTCGGGCGTAGCCAAGCTCTACACCGACATTTGTCGAAATGGTTACAAGATCATGTATCTCACCTCGCGGGCTATTGGTCAAGCCGACTCCACAAGGGATTATTTGAAGGGCATCAAGCAGAACGATTATCAGCTCCCAGAAGGACCTGTGATCATGAGCCCCGACCGTTTGATGGCTTCCCTTCATCGGTGTGTTCTGTCTTCCGTTCTTACCCTGCAGCAGTTAATGGATGTATGCAGTGAGGTGATCATGCGGAAGCCTGAGGTGTTCAAGATGGCTTGTCTACGGGATATCCAACGCTTATTTGGCCCATACACCAAGCACCCATTTTATGCTGGCTTTGGCAATCGGATAACGGATGCTCTGTCGTATCGCAGTGTCAATATCCCGAGCTCAAGAATTTTCACCATCGATTCCACAGGCGAGGTAAAGATGGAATTGCTCGAGTTGGCTGGGTACAAATCATCGTATGTACTGCCGCGTACTCTGACTCAATTCGTACTTACTTGCTATGTGGTGTAGGTACATTCACATGACCGATCTCGTTGACCAAATGTTCCCTCCCATTAATCGCAAGTGGCAATCCGACTACACCGATTTCAATTATTGGAAGGCACCCGTCCAAGACTTCCCATTACCAGATTTCAGTCCGCCGTCCCCAGCACTTAGCGCCCGTTCTGATACTTCTACTCAGAGCGCCCTTACTCGACTTCGTAATTTCAGCCTCGTAGGAAGCAGACAGTCAAATAATATGAAGCAATTCTCAGTATCTTCGGAACATGTCTCTCGTCAGAACACTGGGGACAGTCGGAGGGATGCTCATTTGCGACAAATGTCATCACTCGAGCGGTTGAGCAGTACGCTTGTGAGCCTCACACAGTCATCGTCTTCCACGGCCGCCAGTCCTCGTTCGACGACTCCGACCTACGTCGATTCTGGGTCGGACGAGGAGGAGGAATACGACGATGAGCTGGAGAAAGGTCGGCATCGACGACGACGGACACGAAGTATCAGCAGTATGCCGGGTTCTCTCCCAGGATCAACGGGATCTGATGACGAAATGCAATTCGAAGTCAATGGAGAGGGCTCTGGTGATGAAGAATATCCGTTCGAAGGCGCAGAACCCCCAGAAGATACATTCGATGAAGATCTGTTCGCTGCCGGGGAGATGAAGGATGTTCCTTTCCTATGAGATAATCTAGTGTATCCCCATGCAGGTGGTTTGCAGGAGGTGCTCCTGCCATCTGGACGTTGTTGCTTTTGATGTTGTGTTGATTGGCTGTTCAGGCTAACACTGCTTGATCATTGCTTCAATGGAAAGCGATCATTTTGCCTTCAGTTATCGTTTTGGCCTCGGGGTCAAACCCTTCACAAATCGCAACTCGCAAGAACGCTTAAAATTTCCGACTCGTTTGTCCGATGGATTCTTTACCTAGATACTACAAGTATCCTCGGCCCGATATCACAGAAAACGTGTGGGACATCGGTAGGAGCTATTTTCGTTCTTCAAAGATTCATTGCCGCCCCTGCGACATGATCATGTTTATCACAGATGCATATGACCATCGTGCAAGGCGATTTTCCAATCTTTGGCTGTGGCTATCCCTTTCGAATGTTGGTTGCTATTGCGCATGACTGACATAGCGGCTGAACTTCATATCATGCATTGATTTTCTATCAATGACGATGGGAGCTGTATTCGGGCAGGACGATGGCGCTTTCTCTGAGTATATAGATTGTCTGTCAGACCAAGATTCTCCAAGATCTGGCGGGGCCTAAGTTTCCGTTACTTATCCTTTACAGCCATCCTTCCGCGTACTTTTGATGACAATTGTGCTTGCTGCCGGGATGAAGAGGAGCACTGCTATCCGTACTGTCGCATACAGCAATATGCGCCGTCTTCGATTGCACCCGCAGACGCCTCACGCATAGTCGACAGGTCTCATTCTTTTTCTCTCAGTATCTGACGTGGTTTTTGGCCTCTTTAATGCCTTTACATCGTACCCCCTACCCGGTACAGCATTCTCATTACTGAACGTGTTGCAACAATACTCAACTGTCTCTTTCTAGCAGTTGCCAGTTTCCTCGCCGTAGCGTGTGCCTTGGTGATGGTAATCTGGTCATCCGTGTTGTAATTAATATCACCACCCACCTGATCGTCTATATAATGCACTGTCTCATCATGTTCACTAGGTTGGCATATAATAACAAACCTGCCTCATCTCACTGTCTTTGTCGCTTCGCAGCCCATGCGATCTCGATGACTGTCTTTGCACCTATCTGGTTCAGTAGGTTGCGTCACATCAGTTTCATGTATACATCTCAAGATGAAAATAACGTATAGTTCTGGCAATACTCCTCTCTACAAACACTTCGACCAATTGCGCGGTAGACCTTCGGTTCGATTACAATGCGTTCGGCTGTGGCTTCTCGGCCGCGGCAACAGTGGGGGCTTGGTTGTTATGCGCTGCAAGTGAGTGGATTTCTGTTGAACCTTTCAGGCATCCTCTCATTCAAGGGACACGAAGCAACTGCTACTTCAATTTTCCTTTGGCAAAAGGGAAAGATTGCTGGATTGGAAGCCAATGTCACTTCTCTGGACGTCACGAAGGACCTCTTATATGTATAGATGATTCTGATCAAACCCTCCCTAATGGCAAAGCAGATGCTGTTCTTTGCCTTGCGACTTCGAAGGGTACACTATATGATAGTCTATCCTAATACAGTCAATCCCTTACAAGGGTTACTCTCATAACTGTACTTACCTTCATTGGTGTGGCTTGCGACCTCATGTTCTTGCTCTGAGCTGAATGCTATAGAATTATCAGCAGCAATCAGTTGTTCAAGGGCTTTCTTGTATGTCTGGCTGCTCTTAAGAGTGCTTTTTGGCACAATGTGAGTAAATATTTGAGAAGTAGTGTACCAGGTAGATTAGTTGGTGATTGTAGCAAGTGTCACTGAAGGCATTGTGGTATATATAGAGGACAGTCAAACTTATATTTATATTGATGTCTCCATCTACTGTAGGCTGGTCTCTCTTAATAGAGATGTTAATATTGTCCAGTGGAGCGTGAATGACTATAGGGAGGCTGAACTGCGACAGCCCTTCAGCCTGATGGCATTTACATGTGAGCTCAATGTGAAATGACCATATCGCAACTTGCATCTGGAGACCACTCTTTGTGTATCTGCACATATACTGTATATAGCTCCTACATATGTCACTCATTATCACCAATCTCATTCACTGCTGTCAAGAATACACCCAATTATCCTTGAATAAATACTTTGGTTATTCAAAAATGCTCTCTGTCCAAGAATTCAAGCTGAAGCATGGCACACCTTAGATAAATGCAGAATATGTCATTCTTGTATGAGGGGGAAAATGTTGTTATTTGCAGGTTTCCGTATTTCTAAATACCAGAATATATGCTGCCATAGTTACAATTTCTGAGGTTACTGAAGGAATTGTCTCCTAAGTCCTGGGTTTGGCATGGCCAATATTCATCATGATGCGAATCTCCCCTGATCATGGAAAAGTTCATTTGTTACCTCTATTAGTAGCTATTTTATAGTGCCATCAAAAAATGTTTTAACCAGATTGTACTGATACATACATTTGATGTGTAAGTGTGGAAAGTCATGCCTCAGTTAGCATTAGGCACTTCATGGGCGCCCAGATGCTGGAGCAGCTATACTAGTGCTGCGGAGTTAACCTCATCAGGAGAAAATCACCTTTCAACCTTGCACTGCGTAGCCTCCATACATGAGTAGAGTGGTTGGTAAGCCCCCCTACACATAGTTCTTGGTAGCTGCAGTAGCTGCCTTAGGAGAACTGCATAGATGCCATAGCATGGTAGTGGAGTAGTCGAGATAGGCTAAATAGCACACCATAGCTGCTGTATCCAAAATGGGGCTACTACGACCCGCTATTGATGCTCACATTTACTCAATACATTCTGTAATATCAGGTGTATATTATAATATTGATGCATACAGAGATTGGCTAAGTATCCACCTCCGCTTCACTGTCCATCTCTCCTGTGTGACATTCAAATTCCACTGCAGCCTGCTTTCTTGCATCTTCTGACAATATCGGCACATCCTTATCCTTCTCAATGTCAACACCACATGCATAGCTGAAAGAGAAAAGAGACTGTGAGACTCAGGTGAAATTATCATGATAACTAGCTTACCAAAGCCAAAGATACATCTTCTTACAGATATTTGTTGAAACTAGAGGATTGATGATGCACCAAGTGGTGATACCAGTCAAGTGTTTCTCATACTTGTCTTTATAGTCAAGCTCAGTGAACTCGGGAGGCAGAACAAAGCTCTCAGATGACCAGCAAGCCAACCCATACTCTACCTACTCCCAGACACAGGATAATCAGCATGAGTGCAAAGTAACAGAACAAGAGGTTTGGACAAACCAGTGTGAAGATCAAGGCAAGCACTGGAATAGAAAGAGGATTGAACTTCAAATGGAAGGCTGGGCTGAAGGAGCCTTTATGAAAGCACTCAGCTTGAAGAATGGCAAGTACAATATTGTGCTGAGCATACTTCTCCATTGCGTCAAGATCCTATGAGTGGACAAGTCCATAAATAGTGTTGATAAGGTAATCGCAGAAAGATACTCACTTTGCAGTAGTATTGCTTGTCTTAAATGAGCCAGCGGTAGCATGAAATATTGGCTGCCCTCGCACCCTTCTTGCTCAGATCGATCTCGAAACTGTAATGGGGCGCAATGAGTGGTATGAGTTTGTCACGTAACTTTCCGCATGCTGAAGGACCTCTCGCTTTAATCTAGACAAGCACAATGAATAGAAATAAATGAATAAAGCAATTGACTCAGACTTGTGATACTCACTGCCCCCTTAATATGATCCGTAATCTCTGCTCGAAGGTTTGCCTTTCAACAGATCATATCCCAGATCTGCTCAGCCAGTGTAAGCTGTGTCTCCACTGTTGGAAATGCAAAATGGGTCAGAGTATAGACATGAAATGTTGGAAAATCAAGCTGCCAGTTCTCATTCTACTCAACGCTCGATCACTTTGATAGTATATTTCCTTTTCTGTATACTAATTCTTTCTTTCATTTTACCTGCATTCTTGACCTATGCCACAGATCCTGTTCTGCATTCCTTTAATTCCATCTTATTCCATTCCATTCCCATTGCCAAGTATTTTGTAGATACTTAACCAACTGTCTTCCATAGAGACACCCCAATCGTTAGCTTCGACACTGATTGGGAATCTATTCTGTTTACTCTTTCTATAGGTTATGGGCTCCAAGCTACCCTAAACCTTGCGTCGAAGTGAATAGGTGTCTGAAACACCTGTAGTTGCCCTGCTGTTCTCGATCTTCCCTTCACATCACTCTCACTCTCATCGTCATGTCTACTGTCAAGCTAGAAGAATACTTGCGAGTTCTGAAACTTGAAGTTGATGGAGCTAACTGGCTTATCTACAAGAATCGTGTACTATGGGCTGCTGATGCCCGTGGTTATCGTGGTCACCTTGATGGAACTACCATAGCCCCAGTTACACCACCAGCTCCTGCCGACCCTGCAGCTCCAACTGCTGCTGAGGTTGTTGCAACTGCTGCTTATGAAACCTGATTTGTTGACTGGATGAGAGGAGAGGCTGTTATGAAACAGCTTGTTGCTAGTACGATTCCAAATTCTCTATTTATGAAGATCTGTACGAAAACCACCGCCCACGAGATTTGGACTACCTTGACTAACGACTTTGAAAACAAGTCTCGTATGGTCTCTGTTGATCTTCATCGTCATCTGCAAGACAAGCGAGTGAGCGAGAAGGATGACCTTCGTAACCACTTTGCCGAACTCCGCACCATGCGAGAGAACCTTGCTTCCCTTGGTCAACCTCCTACTAATGAAGATTTCTATGCTATCATCCTAGGATCACTCCCTACTTCTTATAACCCCTACATCTCTGCTGTCACGGCTACCTCCAGTGTGTTGAGAAAGACCCTTACTGCTGATGATCTTATGCAGACATTGACTGAGGAGTATGATCGCCGGATGTTGAAGTCAAGATGCACCACTGACTCGAAGGATGCTGCATTCTGGGTGAACGACCAAGATGGGAAGAAGTCCAAGTGGAATGAGAAGTGCCACAACTGTGGCAAGACCGGTCACTATAAGCGTGACTGTTGGGCACCTGGTGGTGGAAAGGAAGGTCAGGGACCAAAGGGGAAGGCAAAGGTGAAGGGAAGGAATGAGCCTAAGGATAAGGCATCAGTTGCCAAGGATGAAGATAAGTTGGAGGATGCCGCATGGATGGCCATGGTAGAAGATAATATTCTTGACTACATCGAGACAGTGGGTGGTACCCATGTCATGACCACAACCGATAACGAGGATTCCTGGTACCCCGATGACGACAACTCCCTCTTCGATGAAACTCCCTATAGCGACTCCACAACTGATATCGAGGAAGATGAAACCTCTATACCAGACCTTCGCACAGTCTCAGACTCGACTGAGGAATCTGAGGACCTGACCATGACCATACCGGAAGACATCACCAGTGTTGAGCAAGAGCCTGCTAAAGAGGATAACAGCACATTCTGCGAGGATGAAGCATATACTCTTACCTTTGAGTATGCATTCCTGGCGAAAGGCTCTGGTAGTGAAAAGAATGTTCATCTTGAACTGTATGACTCTGGTGCAAGCCAACACATGTCCCCGTACTGCGAAAGGTTCATAAACTTCATCAACATTGAACCCCACCCTATAGGCTCTGCCGATAATCATATTTTTAAGGCTATCGGCAAGGGTGACATGTATGTCAATGTCCCCTGTGGAGCAAACACCCACCGGGTCCTCTTGAAAGATGTCCTCTATGCACCAGACATGCACATAATGCTCATATCCATCAGCCGCATCACAGCAGCTGGATATGGTGCAGTCTTCCGCAACAACTCCTGTCACATTTATACTGCAGCGAAGGAGCTCATTGGCGAGATAGAGGCTTCAGGTGGTCTTTATCAAGTATACAGTACCACCTGACTGATTATGCTGCGAAGGTAGCTGAGGTACTATCCTTGGAGGAGTTGCATCATCATCTTGATCACATCAGTTACAATGTGACATGAGACCTAGTATGAAAAGGCTTGGTCTTGGGTATCGAGTTGGATGAATCAGAACCTGTGAAAGTATGCGAGTTCTGCGAGCATGCAAAGACAACTCAAAAAGTGATTCAACGTGAATGCCAGGGTGAACGAGCAGCAAAGGTTGGAGATGAAATCCACTCGGATGTTTGGGGACCAGCTCCTGTCGAAATGATTGGGGGACATCATTACTATGTCAGTTTTACGGACAACAACAGCCGCTATACATTCACATATCTGCTTCATACCAAGGACCAAGTGGAGCAAGCTTATCGCATGCTCACTGCATGACTCAATACACAATGGAGTGTGAAGATTGAAGTTCTACACACCGATCGAGGGGGGGAGTACCTAAGCGAAAGTTTTAGTAGCTTCCTAAAGGAAAATGGCACCGTGCGACGACTCACCACCCACGATATGCCAGAGTACAATGGCGTGGCAGAGCGACTCAACTGTACACTCATAACAAAGGTCCGTGCTATGTTACACAACAGTCAGCTACCGAAATTCCTATGGGAGGAAGCAGTTCTCCACGCTACTTACCTGAAAAATTGTACACCAATACGCATTCTAGGTGATGCAACACTGTACGAGGTTTTCG